GCACCTCCGCTACATAGAACCTGTTAAAAGAAAGGATTAGGATTCAAATCACAAAATCATAATATCACGTAAAAGTTAATCGTAAGAAACAGAGTATACCTAGCTGCTGGCTCGGGAAACCACCTCCCGGGCTGCTTCTGCCTTAAGACATGTAAATCGCCTCCTGGACAACATTCCATTACCAAACACGATAAGTTATCCGAAGTGAAGTGAGCGTATAACGTTGGAAGAAACGGGTGATCAAGCATTTTGAGAATGTCTTTCTCGGTTTGAGCCCTCGACATTTTGTTCCTTCTCTCCAAAAACTCATTATCCATCACTTTTATAGCGAACAAGCAATTTGTTCCTGTGAGCTCAGCGAGATAAACCGTTCCTATATCTCCGCAACCGAGCTTCTTCAGAAGATTGAAATGCCTAAGACCCAATGAACCGAGCCCGTGCTGTGCCCTTATATGCTGAATAGCTTCCCATCTCACATCTTTAGACATATGAGGTCTGTTTCCAAAGCTAGACCTTGTCATGATGTTATTGCTCTGTTCTTGTTCTTCCTCACTGATACTCGTGCTTGAGCTGTTGTATCCTATACCTTCCTCACCTTTGTTTTCGATTTCCGAGTTCTCGTTGACATCTTCAACAGCTGCTCTGTCTAAGCTGAGTTTCTTTGGAGGACTATCTGGATTCATTACAACCGATTTCTCACTGAAAGAACCAATCTCCATACTCTGTTCTGACATAAAGACAGAATCTTTCTGATCAACTTCTTTGCCGGATAGAGTATCTTCCTCAGTGATCTCATTGTTTCTGTACTCATGAACACCTTCCATGTTCTTATTACAGAATGGATCTCTTGGAGAAACCGTGGAGGTCTCTGGATTCATCAAATCCACAGAGCTTCTTATCTTATCAAGTTTAGTCTCTGCACTGGCACTTATCTCATGAGAGCTCTCATAGCTTGAGCTGGAGAAATCAGAAGCCAATTCATCTAAAAAACCTTCTTTAACACTCTGATTTGGCTCAACATCTGCTGCCACCGGTGTATCTTTAGTGGTCTCTTCTTTAGCTGGAGCGTTCTTCAAAGCGAAATGGCATCTATGGCAAAGAAGTTCCTTTGCAATGGGGTCATAGAAGCCATCTACTTCATCATACACATTTGCAGCCTTCTTCTTTACGGAACCTTTGCTCCTTAGCGCCGGTTTAGCTCCCCCACCACCACGTGGAATGGTTCTGGTCAACTTAGCCACTCTCTTGCCGTTAACAATGGTGGAGTTGGGTGTATTAGCATACAACAACCTCACTTTTCTAACAGATTTCAGTCCAACCACTGTCTTACTGTTCCCTGATCCTGGCGATGATGAACCAAAGCTCCTCCTACCCAATTCTTGGTCGTCAAGAGACAAGTTCTTGTCTTTCTTTAGCATCGTCATCTCATCACAATACCGCTTAGAGTTTTGGCTCGCAGAATGTATCTTAAGAAGACGAAGCTGCTGCGATATACTCTCTGTTGAACTGCTTTGAGCTTCGTCGAGTAACTCGACAAGAACCGCTTTTCCTTCTTCACCAGCTCCACTTCCTGGTTCAACCAAAACCGAACCATAAACCGAGCCTCCGGTACTAGTCTTAGGAGTCCGTTTGCTAGCTGCCGTTTCAGATGCCTTAGTGACGCATAAATCTCTCAGAGCCTGTTTTAACGTTGCTGGTTCCGCATTTCTCTTGCTAGGCGATCGTGGTCCACCGAGATTCGCGGGACTTTTCAGAGCGTTCCTTGGTAAAGAACTGTTGTTTCTACTGCTACTGCTTGCACCAACTTGGTAAGAAGGAATCATTCCGGATGTTCGAATACTTATAGACTCGAAAAGTTGGTTGATATCATCTTCTAGTGAACCTCTGTAACCTAATTTTAGTACCGGTCGCTCCAGGTCCTTGTCGTCAACAATGCTTGATCCAGAATGTGGAATATTTGTTGTTGATCTCGTGGAGTAAACAATCGAGTTTTGGCGGTCTTCTTTCTCTTCAACGATTTCACACTTTCCAGCAAATGAACCCATAACCTTATAAAGCTCAGTCACACAGCATCTTAGTAACCGCGAAAATGCGAGTAATCTAATCCGGTATATACATCTTTTTTTGATCCAAAACACACCTGAAATTTATCTTCACAGATCAGATAAAAAAGGTTTAGAAAAACACTACTTGAAAAAAGATTCTCCATTTTTTGTTATTAAAGAATAGATCAAAACTCTGTATGATGAAGTTCCAAATCTACAGAGAACACAAAATCATAACAGAACAGAACAGAACAGTTTGAAAAAATAAAATCAGCAGTTTAACTTAAAAATAGATTTGGATCAATGACTGAGGAACATTACAGACCAGCTTAACCTATGAAACAGTCACATATCTCGAGAATCTGGTTCCACAATCTCTCAACAATTCTAATAGATGTTGAATCTCTACGTTCATGTATAAGATAGGCATACTCGTGTCGTGTTCATATGATTTTTACTTTTATTCTTATTTAATGAGGATAAAACAAACATGTATTATTGCATAACACCCCAGAACAGGAAAAAAAAGAAAACTCATGCGGAAAAAAAGAAACAAAAGTTAGATGAAGATGATACTCTCTCTAATGTCATCACTATCTTGATTTATCAATGAACAAAGAGTACCTGGATAGATTATTGAAGAAATCTATGAAGATAATTGACGAAACAGGGAGACAGGAAACGCTGTAGTTTCGTCTTCTGTCTCTTCTCTCTTTTCCTTTGTTGGGTTTTTTGTCGGTATTTTTTCTGAAGAGGATTCACAAGGATTCTGCATTTTTCTGAGCAGTTTGAAGAACAAAAGATGGGACCCATATCATATGTTTGTGGGTCTCATGTAACAACGAAATTAATAAATATTTTGATTAATTCGATGGGGTGTATTGACATGTTGATCACTACTGTTTTTTGGCGCGTCCAATTCGTTGACATGTGTCTTCCGGGCTCATTATTTATATATATATTTTGTCATTAACGAATTTAATTGAAGAATGAAGATTGAAGATTTTTTTACCTGGTATGATTACTTTTTTTTTTAAGAATTAGTTAATCTCTTTTTAGAAAAGGCCATAATGATGGACCTAATGTCCATTTGACAATAATGCTGGTCTTTCATCACTATAAGTCTAGAAAGATAAATATATACAAATCACTTTGCTCGAGGGAACTGTGCTGTTTTTAAGCAATATAAGTAGTATAGAATATTCATAAGCTACAAAAAAAGACATTATTCAAAAGTTTTTTAGTTTTCTTAAGGCTTAGCTGGTTTTCTAAGCATACACTATTATAGTTTTCTTAAAGCTTAAAATGTTCGGAAATCCAGGAAGATCAATAAAAAGGGAAGGGGCCACAATGAATAATTTACCATACTTTTTATATTAATTAGGGTGGTCATCATCATTTTTAGGTCAGTGTTTTTTTTTTTTTTTGCTAAAGATCTATTACAAATGTTTTTCTCAAGAAAAAAAAATGGAAGATCTATCACCAAATGTTGGTTTAAAAGTAACCAACGTTATCAATAATAACCACCATACTATCGCTCACCAATTTTAGTGTTGTTTTTGTGGTGACACATATAACCATGAATACATAGCAGATGTCATTTTCCTCTGTATATGGTCAAGAAATGAAGACATTCTAAGTAGACATTCTAGATTGCCTGGCCATTGTGCATAGCACTAAGCCTGAAACTTATTGGTATATATAATAGATGCAAATGAAAGTTATGTATGAATTTTTTTAAAATAATAATAATTTAGTTGACCTAGGTTGTTAAAGTTTTGGTATAATTTGTATACGGATCCCACAAAGTGCGAACTTCTTAGATCATTTATCTTTTCTATATTCGTTCAACAATATGCAATACGTAAAAGCACTATCAAGTCTTATGAAAAAACTAAAGCTCCCGCGGTCTAGAAAAAAGGGAAAAAATGCACATGGTAATCAAATCCTAACATACTGCAAATTTACAAAATGTTCCTCGAAATCTGAAAATCAGCCCGGCCCATTAGCATAAGCCCATCATTTATACAACCATTGATTAAGATCTTACAGTATATTGTTCTCACATACTGTATTCATCTTCTTAATCATCAATAATGCATGCATGAAAAAAAATCCGTCACCATAAAACCGAAATACAAAATAAACTGGAAAAAAGAACTAGAAACCAATACCTTGGTTTTGAATCTAATTTGCGGCATTGAGATGCAAATACTCAAACAAACCAAAAAAATAATGATATACTAAAAGCGGTAAAATTTAAAATATTTACAAACGGTAGGAAGAATAAAATTACTGGAATAAGAAGTAAATGAACTTTTAATTAAAAATAGAAGATGCTATATTTAACATTAAATCTAGAATAATCAGTTCTGTGGATCACCAGTTCCTACATTTTTATCGATTTGCTGCAGTTTTACTATTGGTCCAGTTACCCTTTGGGTTATTTTATAATACTGGTTCACTGAGACTGATAGATTGATAATCGAATTAAACCTTGTTTCGCATAGATAATTACTAATTGCTAGAATACACAAATCCCGATGTTCCCCATCGACTTCTTAAATACCTATTACTTTATTGGCCAATTTGCGTTATTACTTTATTGGCCAATTTGCGTGATGGTTGCTGACAAAGCAGACTGATGATTCCTTTTTTAATATATTTCTAAATAAGTTAATAAAGTAAAAAAGACCTTCAAATATGAAAGGTATCAATCAATAAACCGGGTCGTACCGGAATGTAAAAATGATTGTCCGTTTCACACCAGCCTGATCTGTCACGTGTAAGTTAAGTTAGACCGGGTCAAGAATGTTAGACGCCTGACTTGATTTTGATTTCTCCGTAAAGCGGGACATCTAACGGCTTAAATTTAGCCACGTGAGAAGATTCCTTCTAGACTGGACAGGTACCCTATATAAACCCCTGACCCAATCACATTTTTCGGATCCAAAGGAAAAAGACAAAAAAGCGAGACATAAATCGAAAGAAATTAGAAGACGATTCCATCGAATCAATGGCGGAAGAGAAGAGCTTCAAGTATGTGATCGTCGGAGGTGGTGTCGCCGCCGTAAGTCGCTGTTCTTCTCGTTCGCTTTTGATTGGATTTGTGTTCTCTCTCTCTCTCTTCGCTTACGAATCGTCACTATGTACTACTCACTGTTTCGCTTTGGATTCCGCACGATTATTCCTTGTTGTTGAATCATTGATGTGTTTTCATGTCTTACGAAGTAGTTTCTGGGGATGATAGTATCTCTAGATCTATTGATTTTTTTTCTTCTGATTCAGAAGAATTAGGAAGTAGATGAATATTGTGCTACTACTATTCGAGAACTTTCCAATTTAAGCAGACGAATCAGACATTTCAAAGTTTTAAATTCAGTTTTCATTTTGTTTGTTTGGATGTTCTGGAATCACAGGGATATGCGGCGAGAGAGTTCTCTAAGCAAGGTCTGAAACCTGGTGAACTTGCTATCATTTCCAGGGAACAAGTAAGTTTCCTCGATGAATTCTAGGACTATTCGGCCTTGAAAGTTTGTTTAGGCTAGCTCTGGCGATTCATATTCTGTATTCTTGTTTTGCTTCTATGTGATTAATGATTTTGGTAATTCTGTGCAGGTTCCTCCATATGAGCGTCCTGCACTTAGCAAGGGATATATCAACCTCGAGAGTAATAATAAAAGATCGATTGGTTTTAGTTTTGTCCTTGCTCGGTTCTTAACTATATTGTTTTTCTCATGGTACACAGATAAAGCTACACTTCCCGGTTTCTATGTCTGTGCTGGAAGTGGGGGAGAGAAACAGTTCCCTCAATGGTACAAAGAGAACGGTGGGTTCTCTTTTGTGTGTGCTTTTAAGCGCTTGATAACACAATTTCTCTCTACTCATAATGTCTATTGCTTCTGTTTTTGTTTGCAGGGATTGAGCTGATTCTGGACACAGAGATTGTCAAAGCAGATCTTGCTGCAAAAACTCTTGTTAGTGGCACCGGACAAGTCTTCAAGTACCAAACTTTGCTAGCTGCAACTGGTTCTTCTGTGAGCACAATCTCTCCCTCTCTTTCTCTCTTCTCTCCTCTTGATTTGGAAGTTTCCGTCCATGTGTTTTTTTTTTTTTTGCATTTCGTCATTGGGAAGCCGTTTAAATTGTGCAGGTGACAAGGTTGTCAGATTTTGGCGTCCAAGGTGCAGATGCTAAGAATATATTCTACCTAAGGGAACTTGATGATGCTGATGAACTCGTGACTGCAATGGACGTAAAGAAAAACGGAAAAGCTGTGGTTGTTGGTGGCGGTTACATTGGTCTTGAGCTCAGTTCTGCTCTGAAGGTTAACAACCTCGAAGTTACCATGGTTTATCCAGAACCTTGGTGCAGTAAGTGGATACTTTAATCCCAATCCAATAACAGATAAATCTCATTCCTATGCTCTCCAATCACTGAACAACTTTCCTTGTTTTGTTGTGTCTTTGAAAAGTGCCTCGGCTTTTCACTGCCGGCATTGCTTCGTTCTACGAGGGTTACTACGCCAACAAGGGAATCAACATTGTGAAAGGCACCGTTGCGGCTGGTTTCAGCACAAACTCAAATGGGGAGGTTAGCAGCTAGCATCCCCATTCAAGCTTCACAAGAACAGTTTTCTCTCTCTCTCTCTCTGCTGATTCAAACAATAATAATTGCTGTTTTGCTTTATGATGCAGGTCGCTGAGGTGAAATTGAAGGACGGAAGAACGCTAAAAGCTGATATAGTGATCGTAGGTGTTGGTGCTAGACCTATTATATCACTCTTCAAAGGGCAAGTTGAAGAGGAAAAAGGCGGTTTGAAGGTTTGCGATTTAAAAATACTTCATTTGTTGCAGTATCTGAGATAGTTTGTGAAGTTTTTTTTATCTTAAACTCATGAGATATTTCTTCGAATGCAGACTGATGCATTCTTCAAAACAAGCGTTCCGGATGTATACGCCATTGGTGATATAGCCACATTCCCAATGAAACTCTACAATGAAATGAGACGTGTTGAACATGTTGACCATGCTCGCAAGTCCGCTGAACAGGCCGTTAAGGTAACAAAACGATAACACGAAATGAGAGTTATAGAATCCAAACTGAATCAAATTGTATGGTTTTTGTAGGCAATCAAGGCCGCAGAAGAAGGGAAATCGATTCCTGAATATGACTATCTTCCATACTTCTACTCTCGAGCCTTTGATCTCTCATGGCAATTCTATGGTGACAACGTTGGAGAAACCGTAATGTTTGGAGATAATGACCCGAAATCGCCTAAGCCGAAATTCGGAAGCTACTGGATTAAAGAAGGAAAATTGATTGGAGCGTTTTTGGAAGGTGGAACTCCTGAAGAGAACAAGGCAATTGCTAAGGTCGCGCGAACACAGCCTTCAGTTGAGAGCCTTAACGTGTTGTCGAAGGAAGGACTTTCCTTCGCCACCAAAATTTAAAAAGACCAAATTGCTTCTAGATTCTGACTTCTGTTATGTGTTAGTGTGAGCTGTCTTGAGATTGAGTGGCTTTTATGTCATTTTGCAACTTAAAAAAATCCACATTTAAGTTTTGGTTGTTTTGGTTGCTTGGATTGTTTGGTTTAGAAATAAACCCCAATAAACTTAAATATATTCGGTTGTATGAGAAAGTTGTGTTATTGATTTGAATTTTTTTTATTTTTGTTTTGGACATTTGTTATCGGGTTCATATGCTTTTTTCAATTTCTTCTCCTCCATCGCATGATTTTTGTTATTTATTTTGTATAATGTATTCAACTCTTTTTTTACTCAACGTATTGGAATGTTCATAATGTTATATGTTTTCAGAAACATTAGAGCAAAGCTAGGTCGAGTTTCATTGTTTCAACAACACTAATATTAAAAAAAAAAAAAAGACAAGACACTAAAAAATTAAAAGCAAATGTATGTTTTAAGGGTAATCGATATCCGACTGAAACAAGAGAATAGGACTTCTCACAAGATGCCCTCTCGAATCATCCCATTCCACAGAAGCCGACAAAATCCCTCTCATCGTCTCTTCCCAAGCTCCATCAATCACAACCTTAAAATTCCTCTGCTCTCCAGGCTTAACAAAACTCATAACCCTAGGCACAACCCTTACTCTCAAGCCCTTTGGTGCCCAAACCCTAGCCACGTAGGTCGACGGTCCGTACCCGACATTCCTCACCGTCCTGTAAAAAACCTCCGAAACTTTAGTCTCCGTAGAACTCACTTGCTTATGCATCGACGGGTAATTTAACCCGTCGGATCCTAGCCCTCGCTTGTTATCCACGCATCTGTATTCCTTAACCGTGTATTCCTTAACCGTCTTGTTGTTACCGCCGAGTAAAAGTCCGATGGTTGTGCTATTGTATCCTTCTTTGCAGAGGAAATTTAGGTAAGAGCTTTCGGTGATGTCGTAGACTAGACCCGGGTGAATCGCTCTTCTCGGGTTTATTTGACCCGACCCGTAACTTAATTCCGCTTCACTGCCTTTGATTCTCATTGGAGTAGCTGTAAAGGATCAATGTAAAGATTGGAAATTTCAATGCTTTTATATAAGAACGTTTTGAAAGTTTTTACTTGATGGTTTAAGCTGAATTAAGTTACCTGTGGTCATTAGGGCGGATTTGATTGCGGCTGGAGACCAATCAGGATGGAATGATTTGACATAAGCTGCTGCAGCTGCTGCGTGAGGACAAGCCATTGATGTTCCTGACATTATGGAGTAAAGTGTTTGTCTTTTGTCGTCTGGATAACCCGTTATCGTTGTTAACTTCGAGTATGCCGCCAGAATGTTTAGTCCCGGCGCTGAAATATCAGGCTGTAGAAAAAAAAAACAGAGCTCAAAATGAATCATTTGCGGATGAACAAAGAGAGAGAGAGAGACAGATAGAGAGAAGAAGAAGAGAAACCTTGAGAATATTGGGGCTGATTCTTTGAGGACCTCTTGCTGAGAAGGAAGCAATCGAAGGAGCTAACATTTTTGTTGTTTGCGTCTTGAAGATAACGGCTTGAGGATTTCTGTTAAGTTCGTTGTGTGAGGAACAAGAACAGTAGAAGTAAGCAGGTAGAAAAAAAAGAGATGAGATTGATTTACTTGGTGGAGTTGATGTAATCAGAGATCTTTGTACCGTCTTCGAAGAAGACATAGGAGCCAGAAATGAGAGTTGAAGTGGCCATATCAGTCGGTTCTAGAAGTTGAACGATCACGCCAGCTCCTTTTAAGGATCTCACAACATGATCTGGACCTCCACGAGCTCCTCCTTCTTCACGTCCTGCTTCACAGTAAACTACCTTCCCCATCACTTTCTCTTCCGCCATTGTCTCGGATTCACAAGTTCTGCAACAATTCACAACCGTTTCGAAAAAAAAAAACTGAAAAAGAAAAAAGGTCTTCTCTCTGTTTTTGAAAATTACCTTGGCTCTCCATAGCCTCCTTCAGATACGTTAGACGCAAGCAAACCGCTCGTGAGAGGGAACATTTTCTTCCTTGGAGAGAACCCGTTTAAAGAAATCCCCTGCATTGAGATCCTTCAACTGTTAATTTACTTGCTTGCCATACAAGCAAGGTAGGTGATACTTGGATTCTTGAAAGACAACTGTACGTACAGATGCGGTGAGTCCATTTCCTAGTTTGACAAGAGTTTCAAACTTGCGGTCGATTGAGTTAGCTGCGACTGTCAATACCCATGGCGCGAGGTTAGAAACCGTAAAGAGAGCAGGACCGTTATTGCCTGCGGAACACGTTGTCACGATCCCTCTTTTGGTCGCGTGAAACGCTCCGATCGCAATCGGATCTTCGAAAAACGGAAGCGAGGCTCCTCCGATCGAAATCGATATCACATCAACACCATCAGAAATCGCCTCGTCGAATGCCGCCATTATGTCCATGTCCGAGCATCCTTCTTCCCAACACACCTAAAATTTGAAAACAGAGCTTTAACTGTGTCAGAGATTCTTAATGCTCCAAGGCAACACAGAGTAATACTAATTGAAAGCGAGAACAAAAACCTTATAAGTGGCTATACGAGCAGAAGGAACACCGCCTCGAGCCGTGCCATTTGCGATTCCGAAGAGGCTAGCATCGGAGACGGAAACACCGGCGATTGTGGAAGATATGTGAGTCCCGTGACCGTCGTAATCCGCAGCGGTTTGTCCCTTGCTATCGAAATGACTCTCTTCTTTGAGGTGGAAGTACTTTGCGCCTATCACTTTGCTGTGTTTTACATTTAATCCAAAAAAAACGAGTTAAGTAAAAAGAAAACAAAAGAGAATTGCAGAAACAGAGGAATAAGAAGAAGATGGAAACAGAGCATTTTTGTACTTATTGCAATGAGTCAAGTTGTTTCCAGTTACACATTTTCCTTTCCATTTAGCTGGAGGAGGTCCATAGCCTTTGTCATCGAAGCTCGGTGTGTCGATATAGATTCCTTTTTGAAGAATAAAAAAAAGTGTTATAAATCTGGTTTTATCGATATCTTTAGATCCAAATTTGAAGTTTAATAACCTGTGTCAAGAACTCCCACAATGATATTACTTTCTACCGCTAGACTTCTTTTGTATTTAGACTCAACAAATCCTAGAAAATCCCATGATCTTGTCGTGTGAAGCTGCCTTTGAGTGTTCTTAAACACCGATACAACTCCTTCTTCGCCTGCATACGACGAAACAGTCAGGGGAAAAAAAATCAACAAACCACATCGAGATAAACTCGAAAATTTTCTAAACGTTTTTGTTACGTACGTGATAGCTTCTCTACTTCATGAGGACAAAGTCTTGCCACAAATCCATCAATGTTCTTCCCGTAACTATACATTTTAACTTCTCTTGCTTTGCTCTCACTGCAACAACCCCAACAAAAAAATATAAAAGTTCTGATAAACTGATTGCTAATCTATGAGCAAGAACTGATTCTCACTCTCCGATCACTGTCACTAGAAGATTATGATGATTTTCTGCAGCTTCAACATGAGACTTCTCAGCTGCATCTCCCATGTACACAATGTAAGGCTAGAAAGAAAAGAGAAAAACAGACCAAGAAGGATGAGAGTAGATTCAGTCATTTAAAACCATTGATTGTCTCATCATACACCAAACACATAATTCACTCTCTTCACTCTTAACATTATTTTACCTTTCTCTCGTCATCTTCCGTGACTGCTTTAGACGCGGTGTTAACAAGGTAAAAACAGAGTATAAACAACCGTAAACGCAGATTCTGAACCATCCCTTTGATATCTGAGATTTGTAAAATTGGGGAGATTTGTTTTTGTTTGAGAAGTAAATTTACACTCTAATGTTAATAAACACAGAGGACAATACTTAATGGCCACGTATCTTTTGGAAACTGTCTTTTTGGGCTAAGTCTTAGAATAAGACTGAGAGTTCTTTGGCGTGTTATTAGGATCATGTTCCACCCTGATTTCCCAGTTTTTATTAGTTTATTAGTTTTTGTTTTTCCCCCTCTTAGTGAAGCTAAAATAGGATGCTAATTAATCATAGACATGAACAAGTTTAGAGATTTTATTAGTCACACAACCGTTAACACACAACATAGAAAACACATATGAATAAAGAGATGCCGGGAAAAAAAAAACAGAGAAAGAACAAACACTGCGGTTTCAGAAGAAATAACCTAAAAAAAAAAGTAGTGTTCTTATTGTGTGTGTTTCTCACGCTTTAATCAAAGAAGAGGTAAGAGTTTCGCGTAAAACAGAGTAAACAGATCTCCATCCTGCTTCTGTAGGGTGACTTCTATCCCAAAAGAAAGCAGATTTAGGATCATCACATATCACATACTTCTTCACTCCCTTTTCATCCACACTTCCACAGCGATACTCGCTGCTCACGCCTACGCAACACGGCTTCAACGGATTCTGAAACGTTGTACTCCCTGCCATTTCCGCAAAACGAACCAAATCAGCTCAAGGAATAAAAGACACGGTTGTTTCTTGTAGATAAACAAAAAAAGACAGTTTTTTTTTTAACCTGGATTGGCTCCTTTGTTCTTGAAGACGGTTAAGAAAGCGTTGTAGAGATCAAGGATGATGAAAGTCGACTGCTTGGTCTCGTTGTTGAGCTTTGCTACGGCTTGTTGCAATAAGCTGTTGTGAAGTTTCACTAACGCGTTTTGTGACTCGTTGCAACGCTGAAACGAGGAGGCAACGGTGATCCCTGGGAGGCAACCGAGCGGCTGCAGCGACGGTACTGCTATTTTCTTCACTCCCAAGGCGTGGAGCCTCCTCAAATTCACCTCTGTTTGATCCACCACTTGCTTTATGAATCCCGGAAATTCCTGTGAAATGTGCAATGAGTAACATGAATAAACTGAAACAGACTAGTTGTACATTGGACTCTGTTGAATTTGCACATTTGACTCTGTTGAACCGGGCTTAAAACGTAAACCGGGTTACAAAGGGAAACAAATAACTTGAACCGGGCTTTAAACTTAAAATTAGAAAGGGTAAAATAGTCTTTAGTTGTAGACCCCTTAAACAGTATAAACTCTTTACTAGCATCACTAATAAAAACATTAGCTAAGTCGGACCAAAGATTAATAGAGATTAACACTATAAATATGAAATGTATCTTTTTTTTTTCTTACAGAGGCAGGGCGGTTTTGGGCGATGAAAGTGGAATAGTCGTTGCCGGCGACGCTGACGAGAGCGACGGAGGAAATAAGGTCGGAGGTAGAGTAGATGTCGCCGGCGGTGAGAATCTTCTGGAAGAAATCGATCTGAGTGGTCATGTTGGGTAATGGAACTTGAGTGTTGAACACTCCTGTTCCTCCGTACGCAAAATTCATACCGTGTAGTAACCGTTTCTTTCCCGCGTAATCTTTCCAGAAATATGGGATTGGTGATTTTATCCCCACGAATTTTGCTGTAGAAAAGGAAAAAATCTGAGATATTTGCATGATTCGAGAAAGAGCATTTACCATAATTCGAGTATAGATTGAAAATGCATGCAGTTAACTTTCATGCTGGAGACTGCAACATTATGCTTCAAATGAGTTAACTTTCTAACATATGCAGTTGTCAGACTCATTAATTAGTACAACTTTAAAACCAGTAGTATAGTAAGATTTGGTCAGTATTATTGTTCCAAGAATCGTTGACAAAAATAAAAATTAATACATTTTCATCAATCCTAAGTAACTTATATAGAAAGACTATTGATATAACTTTTTAGTTTTATGTTAACTAATTGTATGGACTCTGACAGCGCATAAGCTCGTGGTTTAGCTGCTTTTTTTTCTTTTCTGTTTTTAACATCTTTATAGTACTCTTTTTTATTTATAAGAATAAAATGGATATAAAAGAAAAGAAGCATGAACTGTCTTGCTTTATTGATGCTAAGTGGTAGTGGCTATGATAAAAAATTTGGAAAAGCTAACCTTTGGGAAAAAAAAAATATATATATATATAAAGGACAAAGAAGGAAAAAATAATCAGCACCGAATACTATGAATCTAAAAGGAACAAACTGATTATCTGTTATTCATATATGCTATGTCCGACCTCTACATAGCAAGGAAATTAATTTTTATTTTCGGGTGAAAGAAATATATTTTTAAGATCAATAAACCGAAAGTGAAAAATCACTTCAGAAAAAAGCAAAGTGGAACAAGAAGATGGCGAGAAGAAAGAAAGCAAAAGCGAGTCGCGCACTGGATTGACACTAGACCACTCTTCCATCATTGTTTTTTGTACCTTATTTAATACGCGTCATCATTTACATATATATATATATAAATTATGTACCCTATTATTAACAGTTTAACACATGCTGTTATTAATTTAAAAATGGGGCTTAAACATCAATTAGTTAGGTACTCAACACTAATCAATCAGATAACCATTTCCACATAGTCTAATGCTAATCGGGTATATTGTTGCAATACAGCATACTAATTTCTAAAACTAAAGTCAGTAAGGTAAGTAGAGCATGAGACTTTATTTGGTTGGTCTATAAAGTTGATTAAGAATTTAAGTTAGAAATATTGAGATAATATTGCTACTTTATGATTGTGAAGAGGAAGAGACGTACCTAGAAAATCGGTGGCGACGCGGCCGTCGGAGAAACGTCCGGCGGGTTTACCGGGGAAAGTGATACCGTAAGGAAATTTCCAAGAATTAGAGAGAGACTTCCTAATGTTTCCGGTATCGGCGTAAGAATCTCCGAACACAAACAGCTTCGTTGGTCTAAATCCGTACAAGTGATGGTTTTGATTTGAGCCCTCGACTCCATTGATTTCCCCTGCACAAAAAATAAAAATAAAATAAAAAAACTGGGGACATATGGGTTTCAAAGAATCCGTTGTGATGATAACTATAAGATGAGTTTAAATTAAATTACCAAAAATGAGAGAAATGAATAGGAAAAGAGAGAGGCAGAAGAAGAATTTGATCAAAGAATCCATTTTCAAGATTCAGAGCAAAGACTTCACTTTTAGTGACAAATAGAAAGGATAGGAGGGAGGGAGAGAGAGAGAGAGGTAGAGACAGTGAGTGGAAGAGAGAAGATGGGTTTATAGGAGAGCTCTTTGAGAATTGAAATTGGATTGTATTCTCACTAATGTCTTTATAATGGCTTTATTTATATATAGTAAGCCACTACGCCTTAGAATTGATATAAAACGACTACGATCTGGTCATTTTTTTATTTCGATAAAAATCTGGTCAACTTTTGTATCTTTATTCTTTGTATTTATTCATTTTCTGTTTCTCACCATTTGGATTTCTTATTATACTTACTTAAATAAAAAATTTCTTCGATCCAAAAAAGTTTTTGCATTTTTTTCTTATTTAGAGGATTTTTTACATGTTTCCTGGTCTTGGTTAGTATATATGTATACGACTTTTTCTGTCAAAATTGGGCGGTGTAATTAATTTATGTTGTTTAGTTATTTAGCGTCTTAGGGTTATATTTAAAGTGATATTAGTGTTGAAATTGAATTTTCATTTTTCATTTTTCATTTCATTTTCATTCCATTTCTTAGTTTTTTTTATGTTGTTAAAAGATATTCCATTTCTTGGTCTTTGACGTTCATATTTGAAGTCTTATTACTACGGTACGGTTATAGGTCTTCGCTTTTTCGATTCTCCTAATTTGATTTTCTTCATCACACGGTGCACTTCGAATTCGTAGGTGTGCGGATATTAGAATTATTTATTATTTGTCTTTGTGATTTTTATATTCACACGGGGAAAAAACGTGGCGGCCTAATGACACAAAGACTCTATTATTTTAAGTTTTTTAATTAACGTCAATGGCATACTGGCACATCCCCCTTGATTATTGACAAGTTACTTTTTCCCTTTAATTTATTGTCCCAACGAACGTGTTTATTAAATCCTCGTATGCCTTTTCTTATATACCAATATATAGGTTCTTTGATCCCAAAAAAAAAAAAATACCAGTAGGTTTTATTTCTATATATTTTGTTCAGGTTGTATAGTTTTGGAAGAATAGTAACGAATCAATATCTACCAAATACCATTACATATATTAATCAACAAACATAAATAAAGATCCAACGATAGAGAGAGAACAACAACTACGCAGAGAACATACTGAACGTGATAAAAAAAAGCATCAAAAGAGTTGATTAGCTAGATACCAAGAGTTTGAAAGTTTTTTATTTCAGAAAACGACAAATTAACAAATCGTTATTAGGAAATTAACCTGTCAAAAATTAATGGACTTTTAAAATTAATATTTTTAAAATTATTGGTGTTTTTGTTATGGAGTATGCTATTTTATATAATTATTACGGGTGATTTGTGTCATATAATAGTTAAATGAAATGGATAAAACGATTTGAATTGGTCGAATTGCTCTTGTAAGCATGATCAATGAAATAGCTTTATTATTATCTTTTAAATAAATGTCCCATTTAGTTTTTATTTTTATTTGTATTGCGATTTCACCTAATTACTCTATTGAAAAACTCAAATACATTTTGGCGTTTTAGAACATTGGAGCAACTGATTTTGGGATGGTTAGCTATTAAATATTATTAAATTCAATAAGCATCGATGCTTATGGGTCTCAAATAAGCATCGCTTCTTCATTTTAATTACTTTTTTCATTTTCTTTTTGGCTAAGTATCGATGCAAAATGGGCTAAGTATCACGGTTGCTGATGCTTTTAGATACCGAAAAGTGGTTTTTATGCTTTGGTTAAGGACTCGGTTAAAGGGTTCCTAATACCGAGTAAACCAATTTCCATCCTTCTTGGGTAGGGTGAACTATATCCCAAAAGAAAGAAGACTTAGGATCATCACATAAGGTATACATCTTCGCACCTTTAGGATCCACACGCGCACAAGCGCCTTGGCAGCACGGCTCCAATGGGTTTCTAAACCTTGTGCTTCCTGCATTTCCTATAAAACTAGGGTTTAATATTAAAGGTCAAACGTGAAACTTACGTTACTAAAAAAAAACTTACGTTACTATGGATTTTCACCTTTGTTGTGCAAGATGGTCATGAAAGCGTTGTGAATATCAATGATAAAGTAATGCTGCCCCTTCTTCCTAAGCCTCGAGTCTTGGTTAAGCTTGGCTACGACTTTTTTCAACGAATTGTTGTGGACTTTCACCAATTCGCTATATGACTCGTTGCAACTCTTGTATGAGGATGCAGCGGAGAAAAAGGGGCTGCATCCAATCGGCTGCAGCGATGATATTGCTATCTTCTTAAATAGCAGATCTCCCAATGATTTCATTCTAACGTACAAATTATCCATGACTTTCTCTATGAATGCTTTCAAATCCTGCATGCAAGATGCAATGAAGATAAGTTATGAATATATACATGATGCAATGAAGTGCATGAATGTTTCTTACAGCGGCAGGGCGGTTTCGGAGGATGAAATCAAAATAGTCGCCTCCGGCGTAGCTAATGAAAGAGACGTCGGAGGGATGAATATCTTCCGGAGCGTAGACACGGCGGGCGTGGAGAAGGTCAGCCATGAAAGTGACCTGAGCAGTCAAATTAGGCAGTGGATCAGCCGAAAACACTCCTGACCCTCCGGACGCAAAATTCATTCCTCGTTTTAACCTAAGTTTCTTTCTCCCGTGACTTCTCCATGGATACGGCGATTCTGCACCCAAAGTATTTGCTGCACACATACATATATCCATCCACGGACCAATACTAGGTAGAGTTATAACTTTATTTAACTTTCGACCTAATTAATGATATACTTATTAAAAAGAAAATGTTTAAGGAAAAAGAAGTGTATAGTAAGAATTTCTCAAAGGTTAGTTTACATTTATCATCGATATACTGAGAGATAGAGAGAAGAGAGAAGAGAGAAGAACCTAGAAAATCGGTGGAGGTGAGACCATCAGAATAACGGCCGGAAGGTTTACCGGGGAAAGTTATACCGTAAGGGGAGATCCAAGACTCTGCATCTTGCTTCGCGTTTCCCGTATCCGCATATGAATCTCCGAACACAAAGAGCTTCGGACTTTTGTTTGGTCCAGATAGCTGATTTGAACATATTACTTGATTGATTCCTCCTGCACATTTTATTTTTAAATAAATAAAAAATCATTCAAAATTCCGCCATAGAGGTTTTAGTAGAATCTGTCGTGATGAGAGAGCGCTATAAGAATATTATTGTACATTACCAAAGAAGATACAGAGTGAAAGGAAAAGTTTCATCAGATTATACATTTCAAGATAGCAAAGGCTTCTCTTTTTTTTTTTTTTCTTCTTAGGGACCAAAAGAAAGGGAGAGGAAAGGGAGAGTATGTGGAGGAGAGAACCTTAGGGATTGAAATTGAAGTGTTCTTACTCATGTCTTAATATAGACTTAGGTAACCTTAAAACAAGTAACTTTTAAGTGTAGTGCGCGCGTGTGTGTTTCTATGATTCATTAGAGCGTAAAGAAGAAGCATGTATTCTTATCATTTAAAATATTTATATTGGCTATTCATCATTGAAATTGTTAGTAGAAATACTAAACCCTAATCGTTTAAATTTCAACGTGAACTTCAATCATGATGATTACTGATTAGGTTATGTGCGAATGAGATATATATATACTCAAAATATGGAGAGATCGATAACAACTATAAGATGAAGAAAAGTTAAAATCACAAACACATATCGGTTATTGATCCTAAAAATCGAAAAAAGTGGGTTTATGGTTTGATCAAAGACGCGGTCAGGTTTTTGCCTAAAACTGAGTAAACAGATTCCCATCCTTGCTGAGTAGGGTGAAGTCCATCCCAGAAGAAAGCAGACTTAGGATCATCACATAACCTATACTTCTTCTCACCCTTATCGTCCACATGCGCACAACTTCCTTCGCAACACGGTTTCAACGGGGTTTCAAACCTCCTACTCCCTGCATCTCGATACATAACATATCACAAGAAAGCGTTATTTAAAAAAAAAAAAAAAAACTGCTTTTTTATCTATTAAGGATCAAAAAATGTATACCGCCTGAATTCTCTCCTTTGGTCTTGAAGATGGTCAAGAAGGCGTTATAGAAATCAAAGATGATGAAAGTAGAATGGTTGGTCTCATTGTTGAGCTTGGCCACTACTTGCTGCAACAAGGTGTTATGGTAGTTCACCAACGCGTTAAAAGTGTCGTTGCAACCCTGCAACGAGGCGTATAGAGGGAGGCATCCGAGCGGCTGCAGCGATGGTACTGCTATCTTTTCAACTCCAAAGGCGTGGATTCGCCTCAAATTCACCTCTGTTTGATCCACCACTTGCTTTATGAATGCTGGTAGTTCCTGAGAGTTGCAATACAGGCGGAAAATCAATAACGAATAGATGATATATTTCCTAACCTAATATATCAAATTATTGTTTAAAAGTTATATAAGTTTTCTTACAGCGATAGAGCGGCTTAGTGTGAGATAATTGGAGTAGTCGTTGCCAGCAACGCTGACGAGAGCGAGAGAAGAAGAAAGGTCAGATGGAGAGTAGAGATCATCGCCGAGGAGATGCTCGAAGAGATTGATCTGAATGGTCATGTTGGGACTCGAACTCTGAGTGTTGAACACTCCCGTTCCTCCGTACGCGAAATTCATTCCGTACCGTAACCGTTTGTTTCCCGCGTAATCTTTCCAGAGGTAAGGGATTGGTGATTTTATCCTCATCAATCTCGCTGCACCCGTATATCCACCAACATATATATAGTTTGTATGTTCATTTAAAGGGTATTATTTTCAATACAGAGGGTGTTCATTTGAAGTTATCAAAGATAACGTTTAATAGCATTAGGCTCGAAAAAAAGGAAAAGACTAATTAAGGATAAATGAAGAGGTACCTAGAAAATCGGTGGAGACTCGGCCATCGGAGAAACGGCCAGAGGGTTTACCGGGGAAAGTGATACCGTAAGGGACTCTCCATGACACAGCGTGAGACTTCTTTATGTTTCCTGTATCAGCGTAAGAATCTCCGAACACAAACAGCTTCTTTGGACCGTACAAGTGATCATGATATTGATGATGCTGATTTGAACCCTCGACTCCATTGATTTCTCCTGCCCAAAAAAAGGGTTCCATCATCCATATATAACTAACAAATCGTAACTTGTGAAATTAGTCATATGGATATTACAAAATCATTTGTAATGAGAAAAATATGAAGATAAGTGTAAATTACCAAAAAGGAGGGTAGATGAAAAGAAGAGTAACAGTGAGAAGAAGGGTTTTATCAGGGGATCCATTCCCAAGATTTAGAACAAATGCTGCGAAATGGAGAGAAAGAGAGAGAGTTATGTGGAGGAGATGGGTTAAAGGACTGAATATGCCAAATTAGGCATGGTCCCAAAGTTGAGTATTTTTTGAAATTCAACAAATAATAGTAACCACATGTCTACAGATCAAGCAAATAACAGTGAACTTTTTTTAAATATGGGTCATGATTATTTTTTTTTTTTATAACATAGTAGTTTTTTTTTTAATAAATCAATAACACTACCTAACATCCTACCAAATCCTATTACCAACAAATATTAATTTTACAATAAAAAAATTACCACGTAAAAGCCGTGGAGGACTAAAGATTCTCCTCCTTTCTCTTCGGTACCAAAATCGGCTACATTACACAAATTTTTTGACACTACTAACAAATTAAACATTGCCATCTCAAAAGCTTTGACCAAATCGTCACAACTTACAGACAAAGGCTAACACAATAATGCATATATATCTTTTATCAACGCCATGGCATTCGTCTGAGACCAAATTTCGGTAACCAGTCCGATGGCATCCAACTTTGATGAGGAAAAAAAAAAAATCCAAAGAACTCATGATTTGTATACCGGAACAAATTGTTGTCATCTGAGTTTAAGAAGAAGCTTCTACCTCGGTGAGAGGTTTTTGTAGAACTCTTAAACATGTATTTGTAGCGCCCGTGTGAACGCAGCATATGTTGATTTAAATCATTCTCATTTCAACCGTTGAGATCAGTCCATGAGAATGGACCCACATTAATGGCCCACGCCCAAGTTATTGTGATATGCCTTTTTAACAAATAAAATATAATTTGACGGTTGCGATATTATGCAGGAATTTCGACGGTGTGGATCAGTTATATAAGGCATTGTACGGCCCAATTACAGTTGTCTTTTCGTCTTCAAGCAATCGACTCGGGATGGTGTGACACCGAAAAGGAAGGTCGAGTTCGAATTAATTTGCGAATCAACAAATATTGGTGACTTGATCCTCCTCAATGTTTCTGGGCTTTTGTTCTTCTGTTTCAAATCTGAAAGCTGGCACACAAAATCGATGTTAGGGTTTCTCGAATTCGTCTTCCTCGCTGCTTTGAGCTATTGATGATTTACTTTTTCTTTCTTCAAATACTTACATTTTATCTCTCTGTCTCAATAGTATCTTCGATAGCGTTTTCATATCAGTGAATTTAAATCTACTGCATCGGAGCCTCTAGGCTTGTTTTTAGTGGGAGTCTTAATTTTTATCTTTCTATGGTATGTTTAAGTACGTATTATTATTCTGTATGATGGATGATAATAAAGCCCATTAAACTTGAACCAAGCAAGTCGAAATGAGAAAAGCCCGAAGCCCATACCGCCCATTTATAGAAGAAGTAGAGGAAACGACGACGGACAGAAGGGGAACCGCAAAACTCAAAACAATTTTAACGTTGAAGTTAATTATTATTTTTTAAACCAATTCCATTTACTTAGAAAAAATTTCGCAAAGCTGTTTAACTCCCGCTTAATACTTAGCTCCAAGCAATTTCTCAAGTAATATTTATAATTTCATGCAAGCTCTTATTTGATTTTTTTTTTTTTATCAGATTTTTCTTTTCAGTATGCATAATTTCTATTGGGTCTATAGAAAAGAGAGGTATATAACTAGTATCAACCACCGATTCACCTAACGTAGACATTTATCAGGTTTATCAGCCAGTCTAACTAAATTAAAATTCTTTAGTTGAAAAAAATCGTTTGGGTTTTTTCTTGGACATATTCTCATATAGTAGTATATGATTAAAAGGTTACTGATTTATCTATTTACTTTCTCTGTATGTACATTGCACATTGTTTAGTAAAGCAACTGGGGTAAACACAATTTAGGTTTCAAATTATTTATTTATTTATGTTAAAGATAATGTCCTTTAAGGTTCAAACTGGAAAAGGAATCTGTATGCGTCTGTTTCCTATTCACACAAAAGAATCACATAACTCTTACATATAGGATGGAAATAGAAAGCAAAATTAATTATAAAATCTGGACTTGTTAGCTAACAATAATTAAACACGGTTTCCAATTCAGTAAAAGCATTAAATGAGAACAAATTATTATACATGATCAGAATATAAACTGACAGTCTCCATCTTCTCCATATACATGAATTCCTTTTTTTTTTTTTTCTTTTTTTCATTCTTCACTTTCTCCGTCTTTGATTCTATAATATTCTTGATAGAAGCGTGAAAAAAACAGAGAACGATATAGATTTATATAAATAATTGACGGGACATGAGTACATGACGTCATCGCTGGTTTTATTGATGCTGGTGACGGCGGCGATTGTATTCGCTACTAAGTTTAATGGTCTTCCGCCGTGTCTACTCCGCCACAGGTATGTACGGACTTCCACAACTCTCTTTTTCGTCTCTTTGTCTCTTAACGTAAGTGTCGTTTTCACACCAAACGGGAATAATTTGGCTCAATTTAATGTTAGTTAGTTTAATGCACACTAAAATCTTGATCGATTCGAATTTAATTGGTTATACCTATTTGTCCATCCTATACTGCTAACAAAAGTAAATATTTTTTTTATAAATAATTAGTTAATAAAATTTTCATCACTCCTTTTAGTTAATAAAATTTAAGTGTATCTGAATACACATATACTTTTCTATTTTTGGTACCAAGAGATACATTACATACATTTATCACTGTGAAGGTGTGGAAGAGAGCTCAAGATGAATAACAATGATATTCACAGATCTTCTCTTTGTCCAAGCCAATTCGCGAGTTTGTATTTAGCAAATATCGATCCACAAGTTTCTGAAGAAACGTTGATTCAGATGTTCTCGGGTTTCGGAAAGATTATAAGTTCATTTCTAGCGAAGGATTTCAGAGGAGAGTCGCGAGGATTTGCTTTCATTGAGTTTGAAAGCGCAGATAGCGCTGGACAGGCCGTGGAACATATGAACGGAATGTTAATAGGTAAAATTTATGCCAAAAATTAACATTCAAGTGACAGTAAAATTTGGAATTAGTATATCTTTGATTAAAGACACAAAGGAGGGTGTATATGATCACATTTGTAAGAGGTCAATATATGGATGAGTTGAATTAGAATCACTCATGACCAATTACAACTTTAAATACCAAAACAATTCTATGAAATCTGTTTTAAAATACATTTTTTTCCTACTTGATGAGTAGGTCAGAAGATTCTATACGTTGAGAGGACACCAAAGGTCGACGACGGTCAAAATATATAATAATCTGGCGTGGGTTAATGGCATATGTGATGTCGTTCTATGTAAATGTATAAGATGATATAGGTTTCATCCATTATTTATAATAAAATCTACTGCTGAATAGAAATGGTTTAGTAACAAAATTTGTGAAAAAGATAAATTCCCACCTTGTTTTATGATTGTAAATTTTCGATTACAAAAGGCTGTAATAAAGGAGTGGAGAAATCGTCGACCAAAAAAAAGAGAAGCGAAATCGTCGATTTATTTTCGGCTATAAATTTGGTCGTCAGTACATTTCTATAAAGTAAAAGGGTGCGCTTGCGGAAAGAAATAAAATGATGATTTGAGATGTGAAATGATGGCACATTCTTTATCATTACATGTTTTTCTTTTTTAATGAGAAGGGAGTATAGTAATTAAGTTGAATTATATTTATGAAACAAAAAAGTTGTTCAATAAAGGAATCTTGTCCAAGTGAAATATATGTTTTCTGATACGGTGGACATGAACTGTATAGAGAATCCCGGCTAAAGAAACCGTACTAAACGAGAATAACGTCAATATCCTGAAATCCTGAAATCACAACACCCGAAACACAAATATAACAAAAATTAATGAAAGTGAAATAATAAATCAACATGTTTTTACTGGTTAATTGAATTTTTACCTTAGGATCAGACACAATGATACCCAAAAGATTAGCCATCAGGTCAAGAGCCGCTTGCAACGAGTTCTGAACACCGCCAACCACACAACGGTCTGATTCCGGTACAAGATCCTAAGACAATGTTCCCAAAGCATCATCACACACTCAACCGAAAAAAAAAAAAACAAAAACTTTGAAGCAAAACATAAAAAATAGCTTTACTATATATTCATACCTGCATTTGTTGGATTACGGCTAGATCGAACATCCACAAGCCAAGCCTAGACGCAGCAACCCCAGCCATGAGCATGTATGATGCTATTTTCTCTGTCTCAACCCATATCGATCCAACACAGACCAAAAGACAGGTCCACTAGAGAAAAAAGAACCCATTTTTGATAACATTTTCAGGTGAACCAAAGATCGTTTCCTATATAGTATTGACACATTAGATAGCCTCAAACAAGGTTTTTATTTAGCATACGTACATCTTATATATACGTAGGATCAGGATTAGGTTTTTGATTTTTCTTGGTCTTTTAGGTGTTCTTGTAATAATCTACTTAGGCTAGTATTTTGTGGAGGTCTTGATTGATTAATAACCCCAGTTTTGTATCTTTCTCCTCTGTTTTTAATAAATCAATAGAAATCTCAATAAATCTAAGATTATCATACTCCTCTGTTTCTTTCTCCTCTGTTTTCGATAACAATATAACATTGCATTTATACCTAGTTTGCTTGATGTCAAATTTGGATTAGTATCATCATATATATAAAGATACCTGAGACCAGAAGGACCAGAGTCCGGTTCTAAGCGGCGAGAGACGGGATTGCATGAGAGGGTAGACGACAGTAGCAGCTAGTCCAACACCTGCGCTGATTCCTCTGCCTATACCAATGATATAAGTAGGTATCCCTTTCCACTCCAATGTCGCCGTCATCAATGTTCCGAAACTGTTGCAAAACAAAACTATATCATATTCCAAACACAAGAGAGAGAGAGAGAGAGAGAGAGAGAGAGAGAGAGAGAGAGAGAGAGAGAGAGAGAGAGAGAGAGAGAGAGAGAGAGAGAGAGAGAGATCAAAAGAGAGAAGTCAAAAGGAAACCTGAGGACGGTAAAGAACAATAGAGCTAGAGCAACTCCAGGGAGCACAATTTCTTGGTTGAGATAATTCCTCCAAGCAGCAACAAAAGAAGATCCAGAGATTCTCTCAAGAATCCTCATGATTCCGCTTCTACTTGGTATGTTGTCCTCTGAGGTTGTTCCCTGCAAAAGAGGAACATGAAGATAACGAGATGCAATGTCTGTCTCTTCTGCTTGCGTTCGAGACATTAACCTTGAACTCCTTCTCGCATCGCTTTGTACTATCGCAGGAACACCACTATACACAGAGATGAAGAGCCAATACTCGATCCACACGGTTATAGTAGCCCAAGCCGCGAATGTGATCGCTGATGCTCTCAGAGAGACAAAGCTAATGATCAAACCAGTGATAACCGGAGACAGTAGCTTCGAGCTCAAGTCAATGCTTCTAATCACAGAGTTCATTCTTGTTAAAACCGCCGGCGAATGACCTTCCGACATAACCACAACCCTGTAATAAAAAGCAAATACAAAATATCATATTTTCCACTTTATATGATTCGAAACTAAACCTTAGTTTTTACCAGTCTCGTTCGATGAGAATGGTGCCTGCAAGAGTGGAGAGTACTCCGACGGCGCCGGAAAGATTCGTCAACACGACCAACGTTGCGAAAAGCGGGAAATTCTGAGACTTGAGATCAGGAGCAAGCAGCAAAGCAACGATTGCAACACCAGCAACAATGAAGGAGAGGTTTTGAGTTACAAGCCAGAGTCTTAGAACTTTAACATAGCTCATTCCATCGATCATTTGCCCTACGATGGGACCGAAAATGGCGGTCGAACCGGATTCTACAGCACCGTACATCGCAGTGAGAAACAGAGAGTTTGGCCAGAGGTAAATCATATACAGAGCCACTGAGAATTCCCATGTTCTGCAATTTCAAAATTTCTGATATATATATATATATATATACATTAAATATAATTAAAGAACCTATCTTACGAAAAATCATACTCTTATATTAATCTAAGATTTGATCAGACCTTGCACCCCATCGAGCAAGAAAATAGCCAAGATAGAGAGATATCACCATGGGACGTGGTAACAATGGCTCTTCTTGTTGTTGTTCTTCGTTTGATAGAAAAACCCTAGTTCCTGTCTCCGTCTCCATCTCTGCTGATTAAGTTGACTCTTTCCTCGGAATCTCAGTTGAATCTGAAACTCATATATATCGACCAAAGCGAATTCAGTGTTCATTGCATGTCACTTGCCTCTCTAGATTTTCATTAATTGAATGGGTGCAATGCTACTAGTAAAACCATAGATGGAATGAATAACCAAATAAACTTGAATTATTTCATAGGGCGTGCTATTTTACAACAATCCTTAGTGATATCTTATCACATTACGTGCTGTTTAAGGAAAAAAATTAGCCTAACTATACGAGAACACCAAATATGTATTGGTCGAACAACACCAAATTAACGAAAATTAATTATTATACAACTATCTTAATATGCATAGCGAAATAATGAACCATTTATTTTTCTGAAATATGCCCTTTAAAAAATAAATACATATTTTTTATAGTTTGGTCGAACCACGAGAAATTAACGAAAATTCATCTCTAAACCACTGATCAACAATATGAGTTCTGGTTTATCACTTTTGCATTTGATGTCTATAGATAATGTATTAGACATGTAACAAATCTTCCTGAAAAAAAATAGAACGGCAAAAAAGAAAATTGAAATCGGGCTTTCAAAAAGAAATTGCCATCGAAATACTGTTCGACTCCCAACGATACACCCCCATGAAAACAACAATCCGAGCTCTTTTCTTGATTCAAAAGAATATACAATAGCTCAAACGGAAAGGTTTAAGAAAACAAAACGAATATCTTCAAGGGGGGGGTAGAAAGTTAGAAAAAAAACCTCACACAGCACACGAGAGCTTGGAAGATGAATGATCGAAGCACCAAATCAAAGTCGTGGAAATTAAAGCAGAAGCCGAGAGACGGATTTTAGGGCATTAGTGTGTTGTTATTAATATACTCCGGATATTTTCCTGATTTTGGCGTCAACGATGATCGGATCTATATTATCATTATTAAATAATATGGTTTAGTTGTTTTTTTCCTGTTACACTAGACAATTAGTGTCTCGGACAGCACAACGACTGAGTAAATAAGACGAGATTTTGTTGTTGTGAGAACCATAGTTTAATTATATACACAACTTGAATACGCCAATCTGGACTATCTGCGCGCATTGTACAAATTTCAACATTATCTTCTCATCATATCTCAGTTCATCAAAATATTATACACATATACGAACAAGAAACAACTTATTATATTCAAACATGAACTTATATATATATATACATATATATAGAGAGTATATAGGTATAGCATGCATCATGTCTTAAAGTTTTGGACGTACCTTTAACCTATCACAAATCACAATTAAGAAAGATATACAATTATAGCATATGATGAAAAGAAATTTAACATCGCTACTGTCTACCGAGTTATTCTACCAAACACATTTGCGCTTGCGGTAAATTTGTATCCATTTTACAAATGTAACAAAGTTTTCTAGACGCAAGTAGCAAATGTAACCAGTCAAAAACTAAACATAAAAATTGTTGAAGTAAACGACATCCACTTTATTTACGGATGTGGAAAACGGCAACGTGTGTTGACGCTAACGCCGTATTCCAAATCTGGCGTAAATAATAATAAATCTGGTGTAAATAATAATAACTAAAGTCGGGAACATTCCGAGTTCTCTCCCTGAGCAGCTGAGCTCAGGCCATGGCGTTTCGTCTCGCGAGGTCATTGGCGGCGTTATCACCGTCACGGCCGTCGTTTTTGTCCATCGGAAATCGGTGGTTGGCGTCAGATATCGCTTCCTCTGAGTTTTCTAATTTCGGTTGGGCTTTCGCCTTTTATTCGTCTTCGTCCTCTTGGTGGTCGTCTCCCGAGGATTTGACGGCGGGATCGAAGAGGCGGGAGAAGAAGACTACTGACCGCTACTCAGCCGTGATTGACGCAGTCCATGACCGGAAACTCCCACCGGAGCTACGTGGGCGGCGCGATTTCGTAAGGTATAATCCTTTACAAGCTATGCTTTGAATCTGCTGGACTTTGGAATCGATATCGTATATTCTTAGGCTTCGTTGAGAATTTAGTGTCGTTGCAGATTAGTCCAAATACCAAATGCTGAACTCATCTCTCTGGGAAATCTTCTTACCTTGTTTTAGCGTTTTCTTCTCCACATTTCAATTCAAATTACCTTGGTTTTGCGGTAGAGTTTTTGCAAGGCAATTCAGCTCCGAGACTAAGCGAGTCAACACCAAAGTCAATTTCTCTCTGTCTGATGATGAGGAAACTCCGGTTACTGAAGATCCTGGCAAGCCAGAGCTCCCGCCTCCTTATGACCCTTTCAGTAAGAAACCTGCGATTGAGGAACCAGAGGATCCTAAAAATCTCCAAGCAATATTCCACAAGATGAAAACACAAGGTCTTACGAATGAAGCTGTCAAAATGTTTGATGCGTTGTCCAAAGACGGCCTCACGCATGAGACGCTCGAGCTCTTCTCTCAGATCAAAGAGAAGCACCACATGCCAGACGTGGTGGCCCATACTGCTATCGTTGAGGCCTATGCTAAGGCAGGCCAGCCCAAGGAGGCTCTCAAGGTTTTCCTGCGTATGCTCGCTTCTGGCGTTTTGCCTAATGCTTATACATATACGGTTTTGATCAAAGGGCTTGCAGTGGATGCCAACACGCTTAAGGATGCGAAGAAGTACTTGTTAGAAATGATGGGATATGGCATGAGCCCTAATGCTGCCACTTACACGGCTGTGTTTGAAGCTTTTGTAAGAGAGGGTAAAGAGGAGTCAGCTAGAGAACTGTTGCAAGAAATGAAGGAAAAGGGTTTTGTGCCTGATGAGAAAGCTGTGAAAGAGTCTCTTCACTCTAAAAGAGGCCAAGTCTTTAGGACTGTCATCAACCTTTTATTTGATAAATAGTAGTAGTAGCGGTTAGTGTTTGGTAATCGAAGAACTGGCTTTTATCCGATTCATCTGAGTATGTTGCCGAGTCTTTTCTTTTTGGATGTTGTCACAATTGCGCAGTAGCTTTGCTGTGAATGATATGACAATTTTTTTTTTTGTCAGAGAAAGCATATGCTTGTTGCTCTTGCTTTTTTTTCTTGCATTGTGGTTCTTTAGTAAAATTCCAGATGCGATTCTTCTTGTGATACATGTTATTGCTTTGACCTTCTTGTAACGGATGCTAACATGAGATCATATTGCAGGTCAGAGACTGACATAATCAACGTGGTCGAGCAAAGGATATGGCATTCAATGGAAGAAGGCCATTTTGAGAACTTACCGGGTAAAGGCAAACCCTTGAACCTTCACACAAATCCGCACGCAGACCCAGCGGAGGATACATTATACAGAATTCTTAACAAGAACGGGTTTGCTCCTGAATGGGTGGAGCTCAACAAAGAGATAAGAAACAAAGCAAAAGAATGGAGAGTTTCATTGAAAAAAGCATGGACTATGAAATTCGAGGAAGACCAGTCGTGTTGGGAAGAGAGATCAGATATGCTGAAAACACAATTGAAAGAAATCAACAACATGGCAAGTCTTGAACCACGAATTAAGATCATGCTGTGATGTTTATAATGATTTACTTATGTGCTCTCTTCTTTCTGTGCAGGTTTTTAGGTACAATCTGATTGTTCCTTTTGGCCGTCAAATGGTTGGATTGAATTGGGAGAAAGAGATTGATCGCTTGAAAGAATAACATCTTTAGATACCAAAAGGTTGGTCACACTTCTATGAGCTACTCTGTTTTTGAGTTTTTACTTTGTAGTATATAAATAGTATACGAGTCAATGTGGCTCTTATTTATTAGGTAGAAGAAGAATAAGAAACAAAATTGTTTTCAGACTATGTCGTGTATGTTGTATCTTTCACATCTTCTTAAGAAGAAACAAGTGAAAGAAAATTATAGGTTAGGAAGAAGTCTGTAGGGATTAAATCATGTTCTTTATCAATTAAAAAAAAATTATGTTTAATAATCTATGTTCTTTATCAATTTAAAAAAAAATTATGTTCCTTAATTGAACTAATGAAAGTCAACGAATCGAGTAACATGAAAATTAGAATCTTTTTACGTGAAAAAAAAGAACGAAATAGAATCTTTTGTTTTTTAATATAGTTTTTTTATGTATTGAAAGAGAAGGAAAATGAGAGGTGAGAGCGACAAATCATCCACTAACACATGGTTCATCTCCCACCACATGTTACTCAAGAGGGTTTAAACAGAACAGCAAACACAACACAACACTCAATCTCCATCTCACAATTCAGTTCTCTCTCTCTCTCTTCTGTGTGAGAGAGAAGGCTCAATGGTCTTCAATTGCTTGAGCCTTGGCCTCCATCTCCATCCTCATCCCCACAAACACAATCGTCATTCACTTTCTTCTTTAAGATCCCACACCAAAGCTAAACTCTGTCACCATGTCTCATTCACAGCTTCCAGCGATGAGAGATTCTACATTTCTTCTGGGTCTCCGTCTGACCCGCAACATAAAAGTCTCAAACACTTTGAATGGAGCGATCGCAGCTTGACTTCGAGCCGGTCCGGTGACAACTTGGGTTTGAGCCGGTCCGGTGACAACTTGGGTTTGAGCCGATCTGGTCTTATCCGCCCAAGATTCTCAGCGATGACAGGGTCAGATTTTGATGACTTCGGGTACGACGAATCCCAATTCGACCCGGCCCTCACGAATGACGACTTGAAGCCGACGAAGCCAAGCCAAAGAACGTTTTCGTGGTTGGATATGTCGAGTTTATGGATCGGTCTAGTGGTTGGTGTGCCTACTTACTACCTCGCCGGAAGCTTAGTGGACTTAGGCATGGCGTGGTGGCAAGGGATAGCCACAGTGGTTGCAGCCAACCTAATACTCCTCGTGCCGCTTGTTCTCACCGCTCAGCCTGGTACCATGTACGGAATCTCCTTCCCTGTCCTGGCTAGATCATCGTTCGGTATCCGTGGAGCCCACATCCCGACACTAGTCAGAGCATTAGTCGGTTGCGGATGGTACGGTATCGAGACATGGATCGGGGGAGAAGCTATCTTCTTGCTCTTACCAGGTCACGTTAAGAACTCGGCTTTGTCTCATACACTACCTTGGCTCGGCACTTCTCCGCTTGAGTTCTCTTGTTTCATCGTCTTCTGGCTGGCTCAGCTTTGTATTGTCTGGAGAGGAATGGACGGAATCAGAAAGCTCGAGAAGTATGCAGCTCCGATTCTGATCACTCTCACTTCTTGTCTCCTTGTCTGGTCCTATCTCAAAGCTGGTGGGTTCGGTCACATGCTTTCCTTGTCATCCAAGCTAACCTCTGCTCAGTTCTGGTCTCTCTTTTTCCCATCCCTAACCGCAAACATAAGCTTCTGGGCAACTCTTGCTTTAAACATCCCTGATTTCTCCCGGTTTGCAAAATCCCAAACCGATCAAATCATTGGTCAAGCCGGTCTTCCCATTTTTATGGGTTTGTTCACGTTCGTTGGCTTAGCTGTTACGTCCTCCACAAGTATCATCTTTGGAAGAGTTATCTCCAATCCGATTCAGCTTCTCGGTCAAATCGGAGGCCTCGCCACAACTCTGCTTGCTATCCTCGGAATCTCCCTCGCCACAATTACCACAAACATAGCTGCAAACGTGGTCGCGCCTGCAAACGCGCTTGTGAATCTAAACCCTAAGGTTTTCACATTCGGAAGAGGAGCGTTATTAACCGCGATTCTTGGGATCGTGTGTCAGCCGTGGAGATTGCTCAAATCGAGTGAGAGCTTTGTGTACACATGGCTCATTGGATACTCGGCGCTTCTTGGTCCTATCGGCGGCATAGTTCTCGCCGATTATTACCTGATGAAGAAGATGAAACTGAACATTGGAGATTTGTACTCTTCGAGTACCTCCGGGGAATATTATTTTTCCAAGGGATATAATGTCGCCGCCATCGTCGCTTTGGTCGCCGGAATTATCCCAGTCGTGCCTGGTTTTCTACACAAGATCGGAGCTTTGTCGAAGATCGCAAATGGGTTCGTCGTTGTTTACGACAACGCATTGTTTTTCAGCTTCTTCATCGCAGGATTTTTCTACTGGATCATAATGTCTTGTCTAAGAAGCAAACAGAGGTCGTTGTCTTCTTCTTCACAGACGCTTTTGTGAATATTGGCATTTGATTGGTTTCGTAAGTAATTTAAATATAAAATTTCCGATGTAAATTTAAACAGAAGAACACAAAAATAAAAGGATTGATTTTTTTTTTTTTTTTTTTTTGATTACGGTTTTAGTTCATATACGATGATGATTTTGTGTTTCATATACTTAAGCTGAATAATGAGAGCATATTGGGATAACTTCTGGGGTCTTAACTTGTTAAGTTGTAATTATAGCTTGCGGGTTGTAGGGTTTGGTATAGCCCATGGGCTTGCTACAGCCCGTAAGAAACTTTTAAACAAAAAAAAATTGTCTCTATACAACAAGACTCGACTCATATCTCAAATAACCTAATGTTAAACAACCCCTCACCATCCCCAAGAAACAAAGGGCGGTCTACGGATCTAGAAAGTTGAAATGATCAAACTACAATCAGTGGTTATTTAAAAAAGAATTAAAAAAACTTAAGGATTTAATTCAAAAACAAGACATCATGACACAAGACTGTATGGATCGGACACGTGATAACATTGAACGTAGTAACTAATGATGATTATTTAAATAATATAAACAGGCTGTCACGAGACGAACTGTGTAGATCTATTCTTGATCAAGATCTGAAAAAACAATTATGTATTAATTAATATTTTTTCTATATTATCATAAGAAGACAACCATGTGCGTAGAGACGCTGAGTTTTGTTCTTTATAACTTAATTATAAGTAAAGAGAAAGAAGGATAATAACATTATCACAAGAACTACCCTAATCTTCATGATGTGAGATTCTCACCCGACAAGTCCATCTTGTAAATACTCTTAAAAACTCTTTCCTCATGCGGTCATGCCCTAATGCACATATCAAATCAGATAAATCTGAAGAGTATACCAGTTCTTATCCTCTCGATTCCACATGGCCAAGCGGAGAGAGAGTCTTCACATCGATACTCCAGGTTTGATCTCTAGCTAAACCTTAAATCCTAAACTCTTTGGGAAAAACTAGTTTGTATTTCGTGTTTATACACTATTTGACTTGTTGGCTTGTATGGTTAGATCGCACGCCAAAAAGAAATTTACGGTCGATGCAACTTAATAGTTGACTATTTTTCAGACACGGCATGGTGACGCTAGCTTCTCTTGGGCGTCGTCTAAAGCTAGAAAATAATGGTGCTCATGGTTCATCTAGTCGGAAGTGACATCTATATATACTCGTAGATGAAATTTTTGCTCTCGCAATAACAAGGTTTGCAGTCATAGTTACATTTTTTAATCAATCAATCACATCCATAGACAATGACCTTAAGTATACGTGGATGGGGATGTAACGCCTCTTGTTTTCTGCGAGGAGCGTTTGCACATGTTTCATGGAGGACGAAATCACATTCGATACATGAACAGCAGTTACTCTATAACATGCTTGAAAAAACACCCAAACTAGTTAACCCTATGCCAAACACATCCATATAGAATGTTTTTTTCAAGTGTGTATTATTTTTTTATCTACGAGAGTAATTTCTAATCATGTATTAAATGTGATTTCATACTTCATAAAACATGTGCAAATCTTCCTCATAGGAAACGACATGCGTTACATCCCCATCGACTTACACTTGAGGTCGTTGTCAATGAATATGATTTAACACATGTTGCTTCGACAGTAATCTTGTTATCGTGATAGCAGTAGTTTCGTCTATGAGTGTCATATAGATCGCCGGAATAATCTCATGTGTGCTTGCCTGCTTAAAGAGATCGGAGCTTTGTTGGAGATCTCAACTTGGTTCGTAAATGAGTTTGCTCTGTCTTTAAAGATGCCTTGTCTGAGAAGGAAAACCTAGTTGTGTTTTTCTTTACAGTCGCTTTTTATATCAATCTTTTCATTCGATTGGCTTGCTTCGTTTTGATTTGTAAATTTTGTATTCGGTATTCCCTTGTTGTATATTTCATTAACTCCTAGTTCAAAATAATATCGAAAAAATCATTTAATAGGTTAAATAATTGATTTCGTTTTTTTCTTTCTTTTTCTTGTTAGCTTGTTTCAATAAAAAACCCCTATGTTTCACTAAATCCCCGTGCAAAACGAAATTTAGGAAAATCAGTATATATATAGAGATACGATTTCCCTTTTTTTTTTCCTTTATTTGTTAGATGAAGTTATCTTTTTTTGAATATTTCCTAGATTGAATTCGATTGATATAGGAAAATTTGCAAATTAATTTATCCTGTTACCTATATATATCTTTTCATATAAACAGAAGGAGTAATCTGACAATCATACGAAGCTAACAACGAATGAAATAAACTCTGTTCTGGCATTTTAGTAATGATCGATTTCAATTAGGCTTTCTTATCGGCTGGTTTCTCAAAGTGATGGGGAACCAATTGCAGAGACAAAGAAAGATAACTGTTCATGGCTTCATTCTTGAGCCTTCGCAGGTGAATTTAGCAAACTGGATTTTTCAGAAATATCCAGAAATTGCAGTGAATGTCAAATTGCAAGACGATGAGCTCAGGACAAGATACATGAACCTTGTACTCGGCATCATCAAGAGTCTTTACCACAAGCCTCTACGTGATCTAACCAATGATAAACTGATCAAAGTTTCGAAGGAGTTGTCTGATGTGACACAAGCAGGTTTCAAAGTGGATTGGCTGGCTTCAAAGCTTAAGAAGGTGTCCTTGGAGAAGAAGACCTCTGAAGATCGGATTCGGAAACTCAGACAAGAGGTCCAAAAACTCAAGCTAACGATCTCAGAGAAGAAGAAGAAGAAGAAGAAGGCTTCTGAAGATATGATTCGAGAACTCAAACAAGAGGTAAAAAAACTTAAGCTAATCATCTCAGAGGAGAAGACCAAGTTGACGAAGAATCCCTGTTGGATCACCAAAACAGAGATACACATTTCCTTTTTAGAATATTTTTAAATATTCGGTATATGTGTATTTTATCCCATGGTTTATCTACCACTTTTTTTTTTTTTTAATGTAATATGCTATAAGATGATGATTTATCAGGTTTTTCCAGGTTTGACTTTTTGAGTATATCGATCTCAATCGTATATAAGAGTTTTCATAGCTTGCTAGACACGGTTTTGTTTTAAGTTTCTCTTGGGTTTCTTCATAAATACTCCTATTAAGTCTTTTAATTTACCATATTTTAATTGGGGATAAATGGGGCTACGAATAGAGCCAAGTTAAAAAAAAAGGATACAAATGGAAATTGCTATTCGATTTTAGATATAAAAACCGAATATTCTTTTATTCCACACACATAAATAGGATAGGAACACACTTGAACGGTGCATCACACAGGATTACAACACCACCCACACACACTTAAACCAAACCAAACCGGAATCAAAATAAACAAAGAAGTAATTAACATAGACAAAGAGAGAGAGAGGGAGAGAGTAAGAGAAAGATAGTGATAATCTGCTGATTCCGAGGGGAACCGAAGCTTGCCAAAGGATCGAAGTTGCCCTAACGAGGGATAACAAAAGACACATCAAGCTTGTCTTCATCAACCTTCATGCAATCTTCATCGCTCCATTCACACACAACCATCATCATCACCATCACCATATACACTAGATAATGATAATGATAATGATGATGATCATCATTCACACAACACCCTACACATAAACACAATTCATAACCATAGTTTCCAAGAGAAACCTGAGAACTCTTGTGTTTTGGGCCATCCCCTAAAGAGAAACCTGAGAACCTCTCATCAAAACCCTTTATTGGCGAGATCTTCATGAAAGAATCAGAGAGTTCTTCATCTGTACTTTCTTTAGGGGACGGCCATATTTTGAGTGTTTGGTGTTGTGCCAAAGAGAGTTTTAACAATGGACGCTGTTAGGGTTTATATGGCTTCTCTCTTTGTCTTTAGTCATGGAGACAAATTAAAAGAGACATTGAAAACACCCATTACATAAGCTATAGTGTTCTTTCCACTTTTTCTTTAAAATACTCTTTTTTCAGTACTAACCAATCAACTCAGTGTACCCACTGTATCGCGTATCTATTCATAATATATAGATTATCTTTTGTTTTCTCCTAAACTGTATCTGAAAGTGAATACGAATGTTCAGTTTATATATTGTATTATACGGTAGACCAACATTGAAACAATTTATGAACAATGCATTTGTATGTAGAACTGTATATATGAGTTCATGAGTATGTCTTTATAGTATAAAGGAATATTGAAAAAAATAATAGATGATTGGTGTAAAGGGGAATAAAAGTAAGAATTATCATCCGTGTAAAGATGACAAAATCAAATTATTATTTTGGAAAAAGTGGAAGGAGATGATGGAAATGGGGGAAGTCCATGTAAAGATGTTGGGAGAATTTGGATCTTCTAAAAGGAATATGCCATTACCAAACTTAACAAAAAATATATATGACATTACCAAACATGTGTTTAAACAACAAACCCATCTCATCACTGATCACTCATCACTAATTTACGAATAAATCTATTTCTTTTTCTTTTTGTTTTGTTTAAGTATGCATGTCGATAGAGTCTATTGTCTTGTCCGGTTCAAGAATAAGGTTGTGGTCGGTTTCTTGTTGTTAAACAACGATTTAGGTTATTTTTGCATTAAGGAATTCTTTATAAAATTTTTTATATATGATCCAAACCAATTTTTTAAAAGTAACATATCGCCTTATGGGACATTTGAAAGGTGTTTACTGTTTAGCGCCAACATTTTTCTTTTAGAGTATATAAAACCAGACACATACACAAATAATTGAGCGTCTAGCTACTGAATTATACATTACGTCGATTAATATGATATATTAGCCGATTACTTGAGTACGTAAACCACGACAAAAAAAAAATGGAGCACCTCACCGATCAATCAGATGCTTAGTTTTAGGCCCTGTTCATTTTTTTATCTAGATGGTGCATTTAGATTTTGCATTTAGATCAGCATCTAGATACAATATCTAGATATTATTTGTTTTGAAAACTAGGTTTTGCATCAAGATGTTACGTCTAGATACTAAATTGTTCGTTTCTAAATTTAGAAAAATAGTTAGATACAAAATATATCAAATGACTAAAAAAGACATATTTTTGAATATTATTTTTTAATAAATGATATATTTATCAAATTAAGTTTTAGATATACATAATTTTTTTTTTTTGCAATTTTTGTGGGTAAACATAATTTTGTATATTTGACGGGAAAAAGTTTTACTGAAATTTTGAGTTTTCGATGGAAAATCAAGATATTGTGTTTTTGGTGTGAAATCGAGATTTTACGTTTTCAGCGAGAAACCGAGAGTTTTTGTTTTCGGCGAGAAACCGAAATTTTTTGTTCTTGGCAAGAAATCGAGATTTTGGGTTTTTTGTGAGAAACCGAAAGTTTTCGGTTTCGGCGGAAAATTGAGGTTTTGTGTTTTTGGCGAGAAATTTAGATTTTTCGTTTTTGGTGGAAAATCAAAATTTTGTATTTTTTGCGGGAAAGTGAGATTTTGCGTTTATGTGGGAAACCAAGAGTTTTTTATTTTGGTGGAAAATCGAGATTTTGCGTTTTTGGCGAGAAATCGAAATTTTTCGTTTTCGGCGAGAAACCAAGATTTTTTTCGTTTTTGGCGAAAAATCGAGATTTTGCGTTTTTGGCGAGAAGCAAGGATTTTTCGTTTTTGACGGGAAACCGAAATTTTTCGTTTTTAGCGAGAAATCAAGATTTTGCGTTTTTGGAGAGAAATCGAAAGTTTTTATTTTTTGGCGGGAAATCGAGGTTTTGCGTTTTTGGCGAGAAACCTAGATTTTTCGTTTTTGGCGGGAAATCAAAATTTTGTGTTTTTGGGCGGGAAATCGAGATTTTGCGTTTCGGCAGGAAATCGAGAGTTTTTCATTTTTGGCGGAAAATCAAGATTTTTGCGTTTTTGGCGAGAAAATGAGATTTTTTGTTTTTGGCAGGAAACAAAGAGTTTTTGTTTTTGGCGAGAAACCGAGAATTAACGTTTTGGCGGGAAATCAAAATATTTTCGTTTTTTTCAAAAAATCGAGATTTTTCGTCTTAGTGGAAAATCAAAATTTTGTGATGTTCGTGGAAATCAAAATTTTGTGATCTTTGTAAAAATCGAGATTTTTATTTTTGTAAGAGCATTAATGTTTTTAACATAAACTAGATGCAAACGCTGCATCTGAACTCTTTATTTCTCAGCATTTAAAATTGGAAATCAAAATTTTTGAGATGCTAATCACTTTGCATCCAGATACTGGATCTGAACGCAAATATTTTTGTAAAAAAACGAACAACATTTGGACTTTACAGCGTAGTCAAATACAGCATCCAGATACAGAAACGAACAAGGCCTTAGTTGATTAGTATATGTTCTGATTACTTTGAATTACAGTTAGCTAGTCAGCAACTTGGGGAGCAGGGTAATCATTTACTTAGCCGATTAATTAGTATAACCAAAGCTAACAGAATCGTCTCAAAGCAACTCGCGACTATATCAACTTATTATTAGTCGCATATTTCAACACCATTCCCCAAATAATGCCTAAAATATTAGATCTTCGATGAAATGGATTTAAGAAAAGAAATTTCATATCCTTTTGATTATTAGACTGATTAGCCATGATTATTTCAAACGTGAACAAAAGCAAACAATTCAGTCTCCAAGTAATTTACACTTGTGAGTTACTAAAAAACACATAAGCAAAAAAAATACAAACGAAAAAGAGGACCCTCCCATATACAACGACAACAAATCTAATTAGGTAAGACAAAAAAGAAAGAGTGCGATAGAGATTTATCTTACACAAATAGTTTTGATCATCTTTGGTTGTTTATTAACGTCGTGGTTCATTCATAGACTTTCCTTCAAACAACTCACCCAACAATCTTTCAAGATCTTCAGCTGTATACTTTATGTATTTCTGCGGATTTTTAACATTCTCAACCAGAGGCCTGTACCGATCATTGGTTTAAATCTCCTTAGGGTTTTACATTCTGATCAAATATGTTAAAAAAGCTTTAAAAAAGTAGAAGAAGAGATTTTACCCAAAGCGTTTGAGGAAAGATCTGTAAGCAGGCAATAATACTTCAGCAACAGCAAGTCTTAGTGACTCTCTTAACTCTGTGTCTGGAACTGTCCATTGAGATTGTCTCTGATGCAACTCATCAAACTGCATATTGAACATCTTGAACCTGTTCCATTTTTTTTTCATATTTATTTATTTATTCATCAGTACCAAATATATAAACATTTCACAATTACTTGTTTTTATTTCTTCTTCCGTAAGCTTTACCTCTCTTTTAATAAACCTCTCGACACTCCACTGCTGTTTCCTCCCTCTACACTTCCTCCTCCTGATGTGGTCAACCCTTGCGCCGACGAGCTTTGTAATATCTACACAAATATATTTCATCCTTCAGAATCTTTCTTTACTTTCTTAGTAACCATATAATGAAGATTTTATATAATAGTTTAGACTAATAGAAAGAACCTTTGTCCAAGCAACCCTTTTGTATTGGTTTGCATGTTGCTGAACGATACGCCTATGCCTTTGAACCCAATCATCGCCCAACAAATCCTTAGCTTCTGATCTGAATAAAATTAACATATCGTTTAAACCAACTACAAAAATTGAATGCTTTTAATAAACCCTGATCAGTCTATAAATGCGAAACCAAACTCACCTTCGCACAGATCTAACCATGTAATGAATGTTGTTCATCAGAAACAAGTGTGTCAATGCAGGATCTCTGTACTGTTTTGATTTTCCGTCCAAGTTGTTTTGAAGAGCCTGCATTATCCGCATTGTTACGGATGCTAGCTGTGAGTTTGAGTCGTCTCCATTTCCAAATTCCAAGAAAAGTTGCTTCAAAGTCGCTTGGTAGCTGACACCAAAGATTATTAGTGAATATTAAAGCATGGAAAGAGACAATATGCAAATAGCAGGATGAAGAAGAAGAAAAAACATTTTCAAGGAAATAAGCCGGGCTAGTCCTAACCAAGTAGACATATATGAGGTACTTACTCAAATAAGAACTTGACATAATTGATGACATAGCTTGTTAGTGGGTGAACAGTCCCATCTAAAACAGCGGTTTTTGTAGCATCTTTTTCAACAGCTTCTTCGAAATCACCAAATGTTTCCTGAGCAGTCTGCGCCAACCGCTTGGTCAACCCCGTAGCAGAATCTCTGATTTCAAGGCATGCTTTACCTTTGAAAATTGTTTCAATCTGCCAACGAACACAAATTTCATGAGATTGTAGCGCCATCTAATGTTATCCACCTTTTTGCAATGCAGCACAAAAACCAACTGGTTATCAAATTATATCACACATTATGGAGTCCTAAAAAGCAAGCTTACATACGTTTATTTAGATTGTTTTTGTTTGCCATGCTATTTATTATGGTGGGTATTTCAGTTGGACTGTTACATGTATTCAATGCTCGAAACACATCCGATCCACGGAAAGTCCACATGGGAAGAAAAATGTTAAAGATAATAATTTCCAAATCTTATTCTTCGAGTAAATAAAGCAGCTAGATTTGGCATCTCTACGAAGTGAGTGGTGAACTGTTTGCATAACTATGGAAAGTTGCAAACTCAGTTTTATGTCTTAATATAGTAAATAATTAAAACGTGTATCAAAAAGGAAAAGTAGAGTCAACTCAGTTTTATGTCTTAATATAGTAAATAATTAAAACGTGTATCAAAAAGGAAAAGTAGAGTCTTAATATAGTAAATCATTAAACGTGTATCAAAAAGGAAAAAGTAGACTGTTTTTAATATTTCACCTCACTAGCTTATACAAATATACAGGTTTGAAGGTGAATCAAGAATGTACCCTAGTTCACAGTACAGAATATTGCACATCTAAAAATCAGGAAAATTCACTAAAAGCTGAAACTACAAAATAAATTTTCAATTTAACGGAAGATTCTTCATTAAATGTATGACGATTTGATGATATTAGAGGAAAAATGAGAAAAAAATTACCTCTGTATGAAGCTCTCGCATTATCTCGTACATGTCTAAGAGTACAAACAACTTTTCAGGAGATCTCTTGCTTCTGGCTATTGCATCCCCAAAGCTAAGTAGCATTGAGACACTGCTCATTGTAACTTCTGCAAAACACTGATCACTAAGAGAATCGAAGCCTCGGAATATCTGGTCACATACTTGCCTTTCTCCAGCAAAGAGTAATTTAACCTGTTGAAAATTACATTGAGTTAGGAGTCAACATAACATGTTAGAAATATTTCAAACCTTCTATAACGTCCTTACAGCAATGCGCATGAAATGGATCCAATTTCCAATTTTAGCCTCCAAAACTTCCCACTGCATTCTCTGAACATCATCTTTGCTAAGTTTCTCAACTCCCAATTTCTTCAGGCTTTCTTCCAAGACAAGAGAACGTGTTTCTCTGAACAAAACACGAAAGGTTGAATACGAGGAGACCAAAAACAATTTCAAAACACACAGATGCATCTGGAATATGTATTAGGGAAATGGCAGTAGATTATGCAGTTCATATCATAAATCTGACAATCACATAGTTCATATTTAAACTCATAGCAAAAGGAAAGTCAAATTTAAACTTACAAACTGTGGAATCCAGGGATAAACTAGCTCTTTTAAATGAGTGGTGAGCACTATGTGAAACCAACTGTATAGCCATATTCGTTTGAAACCAATTATAGCTTGACACAGTACTTCGACTCATGTTACAATTATTAGCTGCTTAATCTAAGAGCATGATTTGACAATGAATTGTACAAATATAAGGGATGAATGACCAAGAACCAGTTCACCTATAAATTTGTAGGAGCAGTTGTTGGTGACCAGCTTGAACCATTTGCTGGGCCAAATCATGCAAAAGTGGCAATACCCTTGACGGAATGAGGATTGGAAGTGTATAAGCAGCAGTTTCTGAGTCATCGTTGTGGTGTCCTCCGTGGGGCATTGAAGACTTTCCACCACCATCAGCGTCTACGGATGGTCTCAGGGCGTTCGGAAGACCATCAAAAAGGCGATCAGGCTCCACGGCTTTACTGATTATAACAAACATAAATCAAAAAGAGGAATGAGGACAAGATAAATAAGCAAGATCCTCATAGAGCAAATATAGTTCCCGGAAAAACACAGACTAGAAAAAGTAGCAAAATCCCACAACTAGCAGTGTTCCCTGAAGTTAAAGGGTAGGAATCATGGTTATAGCATGCGAGAAGTTTGAAAGAGGAACCATGTAATTTTGTCATAAGATGAAGTGCTATATATTACACGAACCTGTAAGAAGCTAACAATTGCTTAAACTCCTCTTCCAACTTTGACTGTGCTTTCGCAAGCAAGCTATTTGCATGGTTGAGGACTCCATCACTACTCTTAAAGCTTTTGTTGCTGCTAAAATAACGAATAATTTTTCTGAGTTGAGCTATTGCCTCCAGATAACTCTCCAGGTCCTCATGTGGCCCTTTGAGTACTTTAGTCTCTGCCTAGAAATGAATTGAGAGCAGAGTAAAAAACCGGATTCGAGTTACAAACAAAAAAATTAAACAAAGAAACTCAGAACTAGCAAGCTAAAACCACAACCAAGACATATGTTGTCAATATAATAGATCACCAAAAATTGAATGTGCATATGCTTTTACGTAATAGAGGCTCGAAGCTAAACATATTATGCAGGAAACTGGAAGAATATGTAAAGTAAAAACGGCGAACAAAGCCAATTTGGTGTCTAAGAATTGAAAATCCATACAAGGACCTCTCACAAACCAATATATCTAATTTATACAGATCGATCTAAACAAAACCAATGAATTAAACCTCACAAGAACGGGAAGAAGAACACAAAAATCAGCACTGAGAAGTAAGTTTTGTGAAAAGAAACCTGACGGAGGAGATCAAACTGAGACAAAATAATCTCAGCAGCCTTAAGAGTCTTATCGATATTCTCGTGAGCTTTCCTTATGGCATGCGTCCTAATCTGAGATTTCGAACACAGTCAACCCAAAATCCGATCAAGTCAGCAGAGAGAAATAATTCCAGATCTGGATAGAAACAAAACAAAAAAGCATTCACTCGGAGCTCAAACAAGCGGAACCTGAGTGGGACGCATGGCGGTTTCGAGAGCAGAAAGACGGCTATCGAAGGAGCCGAGGATCGAGACAACATTGTCGGTGATGGTTTGACTCTTCTGAAGAGATGCTCTCATCAACACAGCTCTTTCGCTGAGCAGATCCATTCCGCTATCTACGGCCATGCCAAATCCAATTCGAGAAAATACTTTTCTTCTCGTCGCCTTCGAAAATCGAAGTAAGTTGGAAGAGAAAAGAGACGACGAAAAGACGACGACTCGGTTTGGTGGTGCCAAAGCCGGTACAAGCCAGCTAAGCTTTTTTTTTTTCCCTCTTAACCAGCAAATTCATAATATTGAATTTCCTTAAAAATATTGACCTTCTGTTTTTAAATATTTTATTTCTTTAAAACTTCGATAACTGTCTTCCCCTTGAAGTAAAAAAAAAAAACTGTCTTTCCTTAACCAATTGTATGGTTCCTTCTCTTCTACACCTATCTTTTTCTTTTACATTTTCAGGAGTTTTACATTTATGAGAATCTGCTCAGACTAATCGTCCCAAATACTAGTGCTCAACCCGCCAAAACCAACTGTTTGCTGATTGCTACCAAGCAACCGTTTTTTGTATTGGATATTGGAACGGCAATCGCAACCGCGATTCCGAAACGCTGAACACACGTAGACAAAAAGAACCTAGAAGAAAACTTGAACCAGACAGAGACGTTTTGTGAAGCAAAAGTGTTGGGGAGAGAGAAAGCAAAGAACAAACGTTACTGTGAGGTGTGTTTTTTGTGTCTTCTTCAATTCTCTCTTTGTCATATACCCGTTCTCTTCTCTTTCTCCGTAAAGAATATAATCTCCAATTTCTTCATCACATTTCCTTTCTTATTTTAATTTAATTTTACTTTGCATCATCATCAACACGGGCCAATTAAAGGAATCTCCTTTTCTTCGATTGCTACTTATAAAATTGAGAAAGAATTGCGCAGGTATATGTAATTATCAAAGAGAAGCATCATCATCATTAGCACTACTACAGACAGCTAAATAGATTCATCATCATCATTTGATCTCTCGTGGGTTTCTAGCTTTCCCTATAGGGTTTTTCTTCTTCTTTTTTTCTAAAATTTTAGATCGACAAAGTCTTTGGGGTGAGAGATCAAGCAAATCTGGGCTTTGTGTTTGGTTTTTTATAGAAGATGGGATCTTCTTCTGGGCAAAGTGGGTACGATCTGTCGTTTAAGATCTTGTTGATTGGAGATTCTGGTGTTGGTAAAAGCAGCTTGCTTGTGAGCTTCATTTCCAGCTCCGTTGAAGATATTGCTCCTACTATCGGTAAATAGTTTCTTAAACTTGTTTTCTCTTTGGTTCCCAGGAAATCAACCAAGTAAAGGTCTTAGATTTATGTCTTTTGTGTGTGTTGATCAAACAGTAATTTCCATTCCTGGAATAGCTTGAATTTGATGATCATCTGTCTGATTTGTGTTGGAAATTCTCTGTTTAATGATCATATATCTTTGCACCGACTGAACAATCTTGATTTCTTGATGATTCAGCTTTTAGTATTACCAAGTTAGATACTTTCATTCTGATAATCTAGAACCCTTGTCTTAGTTTGGTTTAAGCAAATCTGTTTTGTCGGATCTTACTCGTATAACATTGTTAATCTAATCTAATCATTACTCGTAGGTGTTGATTTCAAGATCAAACAATTGACAGTAGGAGGCAAAAGACTGAAACTTACAATCTGGGACACAGGTGATTATTCTAAGCTTAGATTATAGAAGTCTAATGCTCCTAAAGGAAACTAATGGTTCTTATAATATTCTCGGTTTTTTTGTTGTAGCTGGACAGGAACGGTTTAGAACACTGACTAGCTCTTACTACAGAGGCGCTCAAGGAATCATTCTCGGTAATGTCCATCATATCAATCAATCACAGGATAGTAAGAGATCTCTCTGTCTGTAAACTGTTTGGTTAATGTTTCTTTGTGAATGCAGTCTATGATGTGACGAGAAGGGAGACATTTACAAACTTGGTAGATGTGTGGGGTAAGGAGATTGAGCTTTACTCCACAAACCAAGAATGTGTTAGGATGCTCGTTGGGAACAAAGTCGATAGAGTGAGTTGCAATCGAAATTACACAACTTGTTCTCAACCACGGTTTGGTCGTTCGATCGTTGTCTTGATGAAACAGAATATGATCACAGGAATCTGAGAGAGGAGTTAGCAGAGAAGAAGGGGTTGCTCTGGCGAAAGAACTCAAGTGCATGTTTCTTGAGTGTAGTGCTAGGACAAGACAAAACGTGGAACAGTGTTTCGAAGAGCTGGCTTTGAAGGTAAGATCCCTAGTTGGTAAAAGTTGACTCGAAAAGAGGGATTTGTCTTTAATATATAACAGAGAATCATTTTGTGATGAGACAGATAATGGAGGTACCTAGTCTTTTGGAAGAAGGATCAAGTGCTGTGAAGAGAAACATCTTGAAGCAAAAACCAGAAAACCAGAGTAGTCATCAAACAGGCTGTTGCAGCTCGTGAGGCGATTCGATTTTACATTTAAAAAAACTCGAGTTATTCTACTGTGCATCGCAATCTCAATCTGATTCTTGTCTCTGAGGTCGCCTCCTTTGTGTGTAAGTAACATAATGTTAGCTTCTCTGTAAATTTGTGAGAGTCCTGTTATTCTTCTTTTGCTTCTGAAACGAGATTGTAATAACATCATGAAAGAATGAATCAACCCTATCCAGTGTTTTCTTCAAATCCGTGTTTATTTTGTCTCAATTGGATTCAATTAGCGAACACCACTCAAAGAGAAGAAGTTAATAATGATAAGCTTCTAGCTCTAATCTCCTTTATTGAACCTCTGTAAACACGATTACAAGATACCAAACCCTAGATCGAGACTCTAGATCTCAAACTCATGGCGTTTGTAGCCAACAGCTTCATAAAGTCTGATTACTCTCAACAACAAGCATGAGACTCTAAACTCTAAGAGAATAATTTCTCTTATTTATACTAAACAAGCAATAGTCGACTTCAGCCTTCCTGATGCTTTGCTTTCCTTGCTTGTTTCATCTTCATGAGAGTGTGCCAGCTCAGGAGCTTCCCTTTCAAGTAGCCAATCACAAGCTCTCTTGTTCCTATAAAAAATCCTTAATTGAACTGCGAATCCAGAATTATACACACTACAACAGATTGATTTTTCATAAATCCAAAGTCTTTAACATAGTTTTTCGACCAACATAGCCTTCCATATCAGGAAGGTCATTGTACGGAATTATGGAGATAACAAATTAGACATAAAGATCACAGCCATCAATGAGATTTCCTACTCGTTCTAAGTAACAACATAAGAACGATCTCTGATTTGAGACGTAAGAGATGAAAAAGATGGCAAAGATTAAAAACCGGTGCACGCGAAAAAAGAGCGATCATACTCCTAAACGTAACTACAGCAAGCTGATTTCTCGGTTGTAGAAGAAGATGAAGCAGCATCTTGTTTAGTGATCTTGATGCCTTGGGGCTGTAAAGCAACAGCACACATGTTTTTGTATTCAGCTCAAAAGTTGGTATAATACAATATGAAGAGTGAGTTTTAGTAGCAGGTTTCCGTGGTTCTTACCTCTGCCTTTGTATCGGTTTCTGTCAACCTTTGTTTAATGTCTTTTGCGATAGAAAGGAAAACCGACTCGACATTGAGGTTTGTTTTCGCACTCTGCAACAATTGTAATCACATCAGTACTCTCAAAAACATAAAGGGCAAATATGTTATGTTATTATCTAGCTCACCGTCTCAAAGAATTTTATTCCATACTCATCAGCCAAAGCTTGGCCCTTTGCAGTTGGGACAGCCTGAAGAAGAAAATTATGCGTCAGTATACAACAAGTTATAGGTCATGAAAGGATGCAACTGAAGATTACTTACCCTTTTGCTTTCATCCATGTCAGCTTTGTTGCCAACCAAAATTTTGTTGACATTATCTGAGGCATGCTGCTCTATGTTCTTCATCCAGTTCCTAATGTCTGTTATAAACAATCGTGCTCAGATGCCACAAAGTCTCATAATCCATTCCAAAATTGACTTGATAAAATAAAATAGTAACAAGACCAAGATAAAAGCAAAAGACATACTGTTGAAGGATGACTCATCCGTTACATCATAGACAAGCAATATACCCATAGCTCCCCTGTAATATGCTGCATAAAACAAAGGACCAAAATGCATTAAAAAACTTGCGCTGAGAACTACATGCCTTCGAAAGAGCAAGTAACAGAGTTTTGAAATCTGAAAGCAAAAACATAGTCTTTAACCTGTAGTTATAGTTCTAAAACGTTCTTGACCAGCTGTGTCCCATATCTGCAATTTGATACGCTTCCCATCAAGTTCAATAGTTCTTATCTTGAAGTCAATTCTGGAAAAAAACAGTAGTAGTGAGCCAAACTTAGATACAAAAATAACATTAGACAAATCTTAAGGAAAAAAGCAATTGCAGGAAGACATACCCAATGGTAGTAATAAAACTAGTAGTGAAAGTATCATCGGAGAAACGCAGTAACAAACAACTTTTCCCCACACCTGAACATATACACATAAAGCAAAAACAAATGATCATAAAAATGAATTACCATATAACTATGCAACTAATTTTGTCGACAATTTCTCTTTTTTCTTTCAGTAGAAGTAGTACCAGCACAAAAACGAAACTAAATCATAAAACCCTAACTAAGATAGCAAAAGGAGGGACGAAATGTTTCAAGAAAAAGAGAGCGAACACTTGGTGAGATCTCCAATTCCGAAAGAAGAACACAGAAATGGAAATAAGAAGCCTACCGCTATCGCCGATGAGAAGGAGCTTGATGAGGTAATCATAGTCCGAACGAGCTCTTGCCGGCGCAACCGCCATCGCAGAAGATCAAAGAAACTCAAAAATTGATCACTTTGCTTCTCAGCCAAAGCTAAACCAAGCTCTGCTTTTGTATCCCCAGAAAATCTCCTTTTTCCGACGGAGATTGTAAAGAGACAGCAAAAAAAGGAGAAAGCTAATGGAATGCTTCAAATGTCGCTGAAGAAAAGAAGTTGATTGCTGCTGAAAACAAATTTTGGTGGATATTTATTTTGTTTATACTTTGGACCCTAAACAATAAATATTTTTCAATTAACCCCATACTTAATATGCGATTAAGACCACGAAGTTTTTGTATATGTCAAGATGGCTCATAAGAGTTTCAATTCAGGGCTACACCAGATTTAAATATTCAATTGAAAAGGACATCATAAACTGATTATTATTTTTTTTAATAATTTTAGATCCTAAACTTATCATTATTTTTAGTTAACCCCAATTAAGAGCATGAAGGTTTTTATACTTCAAAATGTCACATAAGAGACATCAAAAATCATATTTAAAAAATAATTTTTATTTTTATTTGAACAAATCGTTAATCAAATCAAATTAAATAACAAAAAAAAAGAAAAAGTCGTTAAACATTTCAATTTATATGTTTATTTTTTCAGATAGATTAAAGTGAGTCCAAATCAAAAAATGATCAAGCCATATAATATTTGGCTTTACATGGAGTTTATATCACAATTTGTTTTTTTAAAGTAAACCCAATCTGAAAATTGGATTAAACACTCATACGTTTATGGTATTACCATAATCGAGACAGTAAAATTTCCAATGAAACACAAATGTGCCAATGTTTTTTTTATTCATGATGGTTCTGATGTGAGGAAATATAAATATAGCTAGAATGATTAGAGTACAAAGATTTGGGGGTAATTGTAGGATATTTGAGAAAGTTAGGGGCTAAATTAAAAGGGACGAGAAAGTGAATTGCTATGATCAAGTGTTTCCGCTCTAGTGTACAACAGCAGAATAATGGAGCTTTCTGGTGAGCTGTCAAGCAGTTAGTGGGTGAAAACGGTTGCTTTGCTGTATGTACGTCGTACGCTAGCGATAATCCAGCAAAGTATCCAATCATGCCAGAGCCTCTGTTTACATGTGGCATGGTTCCAGGTAAAGTCCAAATATATAAATATTCATCATCCACATATATATTTCTTAATCACATTTATATAAAATTATTAAGAAAGTCTCCATTTATTAGGATTTTCTTAAATAATCCACTATCCATATACATACTACAACACCTTACGAATTAAAATTTTTTTTTTGGCTAACATCAAACATTGAATTTGTCACGCCTCTTTGCGTAACTCTTTGCATAACATATACAATATAAACGCCGTTTAATATTTTATTTTCAAGATACTAGATTTTTCAGTTTATCCCAAATTCATATATAACGACTGATCTCTGAAATCGTTGTCAATTATACATTACATGACCTCGAAGTTTTGTCTTATTACAAACATAGATAGATAGTTTTGTCTCTCAATTAAAAATGGGATAAGTACTGCCACGACGTTAATCAAAAGTCTCACCGACGTTTTCTGAAAAATTACTAAACATATAGTATAGTGTGACATTACTTTAAAAGGATGATACAATATTAGGGTACCAATCTCATTTTCATTTTATTTTCTGAGATATTGGTTTTTCCATCCATTTCTTTTCAGTGGAAACGATGCATTATATACAGTATAATCCAATTTATTTAAAGAAGACATTAGAAATTAAATCACTTTATATCAATATTTTCAAAGATCTTTTATTCCTTTCCAAATGTTAGGAAAATTCACTCGTTCTGTTAATAATAAGTAACGTTGCACTTTCTCTATCATGTTCAGATTACCAAAAGAGATGTATAGATGAGTCATAGACGACTATATAAAGACATAACATGACCGATATAGAGATACCATCCTACCAGAAATGATACGTAAGTATTAGCTCCTATTTCTAGAAGATATTGCATATATATATAATAAAATCACTATTAACTTTCCATACTATACGTAACATGAACATGAAGATTCTTTTACTATCAGCAAATTTCTTCATTTACTTTTTATATCTACTTTAAAAAATATATATTTTACAAATGAATGATTGTTAATTAAAAAGGTAACAAATCTATTATGAAAAATGTAAATGATTACTTTTGAATAACCAGATATCTGATTACTTTCAAACTTTTTTAAACAGTTACAATTGTTATTGGCATATGTCATCTGATTAGTATTAGACATATATCGGATTATGGTAAATATTTCGTTATTTTCACAAAACACACACACACATACTTAATCATTATTTTCGTCTAGTGATTGAAAATTAATTTTCACACTTGGTCTAACTGTCCAAATTAGGGATCAAGTCACATCTGATGCACTTCTACGCTGGACACTCTACGCTTTAAAATCCGATTATTAACGAGTTTTTGAGATTACTCTAGATTTCGTCTTCTGAATGATCTGAATATAAAAGAAGATTAGAATGAAATGATATAATAAAGAAAACTGAGAAAATTAAGGAACAACCCCAAACGGAAGTGAAGTGCATCGAAAGGGGTCAGTGGCGGCTAACAAACGAAGTGACTTTATGTGAAAGTCATCGTCACATGCTTCTTCCGCTCTCCAAGGAACATCCTCAGCATCTTTTATCATTCTCCCAAAGTTAAGTATTACATTTAAATATACAAATGTGCTATAAATTATATATAAATTTCTCTTATATATGCATGACATCATTACATCCAAGTACAATAAGATACGAAGCAATGAATAGTTTCAAAGAATGAAATAATTTGAAGTTATATTCAATCAATGTCAAATTACAAGAATCAATAATAAGAGGAGGGTTAATGATCAACATATGATCAATGTAAAAAAGTAATTACAAGAACTACTTAATTAATTAGTGATGACAATCAATCAAAGAATTGGCCGCGGCAGCGTAGAGAAGCATCTGATCTTTGGACGCAAACGCAAATTTTGCTTCATCTTCTGGTGCTGGAAGATTCAGATCTAACTCCAAAAAGTTCTTTGGCCGTATAGATTCTTGATGATGACTTGACGATGTCGCTGTTTTGTTAGGTGAAGCAGCGTTTGCGTTTACTGTTAAACCTCTATGTCTCCTCATATGACCTCCTAAGGCTTGTCCTGAAGAAAACTCGGCCTTGCAGATGGAACATTCATGTGTTTTTTCCGGTTTCTTGCTACTGTTACTGCTAGTTACTTGCAGAGACAGAAAGGTTCCTACAATTCCACCTTCCACCGTTTCAACCGCAGACGCAGATGCAGTTCTCTGCTCGTCACATTTGAGAACGCTTGTTCCGAGTTTCGGCTTCTTGTGGCTAGCCCTGTGCCCTCCTAGCGCTTGAAACGAATGGAAGCTTTTATCGCACGTTTTGCACTGGTAAACACCGTCTGGCCCTATCTCTAGAGAAGACACCAGTTTCTTGTAGCTCAAGAAACCCATTTTCTGCGTCGACAAATGATCGCCACTACTCTTTGCTTTATGTCCTTGCGACAATAACATCAGACAGTTCGCCATATCTTCGTCTTCATCTGTAGCTCCTTGGTATTCGACTTCACCAGCTTCTTGTTCTCTGGCTTCTGATGATCGTTCACCGCTGCAAACGCCGGATACTGCTTCGGCGTTCGTAAAAGGAGACGCAGATCGCTGACGTTTCGTTCGTTTGCCCTTGATGAGGAGTACTTGACGCGTCTCCTCGTGAACACTTGTCATGATCCTTCGTTTTTTTTTTGGCTCTGTTTCAAGAACACAAGAGAGATATATGTATTTATGGAGAGAAGTATCAAAGAGTGTTTGGTGGGTTTGGTTTATATGTCTTGAGTGCTAACTTCTATCTCTCTCTCTCTCTATATATACATATATGATTGTACTTGTTTATACACACAGTAGTCTTTTGTATATATAGAGTATATATGTAATGAAAGGTAAGAGAAAGGATGAGAAAAGAAGCAAACCCCAAATAACTTTTGGTGAAGGATTCCTTTCTGGAAGTTTTGGTTTGCAAGCCTGGAACCACTTGTTTCTCTCCTCTTGTTTTTTTTTTCCTTTCAATTATTTAAATTATTTTCTCTTTCTTTAGTTAACTTTGTTTTGCTTATCTTATGGATCAAATAAGATTTAAATAGTCTTTAATAAATTGAATCATGAAAACTTTTCCATTTTATCATTAGAATTTCCATATCTTCGTAACAAAAATTTGGATCAATGTCAGCACTAATCTTAGCAGATGTTTTTTAACTGAAAATAAAAGAAAAAATCTAGTGAAGTAGTGGCAAAAGCATGAGTCATTTAGACATTCTTTTATGTCACAAGAAGTGTGTCACTCTGTAATTTGAGTGCACAAAATCTTAAAAATAAACTACAATTATGACATCTGGCAAGATGTCATGTATTATATTATCATGCATTCTACATATTTTTTTTGTCCTTTCTATAATTCTATTATACATTGCTATCAATTACTAAAATCCTAAAACTTTAGAAATGACAATCTACACTCCATAATATTATTGGTTTTATCCACAAATACAAGACTCAACACGCAACACATAGTAATAGTAGTACTACTCTACATTTGAGTCCACGTACTGAAATGAATTACATTTGAGATTTGCATCCATATATGATACATAAACCACTAAAATGTATATGACTTAACGTTGGAATATGATTGGACTTCTAGTTATATATGTTTCTTAATACTGCTAATCATTGTGGACTTATGTACACTGAACTTAAACTAGCTGATTAGTTAATTGGAAAGTAAAAGGCAATCGAATTTTAGGGTCGAGCAGTTCATGTGCAGTTGAGCCAACCCACAATTACACAACACACAATTATGAATCATGATCATACTTATAATATTCAGTTATAGTGATATTAGCTATAACTAATTAAATATATAATATCACTCCCTATGTTTGCGCCTCTTTCTAAGATACATTGATTTTTATTCTGGTCATCCAATTATTTGATCAAACCATTATTAATCTTGTGATTAGCTAATTATGTATTTGGTGAAGTAACCTACCTTATCTTAGTTTCTTAATATTTATAAGTCAATTAAAACAAAGAAATATATAGTTATACGGTCTTATAGGGTTCTAGTATACCATAACTCGGTGGCAGCAAATCTGGCCAAAAACTTCACAATTCGATAGAAATCCAACAAAAGTAAAAAACAAAAATAATGTGTTTCTTACAGCTAGATTGATATCCAACTTTTACTCATAAAACCAACAGATTAGTTGTCGTCGGCTCTATGATTATTTCGTGATAACGTGTTTTACGTATATATAATTGATTATTAAGAGGAATATTTTTGAGTGTATTGCGAAGCTAGTATCACAATTTTTAAAACCATATAATATTTAATATCGAATTTAGGAGGAATTGATTTTAAGTATTGGTGTCGAGGATTGTGTGTGTGAAAGAGAGAGAGAGAGAGATAGAATTGCTTGGCCGCCAAAAGAAGCCATTACTTGCCAACTAGCTAGCTTCACTAATCACCCTAAGCAAAGCATATACTTTTTTAATTAATCATCATCGTAATCATCCTAACATTTTTTTTTTGGTAGGAAAAGAAAACCCATTTTTAGAAAAAGACTTTTTAGAAACCGTTAACAAGTTGGTTGCAAGGATCACCTACTGGAAATAGCTTACAGGTCACAAACAAATAACAAATACTACCCTTTTTTTTACATGACGTAATTTGCATAGTGCTTCATTTTGATGGTGAAGGTGGTGCATTCTGATTGGTGAATACAATGATTTTGATTGATTAATAATCTGTTACAGTGTTCACCACTACCTGAATGATTTGACATTAATAAATACCAAAAAAAAATAGAGAAATGGTAATGCGCACTACCAATTTCTGATAAAGTTTACATATGGTGAACCTAACTAACTATAATGCCACAATTCAATAAATCCTCGTATTTATAACGCCCGAATCATGAATTGTCGGACGATTCATAGAAAAAAAAATTTTTAAAAAGAAAAAGCCATGAAGACTAACGCTTTATCGCTCTCGCTGCTTCTACTGCTTGTGGTAACTGTGGTGGCTACGACTACTAGACCACCGGAGAAGCTCGCTGTGGCCGGAGCACAGATAATCGTGACGGCAGAGAAGATAGCCGGAGAAGACGTTGAAGCCGATGTGAATAACCACCATAGCATTCCAAGGGAGTCCTGGGATAATAATAATGATAGTAATCCATAACATCATGTTACTTAAATATTTAGAACATGTGGTCATTGATTTTGCCATTGTATACATCATTTTTCGAGATTTAAGTTCTTGTTTAGCTGTTCAAAAAAAAAAAGTTCTTGTTTAAGGTTGAACCTCATTCATAATTTTCATTGGTAGTGCTTTCATAATGGTACTAAATAAAGTTTATTTTCCGATTTAAATTTGTTAATATTTGTTAACAAATAACTTAAGTTCTCAATTAAGTATGAAACCACAACTTGAGGAGACAAATGAATAATCGAAGAACCATAGTTAAGCACTTTGGCATCTCTCTCTTAATTACGTAAAATCTCTAACTGTAAAAAGCCATTCTGTAGAAGAATCATAGACAACGTTATTACATTAAGACATAGCAACAAAAGTGAAAACCGGTTATGTTTTATATATAGCTTCGTGTATGAGATCAGTCCAGGATCTTCTTTTGGGTATCTACATCGTCTCCATGAACAACTTGTCATGATGATGATGATGATCCTTGTGATCCAGATTGTGATTGCTGACACTTGAGTACGGTCCAGTCAAACACAAAATCAAGCTGAAAGCCTTGACGTATAAAAAGATCCCGAAACAGTCACTTCAAATACGCATAGTCTGGCTTATCATCAAACCTAAGCGAGCGGCAGTAATGAAAGTAGGATGCAAACTCCGTTGGATGACCTCTGCATAACGCTTCGATGGAAGTGGAAGCCTTGTTTTCCCTAATCTTGTCGCGTTTCTGTTTCTTTTGTTACCAGCAGCTTTGAGTCCCTGCCATGGGAGACTTCCCTTGAGGAAGTAGATGAGGACATAACCAAGTGATTCCATATCATCTCTCCGGCTTTGCTCGATCCCTAGGTGAGTGTTCAAGCTTGCATAACTCGGAGTCCCAGTCAGAGTCTTGTTCTCCCTGTATGTGATATGTCTGTGTGTTGAGCTGTCTCTATATTTCTTAGCCAAGCCAAAGTCTATGATGTAGACCTGATCTGCTTGCCGGCTTCCCGAATTACCCATGAGAAAATTTTCAGGCTTTACGTCACGATGAAGATACGACTTGGAATGGATGAACTCGAGACGGTTTATCATTTGATCAGCTAGCATGAGAACTCTGTCTTCAAGGTGAATCTCCTGTTGCAATAACGAAACAGATGTTCAAGGCTTGGACCAAGCAAATCCATCACCAAGACGTTTGTAGTTGCCACCTTCGACACCGTACCACTTCATGTTTGGAATCCCGGTTCCACCTTGGAGAATCCTGTTTATCTTCGACTCATATGACAATTGTGGATTCGCAGTCTGAGTATCGGTTCCAAGGTGTATCTCTCCGAATGAGCCGCTCCCAATTTTCCGGCCAAGCCGGAACTTACCCCCAATACGAAGTTCCATATCGACAATTGTTAAAAAACCCTAACTCTTGTTCTGCTCCTGTCGCTTTTGCTTGTTGGTCTTTTTTTTTTTATATGTAAAAAATATATACTGTTTTCTAGATTTTAACTGTTTTGGGATTTGCTTATGAATGTAAAATTTCTAAATTAAATAAAAACCATATTATACATATCATTAAGTTTAGTTTTTGATACATAATTTTTGGGTTAGATGTTTGCAAAATTCCTTTAGTTCCTCTTTGCTCACTTCCCTTCAGTTAATTTTATTTTATTAGCAACAAGAATCAGCACTACAAAAATTAAAAAGAAAAAAAAAAATCTACTGACCCCCAAAGTTGTAAAAAAAACAAGGCAAAAAGTAATAATATATAATAATTGCAACGCTTAGTGAAATGAAAAGAAAATGAAAAAAAATGAATATTATTACTTGATTTGGTATTTTTCTAAGAAGTGATCATATGATCTTCTTCCCCTAGCCTTTCTCGGTCTTCCACTGCTTCATCTAATCTCCTCCACCTACTTTGGCGTTGCTCTTCCACTTCTCTCGATTTGGCTTGTTTCTCTTCGTACTGTTGTTGGCTTTCTTCAAAGAGCTCAGGGTCCATCTCCATGAACATTCTCTTTATATTCGAGCTTAAACCGTGAACCGCTTGGTTCCAGTGTGACTCTATGTTTTTCTCCAGGGAAGCAAATATTATGGGAAGGATTACGCTTCGGTTCTGCGCGATTAGACCCACGATGTGCTCGTTGTTCCACAAAAACAGAGCTCGTTCTGCAACCTGCATCCGATGTTGATATACGTATATGTGAGCATGAGAGATTGAAATATTCAAAACTCCTACAAAAATTCTAGATAAGTTTGAGCTAGAGAGCAGACAGAATCAGGGCGGAACTGTTTGTGAAATGAGAATTCCATGACACATGAACAAAGCAAAAAAGCAACGGTTTGAACAGATTTCGGAGAAGTTAGATGTCTTGCAGAGCTAACTCAACACGTGTGAAGCTATTGATTGATGTAAGAATCAAAGAATTCATTTTGCAGACTATTATAGCAACTGCATGAGATAACCCCAACAACAGAGATGGGCTATAATCGGTATCATTGCATGGGATTAAAAGATAAAAAAAAAACAACAGCCAGAACGAGCAAAGAATGTGAGCCATAAATCTAGCGAACACTTCAGATTTTCGCAGGAGAAACAAAAGCTCCAGATTTTAGAGGTTAATATGCATAAACGAGAACCTTCAATGAACAAATTGAAAAGAGAAACCAGCCCATAAGAGACTACTAACCTGAAAATGAGAGCTATTGAGGCAGCGAGCAATCTGTTGGAACAGAGGGACCATACAGCGTTGGAACTCAACAGTTTGTGTTGCCTCGAGAACCTCTTCAAGTTCACCAAGGAAGAGAACCTCCTTTGTACAGTTTGTCACAGGCCAAAACTTTAACAATCCCCTGATTACTGTATCCGCAAGCTTATAATCTTTCTCTACAAACTGAACAATGCAGTAAGACAACTGCTGATGATACATAGCGATTGGTTTTGGCTTATGCAGCGGTATCAACGCCCTGATCAAAAAGAGCTTGTGCTCCTCCTTCATTGGCAAGGCAAACCCATTAATAATACTACCCAGAATCTCCAAAAGCTCCCCAATCCCGCTATGTCTCTCTGTCTCGTAAATAAACCTATAGAATATATTGTTGATTCCTTTCCTAATAAAGGGCCTGTGGACCATAAACTTCCCATAAATCCTATGAAGAATCGTTTTCAAGTACTCCCTTTCCCTTGGATCTTCAGTCTCAAAAAGTTCAAGCAACTTCAAGACAAAAGAATGGTCAATATACCGTTTTGCAACCTTTGTATCAGTGTCAGAAGGAACAACGTATCTCAGCAGCAACTCATAAACTAACTGTAAGTGAGGCCAAGAGGGTTCCAAATAAGGCTCCTCTTCCTCAGGATCCGCAGGCTCTTGACCTGTATTCTCGTGTGAAGCCGGAGGGAGACACCGGAATATATTGACAGAGATCATCTTTACCATTTCTTCCTGACAAGCTTCATTGATCTTCCCCGATCCAGACTGTATAAAATCAACAAGCTCCAACAAGGTTTGCCTTTTAATCTCCTTCTCCCTCGCATTCTTCAAAGTGTCTGTAAAATCAAATTGGAAACAGCAAATCTGAAGTTTCCTCAGGAACAGGGATTGGCGCTCGGGAACAGGCACGTCTCTGAACAAAGGGAGAGGCTCGACTGAATACATAGGAGGCAGTTGAGTGGCCGCCATTGAACCCGGAGAAGAAGGAATCGGCGAACCACGAGATGCGTGATTTACAACCATATTGGACCCAAGACCTGACCTACCCGGTGGATCAAAACCAAACATAGACGGATCATTCGCCTCGGTTCGGGAGGTCTTTCGGCTCCCACTTTTCATGATCTTCTTAAACATGGCTAAACGCACTAGAACGGACCTCAGAGAACCCTAGCTGTTTCCTCGATTCTCCCTACAATAATAAACCCTAAGTTTTCCGAACTCGATATCACGACGATATTCAGTGGAAAGAAACTCAAATGGATAAATCAAAAGACGAATCGAATAGGTATCCAGATTCAAATGCTTTCCTACAAAAATGTTCCACTACGCTTCTTCTGCATCAGGATAAGTACCAGTATGTTCTGTGAGATCTGAGGAAGCGAAAATCAGACCGTTGGATTGATCGAAGAGATCTTCGGAGAAAATGACCGGATATTTGGGCAGCGATTTTTTCCGGCGATCAATATTTGGGAGATAGCGAGAGAGAAATAGAGGGAGAAATGATCTTCAATCGAAAAAACAGAAAATGTAAAAATTAAGGGAACGATAATTAGATTTCTTTTGTTATTCGAAATCTTTCTCTCTTCAATATCAATCTACTAAGACACGATGATGGTATTATAAAAAGAAGTTTAAATTATTTTTGATTTTGATTTTATCCTTTTGAAATCACAATTTTTATGATTTTTATCCTAAACGTTAGCGTAAGTGTGATGGCTTGTGCACGTGGCTTGCGAGTGAAGTGCTCGCAACTTTAACAATTTGGTCGAGGTCTGAATAATGATCACTATGATTTTGCAACGATCCTAACACAATTTTACTTCGTTTTAGTTAAACACTTATAAATTTGATTGATTATCCATTTTGAAATTAACATGACAATATAAATAGAGACAAGTGGTTGTCATTAGATTTTGTGATGGTGAAATCAAATAAATAGAGTAGTCGGTAACAAACAAAACCTTTCAAATTCATGTATTCTGGAGAATATAACCTTTGAAGAAAACGAAGGGGTATAAGTATAACAAGAAGACATGATTTGTAAAAATATTAGACAAAATAGGTAAAGGATATTCGATTAGATTTTGGTATTAAAGCACAATTCAAATTACCATAAACTTCTTAACGTACATTCTTCCAGGTAATTTTCGCAAGGTTCTTCTCTTATCCAAAACATATCCACAAAAGCTTTTATTTAAACAAGAAATCAGCTTCAATCCTGCTTAATCCCACCAGTCTCCTCCACAACGACGGGTTTAGCTATTGTTCCTGTATCACCAGTTCCAGTTTCCGCAGCCACCTGTAATAATAATAAAAAGAGAGTTATACAAAGATTCAAACATTTCACATGACATAACACATGAACTGAAGAATCAAAGCATTTCATCAACGAAGAATGAAGGGAGCCCACGATCAAGTGAGTAGAATATTTTCACTTACTTTGGTGGCGTTATCATCGTTTTTAGCAATTGGCTTAAAGGTACAAGCTGGAGGAGCTCTCGCTGGCTTCCTGTACTCCCATCCGAGCCACGAGTACACTTTGGCCTAGTTTTTTTAAGCATCAAGGAAGCAGACAACATTCAAGAAATCAACAAATGATCAGAAGAAAACTACCTTCAAGGCTCACTAAAGCATGACCCATACAGACTTTTTCACAAAAACAAAACCGGTATAAAACTCTAACACAAGTAAGATTTTACAGATCCTTGATTTCCTCTTTTACAAGCACAGTTCGTGATCATATGTATTCTTTCTTACCCCTTCTTCCTCACTGAATTCTATCATTTTATTTTTCAAGTAAGAACAACCGAATACAACACTCTAGCATCCTAAAATCCAAACTTATGTTTCATGACTTTTTCGATACCCGTGAATCTGATCATTCCTCCGAAGAAAAAAATAAAAGATCAGAGATTATCAAAAAAAGGAAGAAGACCCAATTACCATTAAGAAATCGATAATCCGAGGCAGTAAATTGACGATCGGGACGAGGAAGAGCGGCACCAAACACATAAGACAAACCTGTGGAATTTCATCGATTCAAACAATCCGAAATAGAAGCCGCAGGAACAAAATTAAGAATAGAACCAGAAAAATGGAACAAAGCTTTACCATATTGAAATTAGGGTTATGGACTCAAGGAATTGGGAATTCGACAAAAGATGAATCGCGGTTTAGATTGGAGAGATCACGATGTGATGTACTTCCCGAAGTCGTTGTCGCTTTGATATTTGAAAGACAATTAATAAAGCAACCTCTCTGAATCAGCCAGAAGGTTTTGACTTCTTTGGGAGATAAACGTTCATCTAACGGAGTGTATCTAAAAAAGAACCTTCCATAGTGACGCCGTCAGGAACTAAAACGTGGCTTTGACGGCCATTACACAGTTGATATTACCGAAAATGCCCTTTAATATTGTGATTGCCAATAGAACAAACATGTGTGTGTGTTTCTACATATGTAAACCAACATATCGGCAACTCAAAGATTATTTATAAATAATCTTCAAATTTTGATACATGACAATGAGGAGATCAATTAGGTTCGAATGGTTAAGTAGGGCTTAGGCGCAATCGCCTTTGCAAGGAACGTCTGCACAGCGGCAAACCGGTTTTCCAGCAGCTTCCCAGCCATTGAAGCCGCGTTCCAAGATCATGATGTTCTTTATTCCAGTATCTTGTTTCTTCTCATCCAGATAATTCACGAGTCTTCTTGCACAAGTTGGGCCACGAACCTGCAACGAATTTGGTTTCAGAGCTTAACATTCACTTCATTTTCCGGTTGAAAAAAAGAGAGTAATTGAATCAATGTTAGGACAGAACAAAGCAAGGGTAGCTAAAGTACTAAACTTGATGATGGTTTTGAGTGTCAGCTTATCGATGTTATTTCTAAAAGATGTAATGGAAGTTCCTACACTATGGCATAGACTAAGAAAAGATGGAAATGTAAGCTATCATATAGCAACCAGTTCCAAGATCATTGTGATTTTTGCTATTCTGAATCCACTTTTGACACATACTTCAAGAGGACAAATTTCAGCATAAGAGATTGAGATCCACCTTAAAGAACCTACATTTATGCCACCTATAACCCATGAAACATGAGCCACTTATAAACTATTAAATATGAATCAACTTAAAAACTCAACTAACTGAAATTATTTCGTCAAGAAAAAACAGTCTATCTTCATCTACTTATGCACTGATAAGAAGCATCATTCAATCAATCGCAGCGAGTGTTCCTTCATATGAAGTGAAACAAGGGGAAAAGATTATACTGTGAGGAAGTGAAAGGAGTGTAAGACAGACCTGGCTCAAAGCACAATGGAAGACAAGTGTGTCTTTGTCCTTGACATTTTGAACAAGATGAGAGATCCTGTCATCAAACGAGCCACTCGCATAGTGTAGCGACCCAGCTATATGCCCGTCATAATTCCTCTCTTCATCCCTGTAACCAAAGAAATAAAGACTGGATTTTTAGCCACAACTCTATCTCAGAACCTAGATAAGAATTACAAAATTCCGTTTCTTTCTTCACCCCTCAGCCTTCTAACCACAAAGACTTTGCTCCAAGCCCATGAGATTCCTTTTTCGACTCAATATACTTTCAGCAAAATTTCAGTTTTAGAGAAGACTGAGATTTCTACTTGATTCATAATCTGATCCTAGAATTCAAATATATAAGATCCTCCTAAAATCAAGATCAGTACAACATGGTAGAGCAAAACTAAAAACCTAAGATCAATTCGACCTAAGTTATGGTAAAAGATCAGATAAGTGACTCAAACCGATGAAATCAAATCGGGTAAGCTGTGTACTGAAAGTACCTGACATCGATGATGGCGATGTTAGGACGACGATGGAGAGGAAGGAGCTGAGTAGAGGTAATGTAAGAGATGCTTCTCGCCATTTTTTTCTTTTTAGCGAAAAAGGAAAAAATGCTTCTTACCATCTGTAGTTCCTTTCTTCCCTAAAGTCCGCGAATATTATTGGCATCAAGAGCTGCGATAAACTAATTTGAGGCGACGCTTAATGTGATTATAAATATAAATTAAAGGATATATTCAACAAGCGGGGATAGCTCAGTTGGGAGAGCGTCAGACTGAAGATCTGAAGGTCGCGTGTTCGATCCACGCTCACCGCATCTTAAAAATTTTAATTCTTTTTCATTTTTTCCATTTTTTTATTCTTTTTGTTTTTTCCTTTTTTTAATTTGAGTCTCTAGCTGATTCAGTGGGTTTTTGTTTATCAGCGAGATCTCCAGAGAAGTGCTCAGCGAAAACTTTTGGTCTTCTTCCCTTGTGGTACAGAGAAACTGACCCCTTCGTTTAGGCGCTCAGTTTTGGGTTTTGCTCTAATGCCTCGCCGCCGGAGTTACACCTTCCGTGCTGGCGGAGTAACAATCGAAGAATTCGACTCACCTGAGGAAGACGAATACGAATATATTGACCCGGACGAAGAACAAGAAGACACCGAAGAGGAAGAAGACACCGACGAAGAGGAGGAAGAAGACGAACCACAAACCGGGGAATACATCAATGTATCAGACTCACATAGGGTTTCACAGAAGGAGAGCGAAGAGAAAAAGTCAGAAGGAGTTTGCTCGACTTCAGGATCGCAGGAGGATGTGGAATGGAAACCCGGCGAGACTGAGGGAATATCCTGTTTGATTTGTATGGAAGTTTGGACCAACGGCGGCGAACACCAAGTCTGGTATTCTCGATTCCGTCAACAAATTTCGGGTTTCCTTTGCTTACACTGTGTGCCTGTTTAGTCTATGATACGGATTTAGCAGTTTCATAATATCATGATCTAATTAAGCAATTCTATAGTCGTAAACCAATTTCTATCAGTTTGATAATTTAGTAAGTAATTTGCTGCTGGGAGTTGTAGCGTGGTGTTGTCAAGTTGCATCTTGCATGATTCTTTATCAAAATTTGCAAGACCTTGTAGCTCTTGTCTCGTCTAATTTTTTTGAGTGCGACTTATGCTGTTATCTTGTTTTTCTTACCCATGATTCAAGCTGTCTTCCTTGTGGGCACTTGTATGGATTTTCCTGCATCAAGAAGTGGTTACAGCAGCGGCGAAGTGCAGGAACGGTGTGTAATTGCTCTATGAACTTCATTAAATACTTTTGCTGTTATCGCTCTGATTATCTTTCTCATATAGTCACATTCGCTTCTTTTATAGTGTCCCCAATGCAACAGGACTTGTAGCCTGAAGGATGTCCGGAAAATTTATGCATCACGGATTGCTGCTGTAGATGATGAAGCGCACAAGGTCATTATTTGAATTTCGTTCTCAATCTGATCACGGTATCGAAATCTGATTTTTTTTTTTTTTTTTTACTCTCAGAGAATCGTAGTCCTCGAGGCCAAATTACGTTCGATTGAACAGAAGGTAAAGACACATTACTGCTGGGGTTGTTCATGATGTGACTATACTCAATCCGCACTATTCTTAGTTAGTTCTTTTAAATGATACCATTTGATTCAGATGATTTTTTTCCGGAGTATTGTGTTTATTATAAGTTCTCTTTGTAGATTATGCCTTGTGTCAGCTGATAGTCATATGTGTGTAGTACCTACCAGTATGGTCCAGTTTTAACACTATATTCTTACAGACTGCGAGTTGGAGTAAGAAAGAAGCTCAGTGGAGAAAAACGGAAGCAGAGCTACGATCAGAAGTTAATAAGCTGAAAAAGGTACAGTCTACGAGTTTGTTGTAACATGGTCACTCTTGGTACACTGCTTTATGCCTGGACATATAATGATAGTTCATCCATAGTCTTATACTAGTTGAGTCTGGAATAAATTATGTTGGCTAGTATTTTTCTAAACGGACCTTATTCTGAGTAAGGGTTCCCAATTCAATTTTTGGGTTTTTGTTTTTGCACAAAATTATTTAGCATCTTTCTCTTTTAGTTAGTTAAAGGCTGGAATTTTTGCAGAAGATAGCTAATATGGAAAGCATGTCTAAGTGTGAGCAGAGAAAGCCTAATGTGGCTTCTCAAGAGCAATATATACCTGGTAATTACACAATAACTTGCTTCGTAGTTGCAACACATGCAGCTTTGTTAACATTAAATCAACTTATTAGATCTTACATTACATGATTGCCTTTTTTGTGTTAGCTAGAATCCTTTATTCTGTTTCTTATGCTTACACCATATTGTTGGATAAATTGTCTCAACGAGATTTCTAATTTGCCATTGATTAAGTAGAATTGATAAGCTGTCCTGCAATTTTTCCTCTCTGACCTTAGGGTTTAACTTATAGCATTTCATCACCCAAACAGTTATTAGAGGTTTATCTTTAAGTGAGATAATTGTTTCTCCCTTGAAATATAATATGCACATATCTTTCTAAACATCTGTAAACGCATTCCTTTAGGTCATAGGATCTACCAAGAACACCATGGACAGGCGCCTTTTTGCAGCTTCAGGCATCAGGTGTGGCCTAGTGTTCTATCTCAGACCCATTGTTTTATAATTTTTGGTTGAAGTATCCTTTGTATTGCAATTGCGTTTATGTGTCTGATGCAAATGATGAAGTTCCTTTCATTCAACTTTTTTTATAGGGTGAACTGCCAATTAATGGTGGCCGTATATTTGACATAGATTGTGGTAGGCAGACTTTATTATTGGCCCGTAGGCTCGCAGGTGTCGGTGGAACGTTTGTGCTTACGCAAGTAAGTTTGTTATTCTTGGTCTCTTAATTTTGATCGTATACCAGTTTAAGTGAGGCAATTATATGACCTTTCTTAATGTATTGCAGATGAGCCTAAATTCTGGTGAGATTGATGATATTCTGTTGCCTCCTACCACTAGAGCAATTAAAGATCTTCACCTTTCCCCTCACAATAATGGGCTTGCAGTTTTTGGTTCTCTTGGGAAAAAATTATCTGTCATAAGGTTTGTACACGTGATGATTTCATTCACCTTTCCCTTCACTTTCTAAGGATGCCTTCATTCCCAGGATGATTTCCTTGTTGTCCTAATTACCTGTCTGCTCGATTGTTCAGCTTGGAGAGCCACAACACTGTCTTATCTTATGATTTACCGGTAAACTACAGTCTTTTTGGCATCTCTTGTGAAATTTGCTTTGAATTTGATTATCTTTGTCAGTAATAATCAGCAGAAGATCCATTCTCTTGTAGGCTGCACCTTGGTCTTGTTCTTGGGATCGCAACAGTTCTCACCATATTTATGCTGGACTACAGGTTTAATAAAAAAAATTATTATTTTGCTCATTCCTACTTAAATTTTGCTTATCCGCCTCTCCCAACCTTCTTCATTGCAGAACGGAATGGTTTTAGTGTTTGACATGCGTCAAACCATGGGACCTTGCGCTTCGTTGGCTGGCTTATCAAGCAATCCAGTTCATACTATCCATCACCTCTCTGCCAATTCCACTCCAACTTCTGATGTATGTTCCCTCTTGTCCGCATCTTCCATTGGGCTTTGTCAGTGGAACATTAATGACAGCGAGGGAAGGTAAGGTTTTGTGCTTCTTTGACATTGAGGCTTGTTCACATCTCATGAAATCAAACCTACAAATCTCGTTAACTGAAAAGCACTTAAAAAGAGAGAGTACAGAACTTTACCATCTGCTTGGATAAGTTAATATGCATTTTCTTGAGTCTAACTCTAACCTGTGATATTTTCGGTTTTTTTTTTTTCTTTTTTTTTGGTTTAGGCCATCATTGGTTTCTGAAACAGAAAACCCAGGAGTTTGCATTTCCTCCTCGTATTGTCCTCGCAGCGACCATGTAGTTGCTTCTTATAGACCAAGAGTTGGATCTTCTGATGATACAATCCCGTCTCAGCCTTCGTTGACTCAAACAGGAATACATAATTATAGTATCGGTGTAGTAGATGGATTTCATGTTTGTCTAAAGAGAAGAGGTGTTGATTCTCATTATCAGAAACTGTCATCCTCACAAGCTTCGGTAGATACCATCCGTTTGCCAAGAACAGCGATTATAGACCTTGGTGAGGAAAGGAAACAACTTTTTGCATCTTGTGACGAGTCCACTCGCGAGCTCATCTTGCAAGATCCTTCGTCTTTTGCTGTCTCTCAACGGTTCCCATTGGCAAGTCATCATCCGCTTCAAGACGTGAAATACGCTCAAGTGAATGGTAACGGTCTGCTAGGTCTCTTAACCGATGATAGATTGCAGCTTCTTAGAAACGAGTCATCATGAAAAAGGGAAACAAAAAAGGTAAAACTTATTGATGTATAAATTACAGTGTGAAATTCATGGTAAATTTGCTTACAAGGCTAAAATCTTTATTTCTTTTGATTTATTTTGCAGGGATGAGAACTGGTGCTTGTTGAAGACCAAACATATATCTAACTTATCTATCGTCTTGTAATTATTGTTCAAGATGCTATTAAGGTGTATTTTATAGATATGGATAAATTGCTGCGACAGATTGTTTAATGTAGTTGTATTCCTTTTTTGTATATACAAATTTGTTTCAATATCAGCTTTTGAATCATTGGTGGGTTTAAGAATACATGAGTAAATAATTAATATGGAAAGTGAGATGATTGTTATTATGGGCCTTAAACAATTTGCGTAAAATTTAAAGAAGCTAATTTAAAAAAAAAAAAATAATCCGACCTGCCGGAATCGAACCAGCGACCTAAAGATTTATCTGTTGACTTTCGCCTACTACAGTCTTCCGCTCTACCAACTGAGCTAAGGTCGGTCTTACAATTGTACTCACTGTACTTATATAAATATTGTTGTTAGTATCTCATGTCCATAAAACACTTTTCTATTGAATTCTGAATTTCCTTTTTCTCGTTTTCGATTACTTTTTTCTCGGCGAGGTATTTCTCTTCCAGTCCCCACCCGTCGTCGTCGATCGATTCTGCTCATCAAAGCTTCCAGAAAAGCCAAGGTCACATCTCTCTCTCTCTCTCTCGATTGTTTCGAGCTCTGTTTTCTAATATGTGGCTGCAAACGAAGCATCTCTATACCTTCTCCGTTGGCGAAGCCCTTGAACAATCTACCATGAACAATTTCGGTTTTTCAAGATCTGCCTAGAACAATTTCTTAGTGTATCATCACTTTTTTCTTCTTATTTTGGGTTGATTATGGGGTGATCAGTATTCAACTTTAATCCACATGAGTTTTGGGTCGATTATGTGACTTGAGTTTCTCTTTGTTACGAATTCTGCCGTTTGGTGGGTTCCAGAGCAAGTTTTAGGGCTCTTCCTTTTCTTATTTGATTGTGAGAATCTTATTGTATTTCAAATCTTACTCGGAAGACGATGAGAAGAAGGGTAGTTGCACAATGAATCTGGTTACCGAGAATTTTGGTTTAACAATGTGTATGTCTAGGTAAGTTTTATATCTCGTTTCTTGTACAAGGTGATTAAACTGTCTTGTTTTTTCTTTTTAATTCCAGAGCTTTCCTGTCTTCTTGCAAGCTCAGGATCTGTCTTTGATTCTACAAGGGCACTTTGTAAGGTGATCGTTTGTGCATTCAGTTGACAATGGATGCTACTCATGATTCTGCTAACGTTCCAAGTAATTCGAGCAATGATATAGAGGAATCAACTGAGATGATCTTTGTGAACCATGGTAAGCCTTAGCACCATTCACTGTTTATAGTTTAGGGTTTGGACATTTTGACTCGAACAAGGTTTATTCTATCTTTGACAATTAGGGAAACTGATTGTTAATCAGTGTCAGATTAAGGCCAAGTTCTTATGTTCAGCAACTATCTTGTTCCATGTGAAATATGAATGCTTGGATCTGAAATTGTGGTTTTACTTCTTCTTTTTTTTTGCAGCTGAGATCGCATGGCAGGAGATGAGAAAGAAGTGGGTTGGAGATCCGTCTATAAGGACTTCAGAGTTGCCTATGGAACCTGTAATAAGGTACATTACAAAGTCTAAGTATTACTTCTCAGCAATTTGAGATCTCCAAGCTTCAGGTTTCTTACATAGTATTCACATTATTAACTCCTTTTTCGACTCTAATTTTTTTTTTTTTTTGTAGCTTCAACGCTACTTATGAAGATTTGCTTCTACCCAACACTCCTTTTCACAAGCCCATCCCTCTAGCTGTGAGTCCTTACAATACTTCTCTTCTTCTTAATTTGGTTCTGTTTGCTTGTTTTCAAACCTTGTTTTTTTATTATTCAAGAACAATCTTCTCTATGCGGATGTGGAAAATTTGCAGGAAATGGTGGATTTTCTGGTTGATTTTTGGCACGGGGACGGTCTTTTCGAGTAGGTTAAACCGAAGCAGCATTCTGAGTAGTATTCTTGGTACAGAATTTAGTTGCATGCTCTAATCCATTTAGGTTAAAAACTCTCTGGTTTTCCATTAACAAACCATGAACATAAACCTTGTTCCATGAGAAATTCAATCCCCAGAAAAAGGGGATCATGCTTTTGTTTAATTGTGACTCTACATGAGTTGATCGAATGATGTTTAGCATATAATATAACAGATATTCACCATTTAAAATGTGTGATATTTTCTTTTAAACATGATTGGGTATTGAAAACTAAAAGAAAAAGGCAGATATGAACGTGAATGGTGTGGGTTAAGAAGAAAACACATGTATGATATTCATAGACGCGACTGCGTTTGGCGATTGCGATTGTGTGTGTGTTAGGTGTTTAAACGCACTGTAAGTGGCGCACTCACTCTAATTGCCCAAAGAAAAGTCATAAACAAAATCGTTGACCCTGACTTTTCTTCATAACTTCAAATCCTATGAAAACGAAGCTTCTTAATCTAATAGATTAGATATTATTTAATCGAGAAGTACGTATATCAATTATTTATAAGTATTCAACCTAAGTTTAGTGACTTGCAACTTTATCAGTTAACGTATTCGATCGAAGCTAACAAAACCGTTGGGTTATTACTTATTATTAGGTTCAATGCATGTGAGCATAATTTGCTTAAATAAATATTTTAATATTTTAATCGAAGATCATCCTGTTTATCGACACAATTTTGAATTCTGGTTCAAATATATCTCAACATTAAAAAAAAAAATTCATCTGCCAATCGGAATTATTTAATTTGGTATAAAATAGAAATGCTTTTATGGTCTTCGTATTTACTGGAGTACTTTAAGTCTCTGCTCTCAGTATATAAAATGGGTAAATAAATCCACTTGGTAAAAAAAGGTAAAGAAATCCTCTACAGGGAGAAAAGAGTTGCAGGGAAAATCTTTGGGAAAAAAGTTATTTGATTCTTTTTTTTCCAATTTTTGCAACAGCAAGCTTTTGTCTTTCTCAGTTTTATATTCATTTTATTTTCTTCGGTCAATATTTTTCATTTTCATTTCGTTTTGCTTTTGTTATCTCACAGTTTCAGATTCTTGGTGGGTTTTAGATAAATTGGGTGTGGCAATAAAAAATTGAACTTTGGAATAGGAAAAATAGGATATCCAAAAATTCCAACTTTATTCAAGAAGAAGAATCTCTATTTGTCCAAATCGAAAATCTCCTTTCTGTGTTTTCTCTTCATCTCCAGCAATCTATAATACTTTCGACGCGATTTTCGAGTCGTCGGATATAAGGTGTCAGAACTTTCAGCTTATCCGAAAGCTCCTAAATCCGTGGATGCTCACATATCGAATTTCAAAGCACTTGCGTTTTTGGGTTTCCTCTATATTTTGATTCCTTCAGCATTTTGGGTTTTCATTTTTGCCACAGGAGAGAAGAGAGAGATGGAGATCGACAAGGCGATCGGAGAAAGCGATGATAAGAGGTTGAGGACCAAGTACAATAACGCCATCTTCGTCATCAAGAGAGCTCTTGCTCTTTACTCGTGAGTTCTCTTCTCTTATTGTTTGGTTTTATCTTCCTTCATAAAAGTCTTCTATCGTCAGATTCATTGTCTTAAAAAAAATTGACCAAAGAAACTTGCACTTGGATTATAGATGAAGCAAAAAAATTGCTACTTTTTGATTTTATTGTTCTTTGGATGTGATTTATCTTTGAAAATCGATAAAGGATACCAGGATCTTGTGGATCATTGATCTCAGTTAAATTTACTAGTAGCAATTTCATGGTTTGAAAGATGCTCTTCCTTAGGATCGATTTAGGTATATGATCTATTGGATTAGATTGTACCGTTTAGAAACTAAAGTTTTCTGTTCATTTCGTGTTTGCCATGTTCATTGTTTGCGTATGCTGTACAAACATTACGTTACATTTTCAAATAAGGTGATAATTTTCAAGATTATTGACTTTACTGATTCTTGAAAGTGTCCAACTTGTCGACTTCTGCAGTATTGAAGAGGTCGCCTTTAGTTTCAATGGAGGAAAAGATTCGACTGTAAGTTAAAACCGTTCCTTCTAAAAAAGTCTCCTATTTTGATCTTTTCTATTTCGCCTGGTTTCCTGAGTCTATAATAGTGACCATCATCATGATTTGTAGGTGTTATTGCACCTTCTTAGAGCTGGCTATTTTTTGCATAAGAAAGAGCTGAGTTGTTCTAATGGAGGTCTATCAAAATTTCCAGTCCGGACCATATACTTCGAGAGCCCTTCTGCGTTTACTGAAATCAATGCATTCACATATGATGCAGCTCAAACGTAAGAAAAGTTCTCCTACCGTGTACGCTCCCAGAATAATATCTATTTGCTGGTTAGCTAATCATCTTGTTCTATATGGGCAGTTACAATCTGCAGCTTGATATCATTCGCCAGGATTTCAAATCCGGGTTGGAGGCATTGTTGAAGGCTAACCCTATCAGAGCTATTTTTCTTGGTGTCCGAATTGGTGATCCTACTGCGGTTAGCTTCATTTCAAATCTCTAATCTCAAGATTCATATTCAATATTTTATAGAAACTTGTGAAAAAATTTGATCATTGTGATCGATTGCTTCTCATTAACTTTTTTCCAGGTTGGTCAAGAGCAGTTCTCTCCTAGTTCCCCTGGTTGGCCGCCCTTTATGAGGGTGAATCCTATATTGGATTGGTCATATAGGTATCCTTTTTCTCCTTACCATACCTTCTTATTGCTTTCTCTGTTAGTTGCTCTTTCTACTAAATCTACAGTTAACTTGGATTAGTGGTTTATTCGTACTTATGTTTAAGTATGCTTGACGTGCAACAAATCTTGAGCACAGTTTTTCTGATAAATTTGTTTATGTCATAGAAAGGCTTCGAAAAATTGGAAACGAGAGCAATTTTATAGTGCTGCGATCTTTTTCTCATTTAATGTTTATGTTCTGGTTATTTTCTTAATGGTTTCCTATGCAGAGATGTTTGGGCATTTCTCCTAACTTGCAAGGTCAAGTATTGCAGTCTTTATGACCAGGGGTAAAAGTCCTCCCCGTAGTATCACTTTTGAAATTTCTTCTGTTTTTTTTTTTTCCTTGTCCATTTCGTCTTATATTGTGTCTCATTTCTGAATATGCAGATATACATCAATTGGGAGTATTCATGATACTGTTCCCAATGCATTATTGTCTGTTAACAACGCCAGCAATAAAGAGAAATTCAAACCTGCTTATTTGCTCTCTGATGGGAGGTTAGAGAGGGCAGGGAGAGTCAAGAAAGTTGCTTCAATCAAGAATGACATAAATAGTGATTCACAAAAACACGAGGTGCTTTTGGCCTCAGTTATTGCTGTTGGCGATGAGATTCTGTAAGTCATTAATTCTTATTATAAGGCTCTTTATTGGCATTTTATTTATCTTAACAGAACAATATGATATACACATATGACAGTAGAGTTAGGCCACCCACACGTAGAAAAAAGTCCTGCTTGGTTACTTACTCACCTAGGTGCAATGAAATTCTTCTAACCCATTTATCTGTTCCATAGCTCAGGTCTGGCACTGTTGAAGATCAGTTAGGACTCTCTCTGTGTAAAAAGCTGACCTCTGTTGGTTGGTCGGTGCAACAAACTTCTGTTCTTCGGAATGATGTGAGTGAGATTTACTCATTGTCTTTGTTGCATCAGTCAGAGAACGTAAATTGTTTGTGAGCTCTATTAACGTTTCTCTGTGTTTCATATATCAGATAGATTCTGTATCCGAGGAAGTTGACCGCCAAAGGTCTACCAGTGATATGGTGAGTCCTTTAAACGAATGAGCGTAAAATCAAAGAGAGGTTTTGTCTTAGTAAGATATGACTGACGCATTTCTTCTGCTTGATGATTTTGGAGGTATTTATTTACGGAGGAGTTGGTCCTTTGCATTCAGATGTTACTTTGGCTGGTGTTGCTAAGGCATTTGGGGTTCGCCTGGTACGTTTCTATATCATTTTAACACAGGCTCATGGTTAAGGTAGTTTTTGATAAAATTACCTTAAGATCTCAATGCATCTGAGTGTCAACAAGTGAAATTAATCACCAGTTAATCGTAATGTAAGAGGCTAATAAAGTCATTAATTCAGGCACCTGATGAAGAGTTTGAGGAATACCTTAGGCATCTTATCAGCGAGCAGTGTACAGGTGACAGGAATGAGGTGAGTAATTCGGTCTTGAGAAAAAAAGTTTTTATGGATTTATACATGTTCAGACAATTTAAGCTAAAACTTTATAGCAAAGAGTTTTTCTGTTGCGTACATGGTTTCTTACCAAGTTGATTGCTTTTTTATTTACAGATGGCTCAGTTACCAGAAGGAATCACAGAACTGCTACATCATGAAAAGCTTTCGGTGCCATTGGTAGTTGCCCTCAGAACTCCATTCAAAGTTAGTATTGCAGCATTATCCTTCCATACCCATTTGATCATTGATCGCTGGTGAATTTCTGTAGATCAAGTGCCGCAATGTGATTGTTCTTGCTGCTACAAACACTGAGGAGCTTGAGAAGGAGTGGGAATGTCTGACCGAGCTAACTAAATTGGGTGGAAGTTCATCACTCATAGAGCTATATGCGTCAAGGCGCCTGATGACATCTTTGACAGATGTATGTCTTACTTTCCATTCCACTTTTTCTCTCGCCGTGACTTTGCTTTGAGCTGGTTAAAGAGATTCACTACTTGTTCGCTTTTCATGCAAAAATCTGTGTTAACTTTGGATTTGCGGTTTTTCTTGAAATGCAGGTTGAGGTTGCAGAACCTCTGTCCAAACTTGGTCTTGAATTCCCAGACATATATCTTGGTATAAAATCTTTGACCTGTCTCATATTATTTAACTTTAAGAGCATCTAAAGTGTAAAGTCTATGTTTTTAACCGCAATCTTCTTCACAGGGTGTTACCGAAAATCCAGACAAGGTCCTATAATTATCTGTTTGAAGGGAAAGGTATAAACACAAGATCTAGTTTCATTTCTTTCCCCATTTTTCAGGCTCATAAGTTACCTTTTATATTTTTGTTGGTTCGACAGGATAATGCACGCGTTGACTCAGCTGTACAGGCACTATGCAAGAAGTTCAAGCAAAGTGTGTTCGTAGAAATCAAATAGACACAAGTTTAGTTACCGGTCGAGCCTGAGAGAGGCGGCTTCAGTGGCCAACTTGAGTAGCTTCTATGTACCGGTCACAGACACAGAGGAAGTAACCGGAGGGAATAGGTTCAAAGCCTTTGAAATAAATGTCGTATCAACTTTTTAAGTAATGGAATTTGTAGGAAACTAGCCCAAAAGGGTTTTGCTTTTTATATATCTTGTCATAAACTTGATTTTAAGGCACTTGATTCAGAAACTTGACCCTATTTCTGTGTCTCTTTTTTTTTTCATTTTATTTAATTAGTTACATGCTCTGCTCCTTTCACTGTGTTTAAGCGATCATCTTGAGAGGCTTCTGGATTGAATTCAACTCAAAGAAAGTAAACGGAAGGGATTTTTTTTTATTTTAATTTGATCCAGGGTTTAGGATAATAACCGGAATAAATTGCACTAGATTATCGATCGGTTATACAAACCGGTAAAAACATACCAAGTTGAGAGTTTCTCAATTTTGCAGTGGGGAAGAAGAAATGGCTAACACCGAGAGAGCTGTTAGTCTCTTGAACTTTCTCCGTCTGCAAAGCTTTGCTTACGATTTTATTTTCAATTAAACCGTAACATCTCTTTCTATTGTTTTACTTCAGCTGAGACGATGAGCAAAAAAAATAAAAGAGTTTTGTAGACGAAGAAGAAAGAGAGAACAAAAAGGGCCACTTATATTAGATGGGTTGGATCAACTCCTAAACCGAAATGTATTGGACCAGAGAACCGATTGGTTATACAAACCGATGTAAACATCCAATATCACTTCAATAATAGTAATAAATTAATCAAAAACCTTTAAATTGTGGCTACAAAAATAATTACGGCCATTGAGTGTCTTATCAACTTTGAAGTAAGGGAATTTGTTGAAAACTCCTTTTCTACATTTTCTCATGGATGATGGTCTAAGACTGAGCATGATGATGATGCTTATGTCGCATTCTAATCCTGCGTATTTTGACTTTATTAAGACAAATATTATTTAATAAATTACCTGAAGGTGTAGTTTTGTACAGAGTCTACCCCTAAGCCCTAAGCGCTAGAAACAGAGCAAAACATATTACACTTGAGATCGGCATCGGATATTTGATAATAACGCTTTGAATACATGTTCTGCACTGAATTCAACTCTAAGACAGTAAACGCAAGAGATCATCTGTCAACTTTGAGAATGTTGTTTGTGATGTGTCCTCTTGTAACCGAATCTCTTTGAGGATCCGTTGTCCATTGACCGTCCACGATGAATTTGATCTCGTATGTACCGGGATATAACCACAGTAATGTTGACCAGCATTTCTGTTTCCTGTAAAACACCATAGAAGCATTCAACATGTGTACGCTCGCAACATTACCCGAATATTAAAGAAGTCCTTCACATCGTTCGTTCACCATCAGTAGATTAATGTTCGACCAGAGGAATATAAAAGTTGCTTCTACTTTAGAGAGAGTGATGATTACTTGTTAAAAGGTAAGAAAGAGTCAGGAACCAATACTGACCCGGTTGACTTGGATGCTTGGCGTTCCAGTCCTACTCGGTGTTCCCAGCCATTGAAGCTACCAGTCACCTCTACAACATTACCGTCTCCGCAATATTCAATCTCAACCTGAATAAAAGATTCACTTTAGTAATCTTGGCTAGACAAAAATTAGAGTATATATAACCAGAAAAAGCAATCCTAGCCTACTAGTTCGAAGTAGTGATGGTTTACATAAAATCGTTCTAGAGAATCAAGTGATAAGGGTTGGTCTGCCCCAGTGTTCGTTAGAAGGCACTTGGCTTTCAGGGGTGAACGTTATGCGATTAGAGCTTTGGTGCGGGATTTTGTATTGACAGTCTAAATAGGAACCATGGCAATGATACGATAAGTATTATAATAAAATTAAGCTACCTCTTGCAATCCTGAGAGATTTTCCTCAGCTTCTTGCAATTCAACATCCTTCTCTGAGACAAGCATTTGTGCCTTTTGGATCTCTGTTTCAGCCTGTCTATGAAGAACCGAAAGAGACAGCTGAACCCAGGAAATTGTAGATTAGGAACACAAACAAGTACACCACCATATGCAATAAATAAGAGACTAGAGAAACATATCATCCAAGAATAAACATATTTATTGCCTATATCGAAAAGGAGAAGAAAAGTATTCAGAACTCAGCTACATCTCAAATATCTGAAGAATTCTAAAGGTCCATATATGCAGATCGATAAGTTATTAAGCAATCACATATTGCATATGTAGGGAATCTACCAATTTATGTGCCATTTCGCTAGTGGGCACCTATGTACAAACTTATACGTTCCTGGAGAGTAGTAGCTTACTTTTTCCTTTTCAATTTGCTCCTTCAACCTTGACAGTTCCAGCTCTTTTTGACGCTAACCATGCAATAAATTACCAACAAAGTTAGTTAGCAAAAATCACTTCATATGTTCCAATCATTAAGAGAAAGCAATCAATGTACCAGGATGAACCTCAGCCGAGTAATCTCAACCTGATTTTCCCGTTTCATGGTCTGTATCATTTCAGAAAAAGGTTCTATGAGCAAGGATACGAATAAAAATAACAATTCAATAACTTAAGACCAATTGAGAGAGTTCAATGAATTCAGTGATCTGTCGCCACCTCATCAAGTTCCTTGTCCAGTTCAGCATTACCACCTCTCTGATCACTATTCCTGTGAAACAAATATCCAGGATCACTTACAAAATGCAAATAAGGATCAAGAGCAACAAACTAGACCGCCATAATTTAGACTCACCTGTTGGAGCTATTAACTTCTGTAGCATAGGTAACCTCCTCCAATGCTACGGCACTTCCATTTGACACCGCACTCACACTTCTTTGACCACCATGACTGTCTCCTATGTACTCTCGTCCTTTACTTGTTTCTGCACTTTCTTTAGATTCTTCAGGACAGCTTTCATTAGGTGTGTCATTTTCATCATCTGAAACAGGTTCCAACTATCAATTAACATTTTTTACCATGGGATAAAGATTCGCTGCCGAAACATGCATGAATACTGAAGATATTGATACGACATGCCATTCACAATTCTTCTAACGTAAATGCTTCAGGAGATCGAATATACCATCAAGTGTATCCAAGCATCCATTCTGGATAAATCTGGCTGATTTGTCATCTATGCTTGAAATAGAAGAAGAAAGTCCTAACATCCGATCCTTATTCTCAGACTCAACTATACTATCTTTACTCACACTTCCATGTTCTTCAGCCTCAGGCATGCTACCATCTATTGCAGTTAAGTGTACTTGAGTGCTTGAATGTCGTTCGGTATACGAATTTCCATCAATCACATCCAGTGCTTCTTCGTCCTGACCTTCTACACCAGATAAATGTATCAGAAAAGAGGAGACTATCTTACAAAATCAAATTTATGTTTTGGTGCTCTTATAGATTTAGGCGTTTGACCTGTTGATAAATCTTTCAAACAAATACCACTGGCACTTGTTTCCATGATCGTGTTATTCTCAGAAATTAACTCATTACAGCCTTCCAAATCAGAGTCTGCAAGAAGTTCCCTAATGAACTTGTATCCTCTTCGTCTGACAACGTTGGCAAGATCAACTCTACAAACAAATGATGGCACAACCAAAACTCAATTAAGTCAGAGTTTCCCAGAAGCAATCCCCTAAAAACAAAATCAGAAGGCTTGTAATGAATGCACGACACAAAAATTCAACGAGCCTACTAACAATTCAGCAATTTAACAAAATCTGCAAATATGGGATTTGGAATTTGGAACCTTCCATGTGCCGAGAGCTCCTTCATGGACGGCACGTGACCTTGAGGAAGTCCAGCCAAAGCAACGAACTCCATAATCTCACTCCGAAGCTCCTCGTTGCTCTTCACTCTTTTACGAACCCTGCAAAAATCAATCGAATTTTCAATCATCATAAACCAGAAAAACCCACAAAACGGTGACTGAAATTGACGAACGAACTACGAATGCTGCCTCCAAATTTTGAACCTGGCTTGTTTGATGGAAGAAGCGAAACAGACGAAACCATTCTTCTTCGTCAAAATCAAGAGCGAAACAAAAAGTTGCGGTTGCTGATGACGATGACGATGATAGTATAGCAATGAATTCCGATTGTGAAAGGAAGGGAAGGAGAAAGAGAAAGGAACATGAGAAATCGTCGCCATGGCCGGACTTACTCAATCTCCGGAGTTACCCAGCAGCATTTTAAGGCTTTGATTGGCGTCATGACTGTTAGCACTTTTAAGGATTTTATAGCGTTCACAGATAATTTTAAACCAATCAGACTTTTGATCACTCTATTTTCTCTACAGTCTTAAAGACTGTCGACTGTTTTTTTTTACTCGTGTAGTTAAACAAAATACTTAACCTAATAATTAAAATAAAATTAAGTAGAATCTAATTGATTGTTTAAATTAAAGATTTAAAATCCCTACGACACCAAAGTAGAACAATGAGATCTTACTAAACAACAACAACAAAAAAGAAAAAATACAGACATTAAGTAAACTTTAATTTTATGCTGTTACTGTTAAAATTTTGGCTGTAAAATAAATAGTTGTGACTTAAAAAAAAAAAAAAGTAAAAGCCACAAATTTAGGATAAATTTTTTTGACTTTAAAAAATTTTAAACTAATAAAATCTGATTGGTTAACTAATGATTTTTAAGACTTTAATTTTCTCTAGAGCCCCTGTTTTAAAAAAAATTTTCCATTCAGAATAATAGTTTATACTTCATACTTAACAACAACAACAACTAAAAAAAAGAAAAATACAGACACTAAGTAACAGATTTAAACACCTTAAAATATCTTCAATGACCAAAACATTCTTTTTGGTATCCCTGTCCAATCCGACCCCATATGGTCCTCTGGTTTTTTCGGAATTCAATTTTTTGATCTATGTCTCAAACACCTCCTACTGCAGCTTCAGCTTCCTCTTCTTTCCTTTTAGCCAGTTTTCCAGTTCCTGAGCACTCATAACATTTGGCTTGTTGTACTTGTGATCATCATCACGACCTCTCATCTCCTTCCAAACCGATTTTGGTCTATAGAAGTCACACTTCCAGTAATAGAAGTGAGCATATTCTTCAAACTCTTTCGTCGTACGGATCAATGCTTTATGCTCCTCTTCTTTCTCCTAGATTTGGGGAGACACTGGCGTAGGTGGCGTCACAGAGGACTGGGGACGGTGGTGTCGGGGACGGCGGCAGAGTAGGTTCGCTGGTGGGAGTACCTCCTGAACCACCTTCCGAGGAATTCGAAGTTTAAGGAAGAGACGGCCGCCGGAATCATGTCAGTCAACTTTTTAATTTTAATCGATCTATTTGTACCAATATAATTAAACATAACTGATGTCGACAAAAAAATACATAATGATTAGATTCAACTTAAAAATAAGTTAATACTTAATACACTAAAATAGATAAACTTACTACAAACACACATTTGATATCTACAAAACAAAAAACTAATCCTATTAAGACTAAATAGGTAATCCTTGATTCACTTGCTTAATTCTTAGAATAACGATACGACTTACACACACACTTCACACCATAGAAATCGCATTTCCAGTCAAAGAAATGGGCATATTCTCGTTTCGTTCTATCTTGTCATAATTCATCATATTCTATGTCTAGAATTCTAGTTTTGTATCAAAATACATTTGCTTATAAGACAAGATTTTGATTTTTTATTGAAAAAAATGGAATAGGATAGGATGGATACAATATTTTTAAATTATTTTTATATTAGATTGTATAGTAAAATATGTATTCTATATAAGTGTTGTAACATTCAAAATGACATGTATCAAGGTAAATGGAGTGATGCAAAAAGACATAATATATATGAAAATATCACTACATTGTAAGAGATTTTTGCACAAATAATGCTCAAAATTTTTATAAATTTTGACGCATAAATGTCTATTGAAAAATGATCTCACCTACTACGATAAGATATATTTATTAAAAAAAACATAAATACAATACAATTTATCATTTAATTTTTTAGAATTGATAAAATGTTCCCTACAATTTTTTTCCTAGGTGGAAATTATTCTTAAACTTTTTAAATTTATATGTTATTTTTATGTTTGGTGGAGCTGAAGAACCATTATTAACTTTATAGTCTCACTAGTTAAAGCTTTCATGAACTGATTTTGCTGCATAAATCTCTGAATATGTTTCATTTAAATTCTCTGGTCGAATTGTTTGTTTATAACATGAATTTGTTGATCCAAGCGAAGCTAGAGAAGCCATATTCAGTCTCTGAATAGCTGATAATTGTTTTCCTTTCCTCCCTTTTATAGATTGCTGCAAGGTCAAACCCTTGATTTGGTATTTGAAAGTAATAAACCGGTGAAATGAGTTTTCAATCATATGATTTGAAAGAAGCCATATTCGAACCAGATGTCAAATAATTCAAAGAAAATTCAAAACCCCGGTTTAGGGATGAACAAAACCGGACATCAACTAATCCAATTTAGCAATTTCAAATCGTTAAGAATGTATTTTTTCACAAGCCCATCCCTCTAGCTGTGAGTCCCTACAATACTCCTCTTCTTCTTATCGCCTGATTTCAAACCCTTGTTCATTGTTTTTTTTTTTTTAATTCAAGAACAATCTTCTCTTTTTAAATAATTTTAAAAAGTTACCCTGCGGAATTAAAAGGAGTGCTTGAGTATCAAAATTATATCCAATTCTAATATAAAGTAAGAAGAGATATAAATGTTTTTTTGTGAACAAAAATATCTAATAAAAGGAGGAGTGTTCGAGTATCAAAATAATATCCAGAGATACAAAATATACATTGTTCATCTTAATGTGAGTCCCTATGATACTCCTCTTCTCTTAAGTTGGTTCTGTTCGACTGTTTTCACACCCTTGTTCCTTGTTTTTTTGCTCAAGAACAATCTTCTCTTTAACTTGATCGCAAAATTCCATAGTCTTGAGGACAAAATTGTCATCGTGGAGCTCGAATGGAGTGCTGCAAAAAGACATGTACCAGGTAAATTGATTACTATGGAGGACATTTGGCAGAAAAGAAAAGATCAAATTTGGTGTTTTAGTTCTTTTACCTGTTGAAATCGAAATGCACGAGCTGCATATCTTCTGATATCTCCACTTCTACGGTCGCGTGAGGACGAGTCTGGTGCAGAATAACAACAATCAGACAATAGCCGAAAAAGAACGATGATATTGGTTTGCTTCTGGATCGAAATAAGCTTTGCTGAAGTTTACCTGGACGAGGATAAATGGAAGAGCAACACCACCACTAGGAGCATTTCCAGAGCTATATAAGTGCTCGTTTCTCTGAATCAGATTCTGAAGGCCTATATACTTTTCAGACAAAGAGAAGAAAGAAGAACCATGTAAGAATCATGTATGATAAGAGGAAACGGAAGATCAAACAGATAAAGAGAGGGTATCACTGGAGTCCATTACTTGCTCTTCCAGTTCTTGGGAATATGCAGTTTTCTTTTCAATCCTGTTCCTAAGTGAGAGACGTTCAGCCTGCAGAAATCAAACTCAAATTCAGGAACAAAAATTTATAGACGAGGTTTGGAACATGGGCAAGCAAAACACAGAAAGCTGGTTGAAAACCTTTAATTCTTCAATGTCGCTTAAGCTTGTACGAGGAAGACCTCTCCATTGAATCTCTTTTTTATCCTTGGATATTATATCCATAGCCATGAGGACGTTCAAAGCATCATATACTCTTCGCCTTATGTTCTTCTCATCATACTGTTGCTGTTTAAAAGAAATTCAGATGATGTAATTCTTTTAGAGTTTCAAGAAAAAACCGCATATATTAATAGTTCTACAACAAGTAGTGCACATGTTCAAGCTATAAACTATCAAAGAATCGCATACCTGATCCGGGGATGTTCCATCGTTACTTGGGAGTGCAAATTCAGCAACAAGCTCGTCCGCAACCTGAAAGGTACTTTCACCTGTCAGATACAGTATTACAGAACTACACGTTTGCAATACTAATCATGAGACAAACTGATATTCCACTATGTGATCTTCGCAAGTGAAGCTTTCAATTTTAAGGAAACTACTGTACCTCGTTGTAAGTTGTCCTTCCTTTGCTCTCCACCTTTTCACAAACTGAGAGGAAGCCGGAAGAACACAAGATCGGTTAAGTGTATAACCAAAACATTAGGAGGCATATCAACAATTGATAGCTATAAAGTTTTAAACAAAAATTAGATGAAAGCCGAGACCTTTCATGCTAAATTGACGTAGCCCTCTTCCACTTTTATCTGGACCAGCCGCACGCTGTCCCCTCTTCTTCTTCTTACCACTGTTAATAGATTAATGATCAACTAAACTACACAAAAGATAATTAACGACTTCCACGGAAAATTAAAGCACACAGATTGTGCCTCAACAGCTTTCTAAGTCCGGGCAAGGATAATGTGAGAGATGAGTATTCAAAGAGGCAGATTCATTGTAGGTCTTAGACAAACTTCGAGCAGCAGAAAGTCTATGAAACGGTACATATCGGAGAGCCAATTTCAAGCTTCTAAAAGTATGTTCCACACACCATTCTTACGTCTATTGGTTAAGTTCTATTAATTCACTATGCAAAGCCTATGCCAATCGAACATTCACAAGGTTAAGCTCATAAAACCCTAAATCACAAAAATCCATAAAAAAAAAAACTTTACCAAATCCCAGGATTGAGGTAAAATTAGTCAATTAGAAGAGCTTTTTACATACCCAGAAGCTCCTTGAGAACCAGTATCGTCACCCTGAATGTCCAAATTGTTCAGGCGTATAAAGGCACTGTCGCTAGCAGATGTAGCCACGGTGGTGGTCTGCTCGCTCCGGCTCGAGGGCGAGCCCATACTGCCGCTAGTGGACACCGATTGACCTGAAACCGCCGTGCCCCAAGACCTCGTACTAGGGTTGTTGTTGTTATTCTTCACGGAACCATCGTCATGGTGGTTGTGATTAGAATTAGACCCAGTTGTTGTCATTCTTCTTCACCTAACAAACTACCGCAAAACCCGTTACTGGAAATACAAGAAACCCCGATAAAATTGTCAAATTTTGAGCCGGAAAGTTTTGATTTTGAGGAAAACCCAGATGAGTACTGACCTTAAATCGACTTGGGTTATTGGACATTAACGAGAATAGAGGCTTTCAGTAATGGCGGATCACCGTCGTTGCTAAGCTCCTCTCCAGATTCCTAGTTTGATAATTATCTGAAACGAGAATCTTCGCGGCGGAAACTTTTTGGATTTCGACGGAGGAGGAGGAGGAGGAGAAGGATAAATCGATCTGAAAAGAGTGATTTTTGTCGGTTTTGGATTTCGGAGTTGGGAGGTTTTTTTCGATTATATGATGAGGGACCAAACTAGTCAAGAAGAGAATAACCTCTTTTCTTTTCCACCAAAAGATTAGGGAATTATCTTTTTACACTTCTAGTTATTCAAAATAAAATAATATACTGAAATGATCATCGTCCTCTTCTTTTTTTTTGGCAAATTACTTAAATTATATATCTTTGACTTAATAAACATGAAAACAAATATAAACATATTCGAAGATCACATTAGTAATGTTTTTCTGATGGATCGAATATATATATAAATATATATATATAGCTTGCCTTGAAATATGATGGGTATAAATTACTAATTTGAGTGTTGAGTGGATACGAAATAGCAAGCATCGAGTGTCATAAGTTAAAAATTAAGAAAGAACACACAAACTCCGAAATAGTAAGATAGAGGAACAAGGCATAATGCAAATTACAAACAACACTTAAAAGTTACACAGTTATAAAGCCATTAAGCTTTTATTCACTGGAGAGGGGCAAGCCAGTGGTAGTACATGGAGAAAGGGGCCTCATCGATGACGTCGTGGAGAGTGTTGGAGGAGAGGTCGTAGAAACCGAACCCCGTACGAGAGCTTGCATAGTAGACAGAATTGGGGTGAAGTCCTGGATAGTCGGTTGCAGAGACGCAGAAGGCCTCACTATTGCTTAGGAAGATGCAGAGATCGCCAATGTCTTCAGTGTAAGAAGCGATCCTTTGCTCATTGTCTTGCCTAAACACCAAAAAGCCCCTAAGCTTGTGGAAGATCCTGTCAGTGGGTTCCTTGGCGCGTATAGACTCCATTTCTTCTCTGTTCAAGAACTCGTTACACCTTTATTAAGACAAAGGGGCAGCGCAAATGAATATATTTTTTCACTGAATTGTAATTCAACAATGCACAGATTAAAGTGAGCAGAAGAACAAGCACAAACACAGGCTCTTCACTCTCTATATACAGTATGTCTCACTCTACTTACATTCTTTGCCTATTTACACTATGTTTCTCTCTCTGCAACAATACTTGTCCTCAAGGTGAATGTATCTGAAAGAGATCAGGACAATGAATTACCAGTAAACGATGAAGGAGTCGCCAGAAGGAGACTCGACCTGGTGTTGAGTCTTGTAAGTTGAGTTAACCTGATCTTGTCTACTCTTGGGGATGTCAGATAAAGGGAATCTCTGGTACAGACTCACCTGAGGGAAGCCGGAGCTAGTGTCGATGAGATCAATAGGACCATCATACACTTGCTCTCTCGCCAACATGTGGAGATAGAATTTCCGGTCTCTCGCCGAATACGTCATCTCCGAGGCATAAAACGGGACACGGACATGCGTCCACTCCGAGTCACCAGGCCGACACAGACTGAGTGATGAGCTAGGCGTCTTGGCGGCCACTACGCAGCCTTGCTGGTCTGGAGAGGCTGACAGAGAGATACTGGAAACAGCTCGACCTCTACTTTCATCATCCCATGGAGGCAGGGAGATAACCTTGCGTGACGAAACAGAGGCACAAGGGTTGAACATATTTGTGAGACGCACTGTGGAGTCGTGTATGTTCTTCCCTGCCACCCATCCACTCGAAGATCCTATCCTCACCGAATAGAGGAGCTCCATCGACAGAGTCTGGTCCGGGATCTTCACTCTTTCGTCCTTCCTCGGATCGTACAAGTTCATGTCCACCAACATTTCATTACCACATGGTGCCCTCCTGCCGTTTATCTCTTGAAAAAGAAGATACGGCGTCGCCTCCGTAGTCAATGCCCGCAATTCACTGAAACAGAGTCTCGGCTGCTTCCCAATTGGTGATGATGTCGACAGCTTAGCGATTCGGCCCAAAAGCTGAGACATTCTTGAGAGAAATTGAAAACCCTAAACGGCTGAACCAAAACCCTAAATCCCACACCCTTGCTTCATAAAGTAGTATCCTCCTTCGTTTCTCAAATTTCCCAAAACTTCCATTTTTGCTTCTCCCCTTATTAATGGCACAAAACGGTTCCTCTGTTTCTTCAATGAGTAGTGAGACTTAATAGGAGGGATAGGAAAACCAAAAATCATGACCGAATAAATAAAAACCAAACCGAATAGTTGTTTAATTGATGTAACTAAACCGCATTATATGATGTAACTAAACCGCATTAACAGATTACCAATTCCAACCAGCAAGGTCATCGCGATGGTGATTCAAAGAGCCATATTACTCGATTAGTTGTTTAACTGGGTGGGATAGAGAAAATTGGACTTGATCATGTCAAACCAACATCAAGATACCAATGAACCGAAACCTTATTAGTTCTAGATAAATAATAAGGTTTGTCTTCTTTCTTCTTTTTTTTTGGCAATTTGCTTAAGTTCTAGGGATCTTCTGGCTTTATTAAACAGGAAAACAAATATAAACATGTTCGAAGACCACACTCACATTGAGATATAACAGATAAAAGACATGTGTAGTTATAAACTATTTAAGAACTAACGCCAATACAAATTACTATAACTACGTTTTGAACACGTGCGGAAACACATTTTGAATAGACATATATGTATTCTTATTCTAACACTAGGTTAATATGTATTCTTATTCTAACATTAGGTTAATACCCACATGTAAATACTTTATACCACCAGCTCCAACTGTATCACAGTCAATGATTAAAAGGTCTGTATGGCATTTATCTCTCTCTCGATCATGGTAAATTAAATCGTCACCCTCCACTCCATTTTTCATTTTTTCTAATATGATGATATTTACTTCAAAATCTGATCTCTCTCCCTTTCTCTTTTTTTTGGGTCAATTTTTTGACTAAGGCATATCTATAAAATTGTTGATGAGATAAATTATTTGTTCGCTGATCCAATTTCTTTCTGAAAGAAACCTAAAAATTATAAAAAGATGAATAATCATTATTTTTTACTGCAAGTCGGCGCACAAAGATGCTGTTGCCGGTGGCTCAGGAGCCGTAGTGTGTTCTTCCAGGTCCAGTGACGGTGACGATGTTCATCTTCCGCCTCTTCTTCCTCTTTATCCTTCTTCCACCACCGTTGATGTCTTCCAATCCTCACTAATGCGGATCTAAAAAAATATTTTACTAGAATCAATACATTATTATAAGTTATTTATCTTTTCAATATTATTTTAAATATATAAAAGTTGTATAGTTTTATCATTGTATACATTTTAAAATTATGCTAAAAATACTTATAAATATCATATCAAAGTGTGCACAATTTGTTCATTATCATGTTTTCAACAAAATATACATAAATATAGAGTGTACTATTGATTGTATAAATTGAAATCAACATATCATATTTGAAAAATAGCTTATTTAGAATTACAAGTTAAAATGCATAATAAGGTTTATCTTCTTTTTTTTCTTTTTTGGCAAATTGCTTAAGTTATAGGGATCTTCTGGCTTTAATAAACAGGAAAACAATGTAAACATGTTCGAAGACCACACTCACATTGATTGTTTTTCTAATCAAAGGAAAAAAAATATATATATATAGCTTGAATATGATGTATAATTAGTAATTTGATTATTTGAGTGTTGAATGGACACGAAAATATCAGTTTATTGTTTTATTTAATGGGATTTAGTAATGTTGAGTTGTGTATATGCTTTAGGGAAATAAACTTATACAATATTTATAAAGCTTCTAATTTATTTATGTTAAGTTTATTGATAATATTTTAGCAAAAATAAAAGTTTCTTGATAAAAGAAAATTAACATCACATATATAAGTAAGGGGGGAGGTAATCCCTAATTTATCAAAAGATTTTTTTTAGTTAAGAACTCTCTCCAATTACAAGAAACAAAGATATTATATCCACGAAATCTTTTCATTATTGCAAACAAAAATATTAGATTTAAAACTTTGTTTCAACAAAAATTATATCAAAAAGGTCATCAATTGCTTAAGAAACAAAACATAAAGATCTTTGCAAAAATTAACTTGCTAGATTTTTAAAAACTTTTTGTTAAATTAAGTGATAGTGGGTTGATGGTTTTGATTTTGTTAAAATTTGTACTTCGGTCTAGACTAGGAATCATATCTTTTCAAATATAAAATTATATAATCATTTCTATTAAACTACTTGTAGATGTATATGAAAATTAATCTGGATTTCAAGATGTTAGTTATATTGGAGAAATGAAAAACCACATGCTAAAAAACTACCAAACGTAGTTTAAAGTAGTCAAGCATAGAAAACTTTCAGCAGTTCAAAATAAGTTTGACTCTGACCCCTCAAGTCAAACTCAATGGGCCGGGAGGTTTCGTCATTTACCATCACTTCAGTCAGGTAAGACAATTTTTTTTAAACATCGTAGTTTCTCAAACGTCGTCGTTTATCGTAGTCGAAAAGGGCCCATTTAATGATGAGGTCCAACTCGACGGCATGAAAACAAAAAACCCGCCTACTAATCCTGACCTCGTGTTGTATATGTGATTAATATAATATACACATCATCATAATAAAAGTTGTATCATCACCATCATCATTAATCACACACATCTCGGTCTATATATTCCTCTCTTTCCCCTTTTTCCTCCTCTCCAAACCAAAACAAAATATTCTCTCGGTTTATTTCTTCCAGAGAGTATATTCAGAAGAATTCTTCCAAAAAAGGAAATATCAAAATCCTGATTCTATCTAACTACGATGGGCGAGGTCAGTTACTACTCTTCAACTTCTTCTTCTTCATCTCTCTGTATCTGATCTTCGATCTCTCTCTGTTTCTGTTGTTTAAATGTTTTGATTTCAATTTCCTCTTTCGATTTGTGATGTCTGCAGAAAAAGGAAGAAACGGCGACGAAACCTGAAGGAGAGAAGAAGCCGGTCGATGCGAAAAAGGGAGATGGTGGAGTCACCGTCGTTATGAAGCTTGATATGCATTGCGAAGGTTGCGGGAAGAAAATCAAACGACTCTTGAAGCATTACAAAGGTATATACTCATCAAATTTTTGCAATTGATTTCTCTCTGAAATCGATTGTTTTCGTTCTAATTCGCTTAGGGTTTGAAATTTCTCCATGGGATTTTGAGTTTATGATTCTCTGCAAATCGCCTCTGTTTGAAATCCCTAACGCGAATTCTCTGATTCTTATCATAAATTCAGGCGTGCAAGATGTGAAGATTGATTACGCGGCCAACAAATTGACGGTGATCGGAAACGTAGATCCAGCGGCAGTTCGGGACAAAGTCGCCGATAGAATTAAGAGAAAGGTCGAACTTGTCTCTACAGTGGCGCCGAAGAAAGAGGCTCCTCCTCCTTCGGGCGGTGGAGGCGGTGAAAAGAAGCCGGCGGATGAGAAACCTGCTGAGAAGAAGCTCGCCGATGAGAAACCCGCCGAGAAGAAAGATGAGAAGAAGAAAGAGGAAGGAGAGAAGAAAGCAGCAGCTCCTGCTCCACCAAAAGAGGTAATATCTCTATCTGTGTTTATCTCTTGTAATAATTTTTTCAGAAGAAAATATCAAATTTCGAAATATAAAAACTCTTTTGTCACATATATATATAATAAAAAAAACAATTTTAAAAGTCAGATGGCGAAAGTATAAATTATATTTTAAGTTTCATACGTCAGTCCATTTGCTTGTGGTCTGTAACGTGTGTGCACTTCAAAACTTTACGGTCTTTACACTCGTTCTAATCCATATCCATTGGATGAGATTTTCTTCTTTTAAAAAAAGATAACTAAAAAATTATTCCTCCAATTATCATTAAAAAATAAACCAGAGATTGGTCGTCGTTTTTCTAATCTTATTTTCCTTTGATGTGGATGCAGAGTACGGTGGTTCTGAAGACGAAATTACATTGTGAAGGTTGTGAACACAAAATCAAAAGAATAGTCAACAAAATTAAGGGTGAGTTTTATGATACTAAATCCATTTCTGAAGCGTTCTTTCTTAGTATTAAATTCCTTTAAAAAAAAAAAAAAAACTTGATATGGTTGGTAATGGAAGATAACGGAAGCAACAGAAGATTATAATACTCTTAAATTAGGTTGAACTGCCTATAGGTAGCTTCTCTATTCACTATTTTATCGGAAAAAAATTAAATTGATTAGCTGAGAAGTGGTTAGCCTAATCTATAGGCTTAATTATTCTATTAATTACAAATTATAGTTAACTAAAGTTTGAATTTTTAATCACAGGGGTTAATTCAGTCGCCATTGATAGTGCCAAGGATTTGGTGATAGTCAAGGGAATAATAGACGTGAAACAACTCACTCCTTATCTCAACGAGAAGCTTAAACGCACAGTCGAAGTTGTTCCGCCGAAAAAAGAGGACGGAGCCACCGTGGCAGCGGCGGCGGCTCCAGCAGGCGGCGAGAAGAAGGACAAAGGTGCTGGCGAAAAGAAAGAGGTAAAAGATGTCGGAGAAAAGAAGGACGGTGGTGGCGAAAAGAAGAAAGAAGTCGCCGCAGCAGGAGGAGGAGACGGTGGTGCTACGGTGGATGTGAAGAAATCGGAGTACAACGGTTACGGTTATCCACCACAGCCGATGTATTACTACCCACCAGGACAAGTGTACGGTCAACATTACATGATGCAAGGTCAATCATCTCAATCGTATGTACAAGAGCCGTATACGAACCAAGGATACGTACACGAATCGTATACGAATCAAAGATACGGCCAAGGGTATGGACAAGAAGTGCCGCCACCACCACCGTATAAGAACCACCAAGGGTATGCAGATCCTTACGCTCACATGCGTGCGCCTGAGATGTTCAGTGATGAGAATCCAAATGGTTGTTCTGTGATGTGAGTAAAACGAGAGGGGAGGAAATTGTAAATAACTCAGAAATATAGGGGGAGAATGGTAAATTTGACAAAATTTTATACTACGAAAGCACGGAAACTTCCGAGTCCGGTAATCTAAACCGGCGAGATTGGCCGGGTAGAACCGGTTTTTGAGAGGCGAAGATTGGGTTGATTTGTTGGTTGGTTAGACTTTATAGATACCTGTATATTAGTTTCTACTACGTACTATAAGATCGGATCCTCCTCTGTTTTATAACGTTTGTTGTGCTATGTACTAATATTCAAGTGATCGTAATGAAAAATGATGTTTTTGGTATTTTCAACTTTCTTTTCTTTTTCCAAGAAAAACATCTTGCATTGCACGGTAAGGAAAATGACCGGCCCCCCACATTGATGTAAAGAGGAAATGGAATTGAAAGTCTATTACAAAATATCATTACAAACTACTCCTAAGCTTTTATGCATCTTTTTAAATTGTTTTTATGTGTATATACAGCATTTATAGCATCGACTCGTATTTTTTGTTTCAAATTTTAAAATTTGTAAGGATGAATATCTAATATCAATAACACAACCGACAAAAATTAAGAGTCGTATAGAAGGCAGTTATCAAATCAAATATCACAATGGGTGAAGAATAATTCATTTCATACTAGTCTTTGTTTCGAATAGATTGGTTTTATAACGCAACGTTTATGCTATATATTAGACCAATAATTAATGACATAATCTATATATACTATATTTTATTAATCAGCCGATGGTTGATATAAGAGACATGTTATATATCCTCTCAGATAAAAGCCGTTGGAATGTTCGTAGACGAAGGCCGTAAGAATTTATGAATAGGTAGGTAATGATTTATTGCTGATCAAAGTCTTCAGAGATGCACCAAAGGTTGTTTATTCCCCCTATGGCGTGTTGTATTGTACCGTTTTTTTTGTGCTTCTCTCGTGTGGTATGATACGCTTCCTTCTTAAGCCAAATAGTTTAATCTCAAATGGCATATTTAGAAAGACATTGGTTGGGCAGCATTTGAATTTTGTAATTCCTTAAAACGAATAGTTGGTTGATCTTTCTTATTTTAAGAACCATGTTCAAGAAAAAGCTGATTTAGAATTCAACTTTAGTTAGTTTTGTATGTAAAATCATCTTTATTGTTTCCAGAAATTTCTACTTATCAGGATCATATATGTAATAGCTTTTCGTTTACCATAAAGGGTAACTCTATAATGGTTAACACCTAATAAAACACATACAACTTGCATTCAAAGATATATATATATATATATTTTAATATGTGCTTGTATTAATTGGAAACGATATTTGACTCCTTGGTTAATAAGGCCAAAAGGAAGAGTCGATGGAGACATTATTTATGGATGTTAGGTATGAAAGAAGTTATGAGGTTGAATTTAGTTAATAACATTAATTAATCATAACTTTTTTTTGTTGAAGTTAATTAATCATAACTTATGGATCAAATAGATGTTTTGATCAGGGAAAGTTGTGCTAGAGTTAAAACTGTCTTCATCTGACATGATCATCAAAACTTGTGAGTGGTCTGAAATGCCACAATTGCCAAGGGACAAATAACTATTAGCATTCTCCAATAGATACATATAATGACAGAGAGTAATATATTAACCAATTAATATTTTATGTCTCAATTGACTCTTTTAAAAATAGATATTTAATTGTTCTAACTTTTAACCAGTCTTGTATATACTATATACTATACGTGTTCCTAGGTAGGTATGACTTAGATATCTGGGTGATGATAAGGACGACGAATACTACACAGAAATCCTCAATAATACTACTCATTGTTGAATCGCCATTTATTGAGGAAGAGTTCGGAAAAAATATGGAATTTTTGGACAGTTGATGCAATTATTCTAAAACGTTTTAGTTTGCTATATAAGTCGAACCATCCTTCGACCAAACAATAATATCGAACCATATATCGTAGTCTTGTATGTTGTATGTACTACGGATAGTTTACTCTATTGCAGCAGAACACTGTCATTTGTAATATATTATAAGTTTCTAAATGAAATTGATGAATATATCTCTAGCAAAATAATTTGATTCACTAGTCATGAACTACTCGAAATTGTCTTTGCATCTAACAAATACCTTCACCAATAATTTGCAAAAGAACAAAAAAATATCACATTGTTTGGTTTAACAAGATTGGCTGTCGAGCATTCAAGTATTCAACCCTATCCGCGGGTATCAATTTTTAGATATATTTTCTTTATATTTAATGTCAATTGCTAAACAGTCCTCGTTCGAGAGTAGTCGCGAAGCATCCAGAATTGCATGACCGGAAATGATAAAATGATTACAGTGAGGTGAAAACCAATTAAATGTAATCGTTCCCTTCGTTAATAAAATTGTTGGTTCCTTTCACACTCATTTAAAGTTAGTGGGGGCAGATTAAGCTTATCTTTCTTAAACCTGTCTTCTACTGATTATTTAAATTTTGGGGGCGGGATATTCTGGATCAAACACCAAATACTGAATTGAATAAATGCAACAATAAATGAACTCTACAATATTTAACCATATAACGGTTAATTTAAAGGTTGAACTAAAGAACAAAACGATTTGATGAAAAAGAAAAAAAAACGATTTGATGGAGTTTTATACCAGCTACGATATGATTATATAACACAGGTTAATAATCTAGTACATTTAAAATATATATACGTATGACAAAAGCCACATAATTAATAAAGTATAATTTAAGATTATGTGAGTGAGTAGTTATTTGGACGGACCGACGTATGATCACGTTTACGTGTGTGTCTCTCAAAATTTTTATTGTTATTATTATTTGTAAACGCCAATAATGATTTTAAGATGTGAGGGTTCATGCTGTTTCGTACATCAGCAGACATTTTGTATTTTTGCGTCCTTTGCATTACTAAATTCTTAAACTTGTTTCTCGGATAATATACAAATATTACACACTTTAATTTTGTTTTTCAACCTCTTTAACAATGAAAAAAATATTGTTCCCTTGTCATTGTCGCACGCAACAAATCACAAAAGACAATTTGATTGATTAAGGGAAAAAAAAAACAGAAACTATGTTGTGAATATGTGAATATTCGAATATATATAGTGTTTGTTTTATTTAAATATAAATGAAAGGTGAAATCATCAAAATATATAATTAACAGCGTAATCTTTTTGATTTGGAGAGATGCACCACTTATTCCTTTGTTATCTAATACGGTAATACCCCATTGCCAATACCTAATTAACTTATTACATTATTCTTCGAATTTTTTATTGTAGAAAAATCGAAACTATAACGTCATATGTGAGCTCCACCAAAAGATAACATATGAACATAAATACATAACAAATTGTATATTAATTTCCTCCAAATCATTTGCTGATGCGAAAACCTAATCCAGCACCTACTTATATCGATATAATAATGGAATAATAAGATTATTATCTGAAATTTGATAAAAGAAGATCCATCAGCGACAGTATAAACAAAAAAAATGTTGAATATAGTGGCATCATGACGCAGAGAGTAAGGTGAGAGAGACCATGAACTAAAACGACACGTGTTTCTGACTCAGCTTTGATTGTGACATAGAATTACCACTTTTTCGTTACTTGCAATTACCATTTTGTACTCACTAGCAAGTTTTATTTTCTAACTAATTTTTACAAATCATAATAAGTAGGATGCGATGATAATACTTAATTAGCGAAAAACGCATCCTGATATGAGATCAATATGGCAGGCAATTTAGTAGATGCCGTTAAAAACTTGTAGAATGATGTAAATTATGATGATCAACATGTGGTTTTCACTTATGAGCTTTATTCTTGAACGAGCAAGAACCATGATCAAACGATGCGGATTTCCATGATGATGTATGATTAATGTATGTGGGGTTTAATGTTGACATGTTATAATTAATGGGACCGGTCCACGTCAGGCCCACATGGCAATTTTGTCTCGGTTTAGATTGCACGGCACGAGTATCCCCCACCGGTGGCGGAGACCACTTTGTACAGCTGGAATTTCATAGTTGCGAAATTAGAAAGGTCTTCTTTTTGTGTAGTTGTGCTCCATTAAACTCCCAAATAAGAACAAGTTTTTATTTTTATTTTCAATTTTTTCTGGGTGCTAAAAACTAAAAATAATTAGTTGATCACTACATGTGAGGTGTTGACAGTAGACAAGTATATATACATATTCCTTTTCACATATATGCTCTGATTTGTTTTTTTTCATCCTCTATTATTTGCCAATTTTATTCTGAAGATCATATGAACGTTGAAGATCTGTTTTTTAAATATAGACTATATGAACGTTGAAGATCTGTTTTTTAAATATAGACTATGTGAACGTAGAAGATTTTTTTTTTTTTTGGTTCTGTAGTTGGATATCTCATTTAAATTTATAATCTTCTGATTTTAGTATATGTCAATGTTTTAGTATCAATTATATAATATTTGATTCTTTTTTTTTAAACGCCTTATATTTAAATTTTAATAAACAGTTTACATAATCCATATGTAAATCATTTGAAAAATTGAATCTAACATTTTATTTTGTTCTTTTCAAAAAATTGGTTTATGTATATTCTTCTTCTTAATATATATTATATTTATTTATATGCATAAGCTATTTTTTAACTTTGTTCGATAAGGGGAACTATACCCCGATATCCAAATTTAATCACCTTATATAGAAAAAGCTGGGTTAAATCGATATAAAGAAACTCAAAAACCAAACTTTTTTTTTTCTTTTTTTTTTGGTCACTCAAAACCAAACTAAATACTCCATATCACTACTATGTCACAATCTTGGAAATAAATATAATGACTTGTATTAAAACAATTTTTTCAATATTATATGGAAATTCGACTTATTTCAACATTACTTGGTCGCGCAGCCACACGTGCAATCATGTTTCCACCTCGTTTCGTTTTACACTAACTACTGTAATCGGTTTATATATATTTTTTTAATAAAAGATAGTAATTTATGATTGGTCCAACTAATTTGTCCATTTATAATCTCTCTCTTACTTGATAAAAAAAAAAAACACTCAATAAACATATGAGTCGTTCAAATTCGTAAGGCTCAAAAGTGAAAAGTAGAGTCTCTTCTCTGTTAGATCAAGAAACGTTTATTCGACTTTTGACTATTTCTCAAAAAAAAGATTGAAACTAATTTCTCAAACTGGAGAGTCCTCCTCTATCTTATACGAGGAAGCTACTATAGTCCAGTACACGTTTATTAGAATTTTGACTATTTCTAAGAAAAAAAAAACGATTGAAACTAATTTGACCATTCCATGAGTTTTTTTTATTTATTTATCGTCAAACACTTTGAATCTAGCTTATTAAATGTTAGACTGACTTTGATTTTACATGATCCATCATCAATAAGATTTTCCATTCGAAAATTTCCAGTTTCAGTTTCTTCTTCTTTTAATTTCAACGAATTTGAATATGGGCTGGCATTCAGAATGGGTTTATTCATTTCTAGTGGGCCGCTATGAATTTCATAAAACATAGCCATATTCAAAATCGTGATCAGACCGCACCAAGCAATCAAACCGGAAAATGATGCAAAACCGAAATCGTTAATTAACAGAGTTTCTCTCCAACGGAGAAATCCAAATGCTCGATGGGCTCGAGTGTCGTAAATCGAATCAGAGTCCTGAGTTTCGGGAAGCTTCCACACATCTCTGATTCACTGTTGAGAACCCATAATCCTCGTAGCCTCTCCGTTCTCCTTCATCATCGGAATCAAACTCTTCTTTCGTTTCGCCGTCGTTGCATCTCCGCTGTTCATCGTGGTTCTAGTTCTCTTCTTTGGCTTCGCTCATCTCCTCCTCTCTCCTCCATGTCATCTCAGGCTGAATCTGGGGCTCCCCAGCAATCCGATTCTTCCAAAACGGTGACGTCTTGGAATTGTAACTTTCTTTAGTGGTTTAGGGCATAGAGCCCGTCTGATTCCTGTTGAAATTACAGTTGTTGATGATGGATTTTCTCCATTTGATTCATTGATCCAGAGCTTGCGAGCAATGGTTTTCGTTTTTATTAGTGGAGATTATTACTTGTGATCGGTTCGAACATGTAAATGAGATTAATGGTTTAAATGAAACTTTGCTGCTTGTTCAGATTGTAGACTCTTTCATTGGTCAATTGTTAAAGTTTCATACTTGTTTTGAGACCATCAAAAGATAAGACAGAGAAGCAAAGATCACATGCTAATTTCTGTAACCACAATCCATCTTTCATATCTCTTGTTTTGCATCTGATGCGTCATGGAAGTTATTCTGTTTTTGATATATTTATCTACAAGTAGTCAGGTTTCAGTTCATTGGTATATTGATGCTGGTTTGTCATTCTTTGAATCACCATGGCGATTGGATAAATATCTAGTAAATACTCAAAAACTTAATTCAAGACTATATTGGTTCTTTGGTAAAATGAACTGAAAAATGTCAATATGTTGGTGCAGGTGAGGATGGTGATAAAGGGAAGAGTACAAGGAGTGTGCTACAGGAACTGGACTGTCGAGAACGCAGAGCAGCTCGGGATAAAGGGATGGGTCAGGAACCGCAGAGACGGTTCGGTAGAAGCACTCTTCTCTGGACCATCTGAAGCTGTCGATGAGATGCAGCAGAGATGTCGTCGTGGGCCTCCTGCAGCCATGGTAACTGGACTGGAGGCTTTCCCATCCACTGAAGAACCTGGAACAAGTTTTGAATACAGATCAACCATCTAATTGATTCTATTTTAACTGAGAGGAGAAAGAGAGGCTTCTTTGAATGTTTGCCATGTATGTTAACATAATAAGAATGTGTCTTTGATCATTTCCACCTATACATTTGATATTAGTAATTTTGTATTCTCAATATCTTTGATCATTGGGTTAATCGAGATCAAAGAGTGTTCTTCTTCCTTCTTGAACCTGATATGAGCATAACTTCGCCATTACAGAGGAAACCAGTATCAAATAATAAAAAAAAAAAAAAAAAAAAAACTCAAAAACTTAATTCAAGCATCTTTTAATGTTTTCCATGTATGTTAACATAATGTAATGTGTCTTTCATTTTGACCAATCAATATAAACAATGAAAACTCCAAACTATTATTTTAAATACAGCAAGAGCAATAACCACCAAGCTATTTATTTGGTCACCTCTATACACAAGATATGGAGCAAAATTTTAATACGCCATTCTGCACAACTATTTTGTATGGACATCGCTTCCTACAGCCGAAGCAAGATGGTCGAGACATATGATTGTTGCGCAGAATAGCTAGCTTATTTCCATCAAGGTCGAAACACGAACCAGACTTCATGTATAAGTCCTTCCCAATCAGACATTCAATGTGTAAAGTGTTACAACAATACTCATCACACTTATAAAACCGCTCCTTTGGATTTATTCTTCTCTCGCAAGCTTCACACTCAATGCAGTTGAATGTTTCGTTTGTGAATTCAGGTCTTGCCTCTCTGCAAACCGAACATGCACTTTGCTCTCCTGGTTTAGATGTAAGGAATAAAGGATGGTTATGAATTTCTTGGACCAGTGGCTCAGAAACTGTGGCGCACTGGACATGCAGCTTAAAACTACATCCTTCTTTACCGCACTCGTAGAAGAAACCAGCTATGCACGACCAAAGACAAGCTGAGCAGTTATCGTAAAAATTTCACTAGAGTGAGCAGATGTGGATGTATTGGGTGATGTATTTTGCGAGAAAGATTGGCACAAGCTTCATGTAGAATGAAAACACATTCCACACAAGAGTAGAATTTACCGAAATAGATTGGCATGACGCATGCTTGACACTCCTTATCGTCATCGTAATCTCCACCGGTGTTCTCATCAAGTCTCAGATGATGTTGTCGATGACTGAAATGCTGTATGATTCCATGGCTTATCCGAAGAAAAGGTTCCTCAACTTCTTCTTCTTCAATGTCTTCTGGCACTCCATCAAGGTCTATGCCATCCCACACGTTTCTTTGTGTGGCACATCTTTGAATGAGCCGCATAGGAGCAATCGTTTTTGTTGCAAGAATAACCTCCGTAATCATTGTCGATATGCTTGCGACAAACACCACAAGACCAATCTCCTTGGTTGTCAGAAAAAGAAGGGGTAAAAGAGATACGGTGAGGATGGCGAGATATCCTTATGACACGTGGTAAATTCATACACCTTAGATGGACCACAAAATCACAAGGGGGACACATATAGATAGGGGAGCTTGCATCGGCCAAGGCGCAGACGTTGCAGGTTAAGAAAGCCCGTCTTGGAAACAGAGAAAGAGCATGATCATGCCACTTGGGATGGTGTATCGTTTTGACTGGTGGTATGTCCGCACAAACTATATTCATAGCATAATCGCAAGCCTCACAATAATAAAAGATCTTGTCGAGATCTTCATCGCAACAGAAGCATTTTCTGGATGACCTATTCTTCTTCTTCTGGGAGACAAGTTGAAGAGAATGTTTTGGATGGAGATGGTGTTTGACCTCAACAGGAGTCTTTTCACATTCTTCATGGTCCTCGCCATTGCAATCTTTGCAGAAGAAATGGGTGGCTTCTTCTCCTCCTGCTCTTGCCGCTAAGTAGACTCTCTGCCGGTTTCCAGGTAGACATTGCCCCTTTTCTTTTCTCTTCCGCTCAACTTTTCGAGTGACGTGGAACTTTCCTTGAACAAGCTCTACTTTGAACTGAGGGGACAAAGAAATAAGGTGATCCAGCTCCCATTCTTCCTCTGGCGGCTCCGAATCCTCAGGGTAAGCGAATTCAAATAGTTGATTAAGGAGTGAACCGAGCTCGGAATCGGGATCCATAGAGTATATGTGAGAAGCTACAGTAGTCAGGAGTAGAAGAGCTGCTCCGGTGGCGTCTGCTCTGGATCCATAGAGCGAATGAGAGGGATGGATTGAGTCATGGCTGATACGCACTCCCACTCCGGTTCCGATTCTGATATGGAGTTGGCCACAGAGATTGTTTGAGTAAGGAGTGAGATGACCTTTGTCTGCGGCTTTGGCTGCGAATCTAAATCCAAAGAGCACATGAAAGAGGTTATTTGACTCGTGAGTGTTAGTTGTAAGATGACCATTGGAAACATCTCCAAGCTGTTTTCCTCCGACGCAAGCTGTCCAACCGATGTATATTGAGAAATCATCTGAGAAAGGAGTGATATGAACTCCGACTCTGGAGACTTGAGCCTCCACGTTTCAGCAACGAGCGGGGTCAACTCCGAATCCGTAGTTGTGGTGAAGAGGGAGACTATCTGCGGGATGATTGATATCAGCTCCGGCCTCGGATCCAGCTTGAATGTTTCATAGTAGAGTGACAGCAACTCTGAGTCGTCAGAATCCGAGTCCATTGATAGTTTTTTAGTGAACATTGTTATGAGCCTCGACAGAGGCTCCGGCTGAGAATCCAAATCCATGGAGTTGAACACAGAGATTGCTTGAGTAACAAGTGTCATCAGCTTCGTCGACTCCGGCTCCGGCTCAGAATCCATTGAGCTGACCACAGAGATTACCTTAACCATGAGTGATATGATCTTGGACTCCGAACCACCTGAATCCCTCGTGTTTTCTCTGAAAGAGATTAGTTGACAGATGAGAGGTATGAGCTTCAGCTCTGGAACTGAATCCATTGTGTCTTTGTGTTTGCCGAGAGCGAGAGAGAGATAGAGAGAGAGAAAGAGAGATTTGTTATTCGTTCCTTTGATATATCAGAGAGATTAGGCTGAAATATATCAGTGAGGTTTTGATCGGTAATGTTTACAATAAGTATAAAAATAATTAGAAATTGATCACGTGACAGTTTCAATTGCTTATAGGCTGTCCCCAAGTTAGTACAAAGTCAACGATCAATTTCTTTAACAATTATTATCAGGGGCGGATGTAGGTGTATAGTATCAGGATCAAGTACCCTCTACTCTTTTTATTTTTTTCTTTAATATTTATGCATTTTTGGTTCTAATAAATTTAATTTAATGGTAAAAAAATTTCTTTTGCCCTTAACTAATTTTTGTTTTTCCTATTTATAAACTTATACCTTCAACTAAATTTTTTTCTAGAACCAACACTGATTATTACAGCTATCAAATTGTAACCTCCGATTTTGTATCAATGGAGGGCAAGGTCGTCGTCGGCCTATATATGCAACTTTCACATTTTCCTCAAAAAACAATAAAGTATTACTGAATGATTTTATCTTTTGGCCGAATCAGTTTACGAGACCAGCTTTTCGCATAGCTGTGTTCTCTCTTCTCACGCATTCTTGCTTTATCAGGGTTACTCACGTCTTACTCATGTCTTATTATCACCATCATTTCATTCTCTTCTTGTTTGTATTTGTTTTCTATAGATGTTATTTTGCGGAAATTTGTAAAATAATCTGAAATATTTTTGATTTTTGAAAATATACTATTTTCTAATTTTTTGAAACTAACTTTTCTTTAAAAATAATTTACCGAACAGTACTACAATCCAAATAAAGGTCTCAACTCATTCTTATATTCTAATGCATTATGCTATTACACATGTGACCAGGAACAGATCCAGGAATGAATTTAGCATGAAGCACATAAATTTTTTACTATAGTTAACAAAATAATTTATCAAAGAAAATAGTCTTAATAAAAAGTTTAGCATGGCACATGATAAGTTTTCATTTTAAATCATTAACTTTAACTTTAACTACATAAAACAATTAAAAAAAATTAGCATGGGGCACGTGCCCCTTAATTTTGTACAGGCATCCGCATGTGACATCTCTTCGAAATTATCATATTGTATATAAAATAACTATATAAAACATTTTTTTTTGGTTTAATACATAAAACATGTGGGTTGATCTGTTACATCTGTAAGTATTTTCTTCTCTTTACATGTTTGATGTTTCTTATCATCACGTAAGCCTTCGGGGCTTAAAAAAAAAGTAAAAAGAAAAAAAATTGATTTTAATACCATTTGGTACAATGCTCAAGATCTTGATCAGACCGAACCGGATAATCAGATAAAAAACGGAATCGTTTTTGAAGTAGGCCAAAAGAAAATAGCATAACTGATCTACAACGGCGAAATTGGCCACTACTATCGTAACTTTTTGGCTAGCCCCGCTACTGATCGTAACTGGAACCAGTTACTACCATGGCCCTCCTGCAGCCATGAGTAACTGAACTGGAAGCTTTCCCATCCACTGAAGAACCGGGACCAAGTTTTGAACACAGATCGACCGTATGTTTTTTTTTTTTTTTTTTTTGACCTGCCATGTACAGTATGTTAACATACTAATGTGCCTTTTTGGTCATTTCCATTGGTACATTTATTATAGCAAGTTGATATTAGTGATTTTTGTATTCATCACTATCAAGCTGCAGAATCAGTACAAGTACAGAAGCTTTCACAAGAAACTTTCATTCCCCAGCAGATTCTGAGACTGTACTTAAAAGAACAACAAGAAAATGTACTGAAGAAGTAATTCGTTCTTACAAATTCTGTTTCTTCTTGATACCAATCTATACAGTGTTAATAATAGGTACATTTTGAGGGGTTCATACTTCACTTTATCTCTGCACAGTTGTTTGGACCAACGGGTTCTCGTAAGCAACTTGATATCGCCATCACTGCAGCTTCGATGGATGCATCTTCTCCCTGGTTTCAAGACATAATGTAAACGATTAAGACTTAAGAAAAAGAAAGAAAAAAAAAGAACCATCATGGGTTTAATCGAGATAGAAGAGTGTTCTTGTCTCTTCTTGCCTTTTCTTTCCAGTAAAACATGTTGCCGTATTTCCCAGCCAATCGACTCCAGAAACTACGAGGTATGTCTAAATCAACCGTAGCCCCAACATTGAAATTCAGTATGTTCCCTGTTTCAAATCCCATCAGTTTCCCATTAAAGATACTTGAAGAGATTAGCAATGAGGTTTGGATCATGTTACCAAAAGTCGGATCAGCGACAAACACAATTGTGCTATCATCCACCTGCCAGAAATCCTTGATTGCTAGTCCTATTCATTTCAAACACAAAAGAAATGCCATCAAGCAAACACAATGGAGATCAAAGTATGTTGCTTCAAGCATATATAATCATATACCAGGTGTTTCGGGATAGTTTTGAGCCAAGACTCTAAGCTTGAACCCTGTATCTTTCTCAAGATCAGAGATTTCTTTAGCAATCCTTTTCTCCTGTAATTCTCAAAGAGGAGCAGCATTAAAATGGCGGAAAAAAATGAAATCAAACAGTAGATGCTGAGACACAGGACATAACCTGGCCATTAGAGAGGAAACCGGCAACATCTATGACAGAAGTGAACTCTTTAGGGAGCAACTCTGGCTTGTTGACGCCGACTTTCGCCTCTGCAAGTCCCACGCCTACAAAGAGATTCAGAAATTTTGAGAATTGGGAATAACAAACTTCTCTTCTGCATTTCTCATAGAGTTACACACAATTGGAACACAATACTCAGGTCATAAACTTGACTCAGATGTGCCAGGGAATCACACTCAAAGCTTATAACTTTGTGATGCTTGAATTGTTTCAGCAAGCAACACATCGACATTGTTGTTGTAAAACGACGGATGAATCAAAATCAAAGGAAAGTGTCTTGTTTCAATTCCGTGTGAACAGATGTTGAGACGTAAGGATTATAAGAACAAAACAAAAGACACGAACCCGATAGAGATAAACCGAGAGCGAGAGCTCCAGAGAACACCAAACTGAGAGATTTCGACCGGAAACGGGAAACCAAGTTTCCGGCGGCGGAGGTTTTCAAGGAGAGACGAGACGATGGAATATCTCCGGAGACAGTGTTGAAAACGGAAGGGGATAAGCTTCTGCATTGTGAAGGAGGAGGGTGTAGAAACAGCATCGCCATATTGCCTTTACCTTATTAAAGTTTCCTTTGTTCGCCACTGTTTGCTTCGCCTCTGGATAACGTCAATAAACGTCTTTCTCAACCATCCAAAAAAAAAAAAGTTAATCAAAGCTCGCGACTTAACAGTTCTTTAATTGTCCACAATAGTTACAATTCCAAGAAGTCACTGTATAACCACATCTTTCTGTAAAATTCGACGTTTTTAAGGACCAACGTTTTGGTGACATTAATGATTACCATGTCGGTTTAGACATCAACTCTATTACTTCCGTCGTTGCCGACAAAGCTAGTTATTGGGTTCAGACAAGAAATGGGGAAAGAAAGCAGTAATGGATTGAGTATAGAAACTCAAAGGTTACGGTTACAATCACGCTAGAGATTGTTAAGAACCCAATCGTTGCCCATTTAGATCTCTCTGAGAAAAACCGGTTCTCTTGAGTTATGCTTCTATTATTGTCTCCGGGGCTGATAACCGGAGTGAATAAATCTGTTGTTTACTGAATTGTATTTTCATACTAGTTAGCCAAACCTATCCGGCGGGCACTTGTACATTTGTTGTTATGTTGATTTTTCCTTAATCTAAACAGAGACGCACACAGAAACTTCACAAGACTTTCAAGAATCACAAATTGATGCAAAGCAGAGTACTTTCTTTGAGTAGAATCTAAAATGGAAACATCTCATAACATTGGACAAATCAGAGTTTACTAAGCAGTAAGAAACCAAAAAAAATCAAAACTTCATGTCGATCTCCGGTGGGAATAGTCGGCCACGATGGTTGAATATCATGAAATCCGAGTTATCTGGTAAAGACACCGCCCTGCAAAAATTTTTGAAAGAACCAGTTAACAGAAGATATTCACTTCGTCTAACAAAGACCAACTCCAAACCAATATAAGAGCCAGAATGTTGAAGAAGATAGGTGAGAATTCGTGACATAGAAATAAAAATCCTGTTTTACCTACGTGTTTCTGCTGGTGAGTGTTAGAAATTCACTATAACTTGCAAATGCCCATGACTAAACTGAACAACCCGGTTATTGGACCAAATCTAACTAGAAAATGTCTCTATAAGACCCATAGCTCTATGCCAAGCTTATAAAAAGTGCTAACACAGAAACAAATTCATCCTTTTAACTGAGACAATCAATGTTGGACTCTTGGAACATCTCTAGAACACAAATTCCTTACGAATCCGTGAACATGTGAATGGTTCTGAGACATTCTCATTCAATAGCAAAAATATTCACTAGAAACAGAGAGTTGAAGAGAAACAGGATCACAAACCTGTTTTCGTCCGAGTCTGGGTGGATCGATAGAAATTTCCCAGGGAAAGTCAAAGCAGCCCACATACAGAGAGCTAGTCCAACGATCAACTCCAGAACAACCTTAAGAATCCAATCAATAAGACATATTGAAGCATAATCCTGCTGAAAAAAGTTTCAACACAATTGAGGAAAAGAGAAACCTTTATCATATACTCACATTCATCGGCGGTCCGGAAAACTCTTCCTCCGTGATCTTCAACAATCCTCTATCTGAAACGAAAAATCCACATCAAGAGACTAGATAAGAGTAGATCTGAACATATTGGAATATTGGATTTGGATTCGAACGAGGGCATACATTGGATTGTCGAATAAGCGGCATGGGAAAGAATCAGAACGCCGAGAACTCCGATCAAGAACCCTAAATTCATGGTTTTCTCTACGAAGATTTCCGATCTGGTTTTTCTCGTCGAGTATTCTCCGCCGAGAATCAAAGTAGAAAGAAGACGATCACTCGAGTCTAACAAACGGCAAGTAGTTATAATACGAGAAATCTCAAAAGACAAACGGCACAACGTGTATTATCGCAGAGTTTACAAACGGCACGTAGTTCTACATTGGTCGTCGTCACAGATATTTTGAGAGCTCACGGTATTTTTTTTTTTTTTGGTCGTCGGCTCACGGTTTTCAGAAATGTGATAACAAACCAAATTCTATGAAATTAAGTACTTTAATTTTAATGACGTAATAATCAAAATCTGTTTTCAATTTCAAAGTTGATCCGGTATCTATATACAAAGATGTATTAACTTAGCTAAGTTTTTGGGGCTATATATATATCCAAATTTTCTTGGCACCCTATTTTAGACCAAAGAAAATTAACAAATAATAAGATAAGGGAAAAATATCAAAAAATACCTCATTTATTTAATTTTTGGAGGAATCACCCATGAACTTTTAGCGTTGCCAGAAACCCACACAAACTATTTTTTCGATGCATAAAAATACATAAGTTTTTTAAAGTTTCATTTTCCCCCCTCTGATTTCACGGCCGTTAACAGACATAACGGAATCAATAAACAGCATTAATTTTTTGTAAAAAAAAATGCTAAAAAATACATCAACTATTTAATTTTGCCAGAAACCCACACAAACTTTTTGCATTGCCAGAAATTCACACAGACTATTTTTTAATCTATAAAAATACACAAACTTTTTAAAATTCTATTTTTCCTCCTCAAGTTTCACGGTTATTATAGACATAACAGAATCGAAAAACTGCGTTAATTTTCTATAACACGTGTTAATTATTGTCAAATTAATACCATTATTACCTTTAAAAAGAAAAACCTAAACTCTAATTTGTTCTCTTACTATTTCAGAAATTGAGTGAAATCGGTTGAAAATGTGGTTAATAGAGCAATAAATCATGTTTAGAACATATACATCATCTTCTCGAATTGCTCTTATTAGTCTTATATATCACAACACACAATGTTTCCGACTCGGTTTATACTACCAACCATATTTTTCAACCGATTTCACTCAATTTCTAAAAGAGAGAAAAAAATTAGGGTGTAGATTTCTCTTTCCCAAATCGATTTGAAGATTTTTAAGGGGTAACAATGATATCAATCCTAAAGTAGTTAGCACGTGTTACAAAAAACTAACATAACGACCGTGAAATTTGAGGAGGGAAAATAGAATTTTAAAAAGTTTGTGTATTTTTATAGATTAAAAAAATAGTTTGTGTGGATTTCTGGTAATGCAAAAAGTTTGTGTGGGTTTCTGGCAAAATTAAATAGTTGATGTATTTTTTTAGCATTTTTTCCTACAAAACATTAACGCTGTTTATTGATTCCGTTATGTCTGTTAACGGCCGTGAAATCAGAGGGGGGAAAATGAAACTTTAAAAAACTTATGTATTTTTATGCATCGAAAAAATAGTTTGTATGGGTTTCTGGCAACGCTAAAAGTTCATGGGTGATTCCTCCAAAAATTAAATAAATGAGGTATTTTTTGATATTTTTCCCACTAATATGTCAAAAAAAACTAAAGGTAAGCAAAGAAGAAAAAAAGGAACGTGTTGCTTGCTTGAGACCTCTACCTCTCTACACTTCTATAGTTCTATTCCTTTCTTGTGTTTGTTATCATCAGAACCTTAAGAGGAAAACTGTTACACCCCACCTCTCTGATACTTTCAGTTTCAAATTTACCCCATACTTTTTAAACTACATCTAGATACCTTTGCCACACTATATTTTTCTTTCTTTGGGACAACAGAAGAGATTAGATTATAAAATTATTATTCTAGTTAATATTTATTATTAAATTCTTGATAGTTCAAAGGAAAGATTAAATTACAATTTGTACTAATTATTTGAAGGGAAGAGGGGTGTAAATAGTAAAAACCTAAGTATGGGAATATTTAGGGATAAATCTAAACAACGGGGTTTGTTTTCCAACCGACTATCAAAAGAAAAAGAAAAGGAAATAAGTGTCGAAACAGAAAAAAAAAAAGGAAAAATAAATTCCGCTTCTTTGTCCAACAAGAAACACAGATATAAATCCCGAAATCTACTCCCTTGAGATCCCATTATCTCAACACTCATCAATCGATCTCTCTAGAAACAAATTTCGCAACTTTCTGAGAAAAACTCTTTTCTCAATTTCAGCAATCACCATGTCAAACCAACCTGAATCTTCCGACTCGTAAGTACCCAGATCTTCGATTCTCGTTTCCCGATCATAAAATTTCGATCTTTTACATGGGGGTTTTCGATGTTTGGGTTAGGGTTTTAGCTGATCTCATCTTCAAGTTGATTTTGACTGCGTGGGTTTTGTTATTTTTCTAATTTGTTTCAGGAAATCGAAGAAGGATTTCAGTACTGCTATTCTTGAGAGGAAGAAGTCTCCAAACCGACTTGTTGTAGACGAAGCCATCAACGATGACAACTCTGTCGTCTCTATCCATCCTGCCACCATGGAAAAGCTCCAGCTTTTCCGTGGCGATACGATTCTCATCAAGGTCTGGTTTTTGTTCCCTCTTTTTTTTTTTCATATATTAATGTAATGCTGGAATCGGAATTCCCTCTGATTGAGTACTATGTTGCGTTATGCCCTTTATGTTTTGTTTTTCGAGTCTGGAATTGTGCTGAATTGTCTGTGTCTTGAGCATACATCACTAAGACCCTATTCTGTTGTTATGATCTTGTAAACGCATCGACTTAGATTTATAAATCTAAACTTCTTCTGTCTTTGAAACTGATCTCTATCTCGGTGAGTTCTTACTTTGTTCTGCTTCCGGCTTTGCAGGGTAAGAAAAGGAAGGACACAGTCTGCATTGCTCTTGCTGATGAGTCATGTGAGGAACCTAAGATCAGAATGAACAAGGTCGTAAGGTCCAACTTGAGGGTTAGACTTGGAGATGTTGTTTCTGTTCACCAATGCCCAGACGTCAAGTATGGTAAGCGTGTGCACATCTTGCCAGTTGATGATACCGTTGAAGGAGTTACTGGAAACCTCTTCGATGCTTACTTGAAACGTAAGTTAATTTGAATCTTTAATTCTTTTTCATATCATAGTCAAGGTGTCTTTTAGAGTTCATGTTTGTTTTAAGATCATGTTTTATCAGTTTGGAAGGCTATCTGAACAAAACTTACTTTTTTTTAACAGCTTACTTCCTGGAGGCGTACCGCCCAGTGAGGAAGGGTGATCTATTCCTAGTGAGAGGAGGAATGAGGAGTGTGGAGTTCAAAGTAATCGAGACTGAGCCTGCAGAGTACTGTGTGGTCGCTCCAGATACAGAGATTTTCTGTGAGGGTGAACCAATAAAGAGGGAGGACGAAGAAAGGCTGGATGAAGTCGGTTATGATGATGTTGGTGGCGTCAGGAAACAGATGGCTCAGATTAGGGAACTTGTTGAACTTCCTTTGAGGCATCCGCAACTGTTCAAGTCAATTGGTGTAAAGCCACCAAAGGGTATTCTGCTTTATGGACCTCCTGGGTCCGGAAAGACTCTGATTGCTCGCGCCGTGGCCAACGAAACCGGAGCTTTTTTCTTCTGTATTAATGGACCGGAGATCATGTCGAAACTGGCTGGTGAGAGCGAGAGCAACCTCAGGAAAGCATTTGAGGAGGCTGAGAAGAATGCTCCTTCTATCATATTTATTGATGAAATCGACTCTATTGCACCAAAAAGAGAGAAGACTAATGGAGAGGTTGAGAGAAGGATTGTCTCTCAGCTCCTTACGCTTATGGATGGACTGAAATCGCGTGCCCATGTTATTGTCATGGGAGCAACAAATCGCCCCAACAGTATCGACCCGGCTTTGAGAAGGTTTGGAAGATTCGACAGGGAAATTGATATCGGTGTTCCTGATGAAATCGGACGTCTTGAAGTTCTTAGGATCCACACGAAGAACATGAAGCTATCTGAAGATGTAAAATATCTATAATCTATTTGCATATATACATGTTTTGTTGATTGTTTTTCTCTGGTAGCAATGTTTATTAAAGATCTTTTTTTTAACAGGTGGATCTAGAAAGAATCTCCAAGGACACACATGGATATGTTGGTGCTGATCTTGCAGCTCTATGCACTGAAGCTGCCCTTCAATGTATCAGAGAGAAGATGGATGTGATTGACTTGGAAGATGACTCTATTGACGCCGAAATCCTCAATTCCATGGCTGTGTCTAATGAACATTTCCAGACCGCTCTTGGAAACAGCAACCCATCTGCACTTCGTGAAACCGTTGTGGAGGTTCCAAATGTCTCCTGGGAGGATATTGGAGGTCTTGAGAATGTTAAGAGAGAGCTACAGGAGACTGTTCAATACCCTGTGGAGCATCCAGAGAAATTCGAGAAATTTGGGATGTCTCCATCAAAGGGAGTTCTTTTCTACGGTCCTCCTGGATGTGGAAAAACCCTTCTAGCCAAAGCGATAGCAAACGAGTGCCAAGCAAACTTCATCAGCGTCAAGGGACCTGAGCTTCTCACTATGTGGTTTGGAGAAAGTGAGGCCAACGTCCGAGAAATCTTTGATAAGGCTCGTCAGTCTGCTCCTTGCGTTCTGTTCTTTGATGAGCTCGACTCCATTGCTACTCAGAGAGGAAGCAGCGTGGGTGATGCAGGCGGTGCAGCTGATAGAGTTTTGAATCAGCTTTTGACAGAAATGGATGGAATGAATGCGAAGAAGACGGTCTTCATTATTGGAGCAACTAACAGACCTGACATTATTGATCCAGCTCTTCTTCGACCTGGAAGACTCGACCAGCTTATCTACATTCCTCTACCCGATGAGGATTCCCGTCTCAACATCTTCAAGGCGTGCTTGAGGAAATCTCCTGTTGCTAAAGATGTCGATGTGACTGCACTCGCCAAGTACACTCAGGGATTCAGTGGTGCTGATATCACTGAGATTTGCCAGAGAGCTTGCAAGTACGCCATCAGAGAGAATATCGAAAAGGTCAGATATTTCTTTTACTTAAGATCCAGAGGCTCAACTAATGTAAACTGTAAATGCTAATCCTGGGCTGTTTTTTGTTTTGTTCCTCAGGATATCGAGAGGGAGCGTAGAAGGAGCGAGAATCCAGAGGCCATGGAGGAAGATTTGGTGGACGATGAAGTTGCAGAGATTAGAGCTGCTCATTTCGAAGAGTCGATGAAGTATGCAAGGAGGAGTGTGAGTGATGCTGATATTCGCAAGTACCAAGCTTTTGCTCAGACGCTGCAGCAGTCGAGAGGATTTGGAACTGAGTTCAGATTTGACCCAACCGCCGCTGCTGGACGCACCACTGGTGGTGCTGCCGCCGATCCCTTTGCCACTTCTGCAGCTGCTGCCGATGACGACGATCTTTACAGTTAGATTATGGATTCGTCAATGTAGTTTTTTTTTTTTTTTTCTAAGTGTTTTTAAGTTAAGTTGTGAACTTTTGAATGATGTCGAGAGAGATTATGTCGATGTTATTTTCACCTTTTTTTACATTTTGGTCGGTTCCTCTTGTCCCTCAAGGTTTAATTTATGAGACTAAGAAGAGTTGTTAAGTGAGAAATTAATTGTTGGAGCAGTTAACAAGAAAATATTGCGTATTTTATTTGATTTGTTAATTCTGTTTTTGGCAGACAATTCTCTCTTTCATGCAAAATAATACTATTATTATTGTAAGCCTTTGAAGCTGTGAGCTTTGTTCATCCTCTCTCTGTCTCTATCTCTCAAGTCAATAAATATTAAATATAACTTAAAAATGATGATTCATGCTCTGTCTAGTTCCCGAAACGCCACCATTTTTTCCTCCTCTGTAGCTCTGTTGCAGATGTATCTGAAGACAAAAAACAACAGGAAGAAGGAAATCTCTCTTAATGAATAAAGATGATGGAAAATAAAGCAAAACAGGATATGTTAAGGCGTGTAGGATTTACCTCTGTTTAAGTAGATGGAGTTGTAATGAACCTCTGCCCAGAAGCTCAAGAAGATTACTGCAGACCACATGCAAAATAACAGATCAATGTAATAACAACATTCAGAAAGAGAAGACAAGTAAAAAAGAACAGAGGGGGTAAACTCTTTTACCTCCTTTGGATTCTTGAGAGGTAGGAAGAATTTCAATATAACATGTATTCTTGAATGATGTTAGCACTACTATTTTCACCCGATACTGCAGATTCAAAGTTTACACCAAACACTTTAATTATGGAATTACTGAAAGTTGAAGAAGATCAGTTTTTGTGTGTTTCATAAGTTTGGGAATCTATACCGCATCTGCAGCTGCCTGTAATGTAACGTGATCGCCCCACTCGCCGCTCCTGTTTCAAAATTTGGATACTAAGGCCATAGCAAAAGACAGGGTCAAAATACGCGGTTATGGAGTTTCTAGGATAAGAGAATTTTACCGAGACATCTTCTTTAGATACTCAGAGAAGTCCATAGGAACGTATCCTTCATAAGAATCTGGACGAGATTTGAGCTAAACCAAGAGTTGAAATTTTTCAAAAAAAAAATGAGTTCACATAGTTTGTGAAAGCTTATAAGGGATTCACGACTCGCGAGTAGCAAAAGGATCATCAAACCTGTTTCACAATTTGTCGCCTAACGTGTTTATGACGATCTGCGGTTTTGTATAGTTGATCAGCCAAAGCACGGAACTGGACAAAGAAAAAAAAAAAGACGAGAAAGGAGAATTCAAGGTTCAAAATGATCAGTGAAGTCTAAAGGAGATGAAACGAAGAAGAAGACATTTACCTGGCAATTACCATCTCCAGGAACTTTGACCTCGGCAAAGTCAAACATTTCTAACCTGAAACAATGAAAAAACAAGGAATCAAGAATGGTTTATATACAACAGAAAACATATATGGAACACAAATATATACATACCTATTCCGAAGTCTTTCATGATCTGAAACTGCTTCTTCTTCCGGAGGTATCTCTCCATTTATTTTCGGTACATACTGCATATATATTTATGATGGATTTGTCAAACTGATAGAACATATTGACAACAAGTTACACATATCATCGTCTTCAAGTAGTTACCGGAATCGGGACCATCTGATTCAACCTCCTTCCGAATTCACCATCAGCATCACACTGATCTGATTCCCACGAGTATACATACTCATCCGTGTCACTCGGGCTTGAACACGAAAAGATATTAGCCGAATCATCGCTCCTCCCATCTTGGTCGTTATCATTTCCTACCCATTCTACAACACCAAAAACACATCTCTGTAATCCAATCCCCAAAACATAAACACACACACACATGAGAACCAAAAACCAGTGAAGAGCATGTTCAATAACCTGAAGAGTAATCCACAGCGGATTGATCGTTCCAACCATATTCGTTAGTATTGCTATAGTTGTTAGTATAACCTTCTTGTTGTTGATGATGATGTTGTTGTTGTTGTTGATGATGATGGTTTGAAAAATCGTTACTTTCTGCGATTTCAAGCTGCAAAAAATCGTCTTGGAGTGTTCGAGCAATGATCTCATCGTTATCTACATCGCTGCTACTACGATGATCTTCATACTCTCTGTAATATTCACCGGTCTGATGATGATGATGAGCTTCGTCTTCCTCCTGAATCAACTCAATGCCATAAGGAGGATACGTGTATGGATGCGGACCAAGAAACCATTCCACAATACTTGTGTTCTCTTCATGTGACACCATCTTTTAATGAAGAAAAAAAAACCTGCCAAGAAAAAACGTTATCAAACAGGTTGTAAAAAACTTCATCAAGAAATCAAAAATCTTATCCATAAAACAAATCAAATACGCTTCTTTCAAAACTTAATTAACACTCCGAAATCAATGAACTTTTGACCATTTAGTTGCGTGAATCTTGGGAGACGTCTCTGTGTTTTGACGGGAAATTAAACAACAGAGACTTTTCAACAAAGAGGAAATGTGACTCCAAAGAATTTACAAACTCTAACAATGTTACTCAGAATTCTCTAATCAATTTCGTTTTCCTAAATTACATTTACTTGAATTAGATACAGCGACTAAAGTCATTATCACCATCTAAGCAATGGAATACAAATTTAGAAAGTAAAACCCACTAAAAGCTTTTGAAACCGCGAAGATGAATAGTCAAACACGGAGAACAACTTGGAGATTTAGTGTGGACTCAAAGAACGATATTTTTTTTTGCGCTTTGAATCCGGGATTAATTAAGAAAAACAATCAACTGAAAAAGTTATGAATCGACCTAGATCTGAGAAAAGAAATGGTATGAATGGAGAAGAAGTTAGATCAAAAGTTGAAGAAACTCACCTTTCACTTACTAAATCTCTGCAACTTGAAGAAGGAATTATTTTTACTAAAAATAGACAACTTTTAGAATTTCGGGGTGAAAGATTGAGAATTTAAGTTGCAAATAAGCATAATTCAAATGGGTTCTTCGCACTTTCTCTTCTTAAAAGACTGAATTTTTTGGCAGGATGATGAGGAAGAAAAAGGATCGAGAATGATTCGAATAAAAAATAAAGTTCTTCGCTTTTTTATTTTTGTCGATTCGAGAAACCCAGAAAATATATAAAAGAAAATGAGAAAACGCGCAAAATGCCACTCAACATTTATATGAATTTCTGAGGCATTTAGCTCTTTTGTCATGAGAACTTGTGGCCGTTGGATCATTAATATGAACGGTCACGTTTTTATCAATCATATTTAATTCTTTCTCTTCATTATTCTTTAAGATTTTTTTTCTTTATTATTTTTGTATCTTGTGACTTTGTGAGATTGCAAGTAACATTTTCCAAAGAGGTCTACCAGAGAAAAATAATCAACTCGATAATAAATTACTGGAAATGTAAAAGAAAATTACAGTCATGAGTCATCTACCAAAATCCTGCATTTATTAAGTATACAAATACTGGAAGGCAGAATCTTGTTTTGATTCTTAATTATTTTTCATATTATGAATCGAATCGAAGTGGAATCTATATATAGATCAAGTTTATTGTGTTTTTGGTTTACTTTGATTTTCAGATTCGACCCAAAAATTACTATATATATATATATCTAAATATTTGATATGATACAGTATAAAAATTGGGGGTAATTTTAAGTTTACTTGTATATTTGTTGCTTAATTATTTTACTTTTCCTTGATACAAATCATAAATGACTAAATGAGTCATGGTTTTTCTTTTCACTGTTAACAATTAACATTTTGGCTCTTTACCAAATCCCCAGAAAATCGATTTATAGTTAAGGAGCATTTAAGGAAGGATTAGCATGCAAATGGAATAGGTAAGAAGTTTAAATCTATTTACTGTTAGCTTAAATGTTGAATTTCTTAAAGAGGCAAATGGGTCCAATAACACATGGCTGTATAGCTTGAAGTTTTCCAATCATATATCCGGCGCGAATAAGTAGAAAATTTTCTAAATTTTTGTTTTTTATCAGGGTAAGAATTCCACGTGGCACCCACTAATTTTTAACGAATTCCAAAACCATCGAATTCAATTCTTTCAGGCAGCACCCCCTTTTTGATTAATTTAAATTCACGCAATACTCATCGCAAATTGTGCATGTAAATAATTCTCGGGTAAATAATTAATACTCATTCTTCGTTGTTAAAGTTTCTTAGGTTTTAATAAATGAACTAGGTTCTATGTTCTGGCGGTGAATCATACGGATGCTTTTGTGGATTCAACTTATATATGGAAAAAGAATGAGTTGAATATTTTAAAGTTTGAGCTTAATTTCATGAAACCTAGATTGACAAAATCATGAACTATGAGATCTAATGAGTTCTAAAATAATATAATTAATTGATTAGTTGAAAATAAATAAAGTCAAATTGTTTACAAATAACTAATAGAAAAATATTCAATTTATTTAAAATCAGTCTGAATATTTTAATTTGTGGCATGGGTCATGAATGATTTGAGAAACCCAAAAGCCAGTTCTTGGGTAATTTAAATAGAAAAAAATATTGTTAGGTAAGCAAAATTTAATTAAACGCATACGTAATTATGATGTGTTTTTTACAAACGTTAGTAGTTGTGAAGATTATGCTGATGTAGTCATTAGCAACACTTTTTTGTCAATTATCAATGTGCATCATATATTATATGTTACATGTCAATTATCGAATATTATAACTATTAATTAGTCCATTTCAAAAGGGTCAATGCATTAAATATAGATTTGCGGTCGTTCTTATAGCAAAATCTGCCAAACAGCATGCATTCTTTGAACATTCATAATTGAGAACCAAATCTATTAATCTATGGTTTGCTATCAACTCTATTTTCAACACAATCATCCCATATAAATAGATAAAATATTAAAGTATTGATTTGATTAAATACTACACAAAGTACTGTGGTATTAACGTGTTTGTATGAGAATACGGTTCGTAACTTCGTATTATACAAGAGACGTAACAAACGGACACTTGCTTTCGGATGCAGCAAGGGTTTTTTCAGACTTTGATTACGTATATAAGTTTGTAACTAAGAGTTAGTTTGCATAAAATGCCTAAAATATACATCATGTCTAATATTCTGTATCAAGATTTCATATGAAAACAAAAAAAAAGTTATTTACTTACTAGTAGTTGACACACTGATATCATTAGCTCTCAAGTGATTTTTTTCCCTCTGTTCTTTTACACAAAAGCAAACCAATTTTTTTTTGTTAACATCAATTAAGCTATTTATGATTTTTCCAATACCTTTTCCAGTTATTTTTTTTTTTCTTACGAAGCTTTGATAAGTTTACTCAAAGATCTAGGTTTAATGGCTTCCCCTGTTTTCAGCCCAAATCAATGCTGCAAAAGTCAAATTGTTTGCCATTGATAGTACACATGACTTGAATGCAATCTTATCAAAATTATCCTACCATTGGTAAAGCAATAAAATAGTTGGTGCCTTATGGTTCTATTATTTTCATAAGTTTGAATTCGTAAAAGTAAATCATATCTTTCACGAATCTTTCTAAACTATGCGACTATAATGATAGATATAGTTGGCTGAAGACCATCAAAAGAGGGTCGAGAATGATGAGAGTATAAGAATCTTTTTTGGATCAAAAGAGGGTAAGCCATTAAACCTAGATCTTTAAGTAAACTTATCAAAGCTTCTTTTATACTCTGATCATTCTCGACCCTCTTTTGATCGAGAAGACGAAGATTCTGTGCCGTTTCTTAGTGGCTTGGGTTCTCAACCTTTATGGACACACTTATTGGGCCTTCAGTTGGAGATTAGTGTGTTTTTAAGAAGTAGCAAGATAAATTAAAACACCAATTGTCATTCCTAATAATGATATGATGATTGTAAACAAACAATGATGATGATTGTTAATATTCAGTTCTTCCTCATTTGTTCGGTCATGAATGTTTTTGCAAAATTCTTTTTTTCGTAGCCTTTTACCCATATCTATCTCTAGAGACTTTTGAAGATTTATATACCAGCTCTAGCAAGAATTTCGTTCAATACATCTAGGTTAAGCACAAACATTGAGACGACATTATGTCAAAAGACATAATCATTTATTTAGAAGTCAGACAAACATACAGCTCAATTATATATTTATATCTGTCGTCGTTCACACCAACATTTTAAGTCACCGATTCAAAATTAACCAAAATAGTAAGCAAAAAAAAAAAAAAAAATTGAATTTCTTGAATTACAGAAAATAAGCAGAGGCTGTATGTAATGTACTAAAGTTGTTGTTTCCGACTTTACCCGAATCAACAAGCTCTCACATTCTTTGGGTTCCATAATTTCTCTAACCAACCTCCATCATCACCATCAAGAACCTTCTTGTTCTTCCCTTCCACGTCTCTAGAAGCAGCTTCTAGGCTCTTCAGCGGAATCAGCTGCTGCTTCTTGCTACCATTCCCAGGAGAAGAAGATTCCACAATCTTCGTCACCATGTCTAACACCTCACTCATCTTTGGACGCGTCTTTGGGTTCCTAGCAAGGCAAAGATTGGCTACAACCGCTAATCTCTGGACCGGTTTGATCAAATATTTCCCTTCGAGCCTCGGGTCTACTATGAGCCGGAACCTCTTAGAGTCGGTTAAGTAAGGTCTCACCCATTCTAGAAGCTTCTGCTCTCCTTTAGGCCTGTTCCGGTCTAGCGGCCTCCTTCCTGTGATGAGCTCATAGATGAAAACTCCATAGCCCCACACGTCGCTTTTTGATGTGAGACGACCCGTCTGGATATATTCTGGAGCTGCGTATCCCATTGTTCCTACTACCTGTTTAAACCCGGAAATCAAAAAACATAACTTTATCGATAAGGCGATGATTCTATAGCCAATCAAGAGAAAATGTACAAAACTTACACCAGTAGAAACATGGGTTGATCCTGGTGAAGGACCTAAGCGAGCTAAACCGAAATCCGAAAGCTTTGCCTTCCAATCCTCGTCTAAGAGAATGTTTGAGGACTTGAAATCTCGGAATATGATCTACAAAACGAACCAGATGATAAGAGAAATGGGATGAAGCTGAAAAACGAAAGAAAAAGAAACAGAGGAGTTTCATGTTCTGTTACTTGGAAGTCCATTTCTTCGTGGAGGTATGTTAAACCACGAGCTGCGTCTTGTGCTATTCTCAATCTGAGATCCCAAGTAAGTACTGTAGGTGAGCGAGGGGATAAATGGAACTCGACGCTTTGGTTTGGCATATATTCATAAACCAAAAGCCTCTGGATCCCACGTTCATCGTCTTCAGCACAATGACCCAACAGTTTCACCAAGTTTGGATGCTCCACTACCCCGAGAAAGTTTACTTCCGTCACCCATTCTTTATGACCCTGCAAGCATGGATATCCAAAAGTTATAGCCATTTGGATTGAACGAACACTAGCAAATCTCTTGACCAAAAACGAAGAAGAAACCCCTTGCCTGTAACCCTCTCTTGCCGAGCTGTTTAACAGCGACTTCGATTTTCTTTGAAGGGTCTTCTAAGCTCTTGATTGTTCCCCAGTAGACACAGCCGAAACCGCCTTCCCCGATCATAACAGAGCGGCTGAAGCTCCTTGTAGCGGATTTGAGATCAGAAATGGTGAACTCTCTGAGATTGTTCTCTCTAGCGGACATGCTCGTGTTCGAGTTCCTTCCAGTGGATGATACCGTACTCGTTCCAGAGATATCCGACCCGCTTTTGTTTCCTCCACGGTCAGAGAAGATAGAAGTCGGTGAAACCGGTTTAGGACTCCTCTGTTCGTCTTTCTTGTCCCCATGAGGGAATAAGAAACACTTCATTTTCACAAACAGAGGAAAACACCTAGGCTTCTCCACTGAATCACACAAAAGATGCATAAACTTAATTAAACTTAGCAAGCTCACTTCATTGGAGCATTTAATCAAACAATCGTCCTGCAAGCTAGGCAGAGAGAATAACAAAACCACTTGGTGCCAGACTAAAGAACACAGAACCGACATTGAAGAACATCCATTTCTTATACTTTTCCCAAGAATCAAATGCACTAATTCCTTGCTCGACTCATTCTAAAAATCTGATCTTTGAATCTAGCTAACTAAAAACACACAGGATCAAACCAAATACGAAAGTCCAAGACCTGTTAACATCAGCGAAACCGATGGATTTTCGAATCGATCGTGTACAATTCCAAGAGTCAATAAAATCCAACGAACCCTAAATTTCGAGGTGGTAAAAGTGAAGGCAAAGCTATTGCAATTTTATTCATTTATACTAAAAAGGAAATTCTCAATTCTTCCCTCAACAGCGATTTATAGAAATATGAATTTTCGTGAAATATGGTAAAGTACCTCGGAGAAAATTGCAACTCACCTTTGAGATCTTTGTGTAGAGAAAAATCAAAACTTTCTTTTTCAGAAACTGAACAAATTTAGTCGCCAAACGAAAGAAATCTAGTAATTATGGACTTGAAAGGAAAAAGAATATACATGTAGGAGTTATTGGGTGCTATGATACGAATTCAGAACTAAAAAGTTGAAAGAAAGAAGAAGGAGAAGACGACGACGACGACTAAGAGGAAGGAACCGAAGAGGAAAGAAAGTCAAAGTAGTTGAGTCTTCACAAGGCAAAAGGAGACGCAAAAAAAAAAAAAAAACAGGGAGACGTCTTCATTTAATATTATTATATATATTGTGTATATATATATATATGTATATATATTCTGATTGAAAAACAATTTGGTTTGTTGTTTGACTCTCGGAGGAAGATTGCCGGCTCTGTCTTGCGATCTTGTATTGATTCTCAGTGGTCTCATGGTGGAAATTTTGTATGGTTAGATTTAGTTTTTTGATCTTGGTGTAGTTTTATCATAGACTTTTCAGTTTGGGACTGTTGACTCCGGGAATGTCTTTTGCTTTAATTAGCTCTTGCTGCATGAGCCGTATTCTATCAATGAAAAAAAATACTTAAAGAGTAAAAAAATAAAAATTGATATGCGATTCTAGGTGTAAACACAGATTTCCCAATATATAATGAACCTTCGTAGCTCAGGACTCAAGAGTATGGGACAATACACTAGATTAGTAGATTACGAGAAATTTTGTAGGTTTCTGGTTACAATTAAATTGTACGCGGAATACCAGGAAGTGATCACATATTGAACGGCTAGGAATGAATCAGCATTTCTGATCAAAAGGCTAATAACACACTCGTTTCCTTAAAGAGAGACACAGAAGCAATGGGATGAAACACCGGCATGTCCCTCTGGGGGGGATGAACTAGTCGTCTCGGGATCTCCACTACAGACAAAAGAAAAAAAAGTATAGTAGCGTTCAATTATAATCGAATTATATTAAATTTATCTTAGACCTCATATCAGTTACGTCTATACTGATTTATTTCTTGAAGACGGCTTTTATGTTTCTTGATATTAAAAATGGTCGCTAGCTAGTGAAGTAATTTTCTTTTAGTATAATGATTTTGTGTCACTTGTATAATAGATTTGATTGTCTTTCATTTCTACAATTAAATTCCTATAGTTTTTTTAAAGTGATGATCTAATTAAGGTGATTTTGTATCTACACTATGAGATTTTGGTGACATGAAAGATGACTAGTAGACCAATCAGTTGATTGGTACTGAAAACAAGAAAGTGCCGATTGATCAACTTGTAGTCTTGTAGTGTCATAAATAAGGATACTTTTTTATGTGTCACTCAAGATATTTACTTAAAAAGATCAGACAAATTGCCTTTTTGAACAGTTATTCCTATTTCTATTTGAAGAAAATTTTAGTGTTAATGCCGTTTCTTTACGGAAAACTCCATATCCTGCATGCATGAAAAGGACACACTTTGGTAGTTTGGTTACACTTACACGATACGTACCACTAACAGTACATATGCATAATACATGTCTATAATTTTTGGTCCCTGAAATTTTTTCATGGTTTGGCCCTCCAAAAAAAAAACATTTGACGGTTATGCGTACTTGTTAGATATCCACCATATCCATTTTTTTTTACAGTATATGGTCGACCACTAATTTATATTAAGATATATAAAGAATATATTATAATGGTTGACAGCCTTTTATGCACCATATCAAACATGCTTACGCATTATGGCATGATGAATACAATAGTATAGGGGTGTGTTAAGATTTTGGTAACCACCAGTGACAAATCACAATGGTGAAATCCAGCGTTACCAATAGGTTCGAATTAGATAAATTAATCACTTTAATTATTGATGATATCTATATTAGGAGTATTTTGATTTTGGTAACCACCAGTGATACATCACAGATTCACAATGGTGAATTCCAGCTTAATAGATCGATCGGCGGTTCGGATCACATACTTTAACCAGTTTGATTATTGATGATAATTTATGAATGTATATCAAATAAAAATAATGTGTATATCAATATTCAATCCATGTATAAATCTTACTCTTTCAAAATTACTTTTTTAAACACTCGACATTTTCCGATGATTACATGTACAACTTTAAGAACGAGAGTTACCATTACATATCGATGTATGGTACATAAGTGGAATTGCACTTTGTTCAAGAATCTTATCCCATTGTCTCATCTCTTTACGATCTTATCTTTCTCCTCCATTTAATCAAACCATGGGACCCTCTAGTTTCACAACTTCAAAATAAATGTAACTTCTTCATATATATAGAAAAATGTTTCTCTTATAAGATAAATTTAGTTCTTCATTTACTTTTTTTTGGTCAACGATTTTTAATGAATCATCCAAAGTTATATGAAGTACTTGACATATGAGTGTGAATTTTGTAACCTTTTGCTTGACGCTGAATAAAATTACATTCAATTTGAAAATAAATATGAAAAGGAACAATAACCTAAAGTGAATTCGACCGTCAGAAAGAACAAAAAAACAACTAAAGTGATTTCTACCACTATATGAATAGAGATACGTGTACAGCATTTACGGTCTGTGTGTTTATTATCAATATCAATATTATGTATTATATAAGGCCGCGCCCACACACACATATATATATATATACATATTTTACATATATATATATATCTGTAATTGCCCAATAGGTGAGTGCCAATGTGCCATGCCGATAAAGAAATTAAAGATACAAAAAATAAGATCAAATGTAACAATTATTAAAGGGAAAGCCCATTGGCGAGGGAAGATGCATGTTTGTACGATTTTGTATGTCAAAGTACAGCATGGCCATATTTTACAAAAAAACAAAAAAAGCTTTTCGATTATCTCCAAAAAAAAAAAAATCATAACGTTCGACAAATAAATTTAATATACTTGTTGGTAGTATATTGAATGGTACACATATAGCTTTTCATGATAACTAATGCAGATCATGTATTAACAAATTGCAAAAGACAACGACATGGTCCAAAGTCCTAACATATCATTAATTAACAATACCTATTCATCCATATATATACAAAAAAAAAAGTAGATAGTGGACCTATGTTTGTGAGTTCGTGTATATATACACGTACGACACTAGTACCTCTCAACATTCCATCTCACACTAACGCCCAAAAACGTCTCTCTCTCTCTCTCCCTCTCTCTCTCTCTCTCTCTCTCTCTCTCTCTCTCTCTCTGATCTCTCTCTCTCTCATAATCATGATGAAAAAGAGCAAGCTGATCACAAAGGCATGGAAGCAAATGTCAAGCAGAGTGGCCAAGCATCGAGCCGCCGCAGAAAAACCTCATATACCACATGACGTACCAAAGGGGCACCTAGTGGTGTACGTAGGTAAAGAAGAGGAGAGTTACAAGAGGTTTGTGATCAAGATCACGTTGCTCCACGATCCCATCTTCAGGGCTTTGCTTGATCAATCAAAAGACGAAGCTTACGATGATTTCACTTCCGGAGATTCCAAGCTTTGTATCCCTTGCGACGAAACTCTCTTCCTCGAGATCCTCCGTTGCGCTTCTCCCCGTTTTTCTTGATCATCATTCATGACTCTCTGACTCGAGAAGAGGGTATTTATTAATGTTTTAATTAATTAGGTTTTTTGGCTTTAATATGAGATGGTCCATTTTAGATCTATTGTAGTAGAATCAATGAAAGTGTTGTAATATGAGCCACTTTTAGTTAGTAGCTATTAAAAACCTGATTGGTTGCCTTGCATCTACAATATCATACTTTAAATTAAGGAGCAAGATATGGATTTTCTCAACCAACATAGTAATAATGATATTAAATTACCAAAGATTATGATAATACAAAAAAAAAAAAAAAAGCCAAAAAGAACACTCGAGCAAGAATCGTGAAAGTTTTGTTGAATCAAAGATACTTAGTTTTATTTGGAGGACATCACAATAATTTAGTTGAAGTCGGGCTTCTCAGGGTAAGTGCAGCCAGATCTTTGGATCACCACGTTTGACGCGTAGCATCCGGCCTTCACGCACTGCTCAATCGATTCTCCTTTCAACAACTGTGACATGAATCCTCCCACAAATGCATCGCCTGTGAGAGAGATCAACCAAAAAACGGCAATTAATTCACTGAGAGGCAAAATGCTTTGTATCACTATTGACAAGAAAAGTTCCTTGAAGTAACAAGGATCAGCTATAATACGATATGATCATGTCAGTTCCTAACTAGTAAAGTAAGCCTATATTTGAATATAGGTTTTGGCTACAACCCGACTTTTGGTTATCAAATGAGTTACCTGCACCGTTGGTGTCAACCAGCTTCTCCTTTGAGAGAGGGATCACAGGGTATTTCTTCACCTTTCCATCTTCAGCAACAACCACTGGGTCCGCGCCCTGTGTAATCACGGTGGTCCTCTTGTATGTTCCTGTGGCCTTGGGAAGCTGTGAAATCTTGATGGCTATTTGTTCCACATCTTCGGTCTATATTTATATATAAACATGCAAACAGGTTTTAAGTATTATCTCTGTTTGATACAAAACAGAAGAGCTTGGTAAAATTCAGTCTTTTAAGAGAAATGGTACCTCCCAGCCATGAACCCTGGAGAAGGTTCTTGCCTCTGTCTCATTTCCAAAAACAAAGTCCATGTACCTGTCCCGAGCAAGAAACATCTCAGTACATACTTCAGGGGATTAGTAACATGGGTGATGGAAAAAAAAAAAATTACAGATTACTTACGGCAAGAACTTCTCCTGCACATCTTTGAAGAATTCACAGATGAATGGAGCAGAGAGGTTCATCGTGAACACCTGAACGATAGGTGAATATAACAGTGGTGTTAATACAAGAAGCAGTTGTAAAGAAGTAAAAAGATTCTGCTGCAACAGAGTCTCATGGAATGGACGACCATTCATCTTCTTTATACCTTGTTGTTTGCAGCAGCGTGCTCAGATACAAGCTGAATGGATTCAGGTGATACCGTGAGGAAGAATCCAGCAATGTAGTAGAACTTGGCCTTCTCAACTACCCGAAACGTATTTGATCAAAGACATATCAGCTCATGAAGAAACAATGCAAAAGTGTTAAAAGTATGCAACGATGGGAAATGAAATTTACCCAATGCCCAGTTTTCAGGCTTCTTAAGATGGTCAACCTTGTAGCAGTTTGCAGCTGAAAGATTTGCAATAAGCGACCTTTCTCCACCAACAACA